ACCATATTCTTCCTACAGCTGAGTGCTATCATTTTACACAATTAGCTGACATAATAAATAAACGTTACTTCGCTGTTGCATTTTTCTGATTAGTAGGATGGTTAACTAGTTTGCCACATACTTGTTTATAGTTCTGTAAATTATCAATTTATTTTTTAACGTATTTTCTCCTTTCTTTTCTAACAGTGTGCATCTTCATGTATCTTAATCACGTATCTTATTTTTAAATGCATTTGGATGCATTCTTTAAAAACAAAGATATTAATGTCCTATTTGCCAAAGATGTTGTTTTGTTTGCTCCTTTAACTTTTTTGACTTGCAGAAGTTTTGAAATTTAACCCTGTTAATTCTGCTAGCTTTTTATAAATCTGTAAGCTCAGAAAGTTGCTAAGCAAAAGTGAGTAAAAAGGAAAGAGGGTAAAACAAAGTCGCCTCACAGTCTGAGGTCAGGGAGGAGTTCTCATCAGGCTTCGCCCCCAGCGTGGCTTGCTGAAATGGGTCCTCAGCGAGACGGCGCTCCTGATCTCTTCACTAGTGAGCCAGGACTGACAGAGGCCCCACGAGAGAGGTCAGGCTCTGGCCAGGCAGCTCAGTGCCGAGAACAGCAGCTCTTCCTCTGCTTAAGAACAAAGATTGGGGGAGCGGCTGTGTCAAGGCCTGCGCCAAGGGAGTGCCACGTACAGAGACCGCGGGAGGGAGAACTGGTTTGCAGGACAGCTTTTGCCAATTTCTTTCTCAATGCTCACCATACATTAACTACTCTCTCCCCTTTGAGGGAAACAACCCGGCAGAGGTGACAATCCCGCAGTCAGTCACACCAAGACCTGTGGTTACCTACCCCACAATAAAGGAATTCACAGTAATGACACAAGAACTTGTCGGCCCATGAAAACCACGGAACATTCTGAATCTATGCAACCCATTTGAAACACAGCAGAGCTCCTTTTAGAACTCTCTAACAGTTGTTTCTATTGGCTGGCTAGTGCTACTCCTAACAGCAGGGTTAGCAGAAGCAAGCCCACTAAACCCATCAAAAGGGCATAACGCAATTAAAACTGGCTGGTCTCACAGCCGATCACTTTGTTCCAGCAGTTTTCACATAGACCAGGAGACACGTCTGCTTCCCCTCCTACCTGCACACACGTTCCTCTAGGTAGACACTGGCTGCAAGCTTTGTATATGCTTTAGAGAAGGCCAGATCCAGATGTGTTCGGATACACAGAAGGGGAATAAGTATGTTACTTTGTACACACATCACTTTCCTCCTTCCGCTCATCTTTCTGTAAAAGATAAGTTAGTTAGCTTACAAAGAAGCAGCCAGCTGGAGAAAGGGCCTGAGGTAGATTTGGGTAATCAACTCAATATAAAAATTAAAGGAAGAATAGGCAGTGAAACTAGGACTTTGACCAGGAAACGGGTTCTTGGTCTATGTGCAACGCCAGGCTTCCCTATGCTCAGGGCTGAGCTGCAGGCCCCTCTACACTTTAAGACTGTGTTTCTAGAAACTTAAAAATGCTTATTCTGGGGCTGGGGATTTAGCTCAGCCACATAAGCACCTCTCCTTGCAAGCAGGTGGTCATGAGTTCGAGCCCCAGTACCGGAAAAAAGAAAGAAAGAAAAAAAATTGCTTATTTTAAAATCAGTGTCTTTTAAACTCTGGAAACTGAGTAACTGGTCTAGAGAGCCAGAGTTTCGGTTGGTCACTTTTCACCCACGGAGCCACTTGTGATAGGGGGCCAGTAAACAACTGAGCCAATTCCTGGGCACTACTTACCCATGAGGAGTTCTCGACCCCGATTACATGGCATTTCACTTTCTGGAACCCCTTCTGGCTACAGCCTTTTTTATTTCTGTGTTTCCAACAAACACTTCCCTTTTAACCTCCTTTCTGTCCGCGATTTCATTCTTGGACTTGGAGAAACAATGGGTTCCACATGTATGACGGTAACTGCTCCACTTCCAGTATAACCGTTACTATTAGTTTGGGGCAGGATTAATGTTTTACACTTCTATGACCATGTAATTGTAGCTCACATAGTATAATACTGTAGTTATTTACTTTCTCAAATAACATGGTTTCATTCTCTCTGGAATGAATCTTTTCTTTCATTTATAGAGTTTTCTCGGTGTCTTTCTTACCCATTTTTCAACAATCTTACAGAACTGCAAGTTTCTCTGAAGTAAGTTCAAACACGTGAGCCACTCCATCAGCTTTACCTTCTTGGGACTCAGTGAGCAGACTTGTACTTACCAGGGTTGTGGGTCTCATTCATATGTGCGCATCCTTCTCAGGCTGTGAATGACAGAGAGAAACTCTGCATCAGAGGTGGTCTATGTGTTCAGGATGCTGTGGACTGCCTGAAATTCTACATAAACAGAGACAAATTCTACATTTGTCTTCTGAACAAATTCTTCTGTAGGATGAGGCGTTTTCAGGAGGTGCTAGCCTATGTCTTAATGCTTATTACATTTTATCTTACCTTTTTATTCTTTGCCAGGGTTATCAATTTCTTTCACAGGTTTCATAAAACATTAAGTTGATTTATTAATATCTTCGCAAAGTTTACGTAAGGTAGCAATATTTTCTTCCACATACTAAGCAAAATTAAAGAAAACATTGCATTGGTTTCTAATCTTAAAAAGAATTGTTCACTGGGCCGGGGATTTAGCTCAGTGGTCAAAGTGCCTGCCCGGCAAGCACGAGGTCATTATGTTCGATCCCTGGTAAAAAAAAAGAATTGTCACACAAATTCTAATGCTTTTGGGAAATGATTCGCCACTGTTCACGTACAGATCAGAATACAGAAAACAGGATTCCAAAATACGACCATAAGACATCAGGATAAATCACATGGCAAAAGGGCTCTGTGGTAAAGTTTTACTTTTTGAGCTGATTATCTCAAGGATGAGCAGACACTGGAGATGCTCTGAGAACAGAAAAGAACTTACTGTTTTGTAAGAGAAACTTACTCCTTTAAAGTGAATCTCCATTTGTAAGGGTCCTCTCTCTGTGCCGGAAAGAAAAAAGCAAATCAGAAACTTTCCACAGTGGAAAAGGCAGGGACTCCAATCGACATAACAAAGTTAGCTCTTGTGTACTTTTTCTGGGTCAGGCCCCACACCTGCCTTTCTTGTACCTCTTTTTCTTTGTAAGCCACTTCTCTGAGTTACTCACTCTATCTTGGAATCTCCACCACGCACATGGCACATCCATGTTAGCAGACTTCTGTTTTTCTCTACTTAATCTGACTTACTCATTATCCATTTACCCTTGCAATTTTGGTCAAATCTATTTTAAGGAAACAATGCAAAACATGGAAATAGCTCTATGCAATGAGGTCTCAGTGGTTCTATTTGTAGTACTAAAAGTCAGATATAAAATCATGTCCATTCATGGGCGAATGGCTATATAAATTATGGAATATGTTTTGCTTTTTATGTGGATGTAATAAAATGAAAACAAACACTAAACATTCAACAAAAAACAAGGGTAGTGTTTCTAGGTTCATTATGACTGCTGTGATGCAAAATGTGTATGCTGAGAACTGAAACTGAAACCTAGGAATGGGTCACCTTACTCTGGGCAAGTCTGTCTCCCTGTGGCTGTCTGCCTCACTCCGAGGCGCTTTGCTCCCTAAATAATCAGCCAATAAAATCAGCCTTGCCTGAGACCAATGAGCAAAAGGTCAAAGCACAATATCAGTTGCAGACCTCCTAGTCAGTAATCTTTCTTTAGGTTTACAGAAATCAGGAGGGTTTGGAACACCTGGTGACCTGTGGACAACATTGAAAATCACATCAAGAGCATTTATTATTACAAGAACTAAAGATTACTCTAAACAATACATCATAATCTTAATACTAATGGATATTCAAAAGACCCACCTTAAACAAAACCCCAAGATTTCAATAAAATAGGATTTTATCCTTCTGAGACATTAATAAATCTCTGTCAAATGGGGCTCGGTACAGCAGAGAGCAATATGCTCAGCTCTGTATATTCTAGTAATATTTGGGAAATCAATCAATGATGTAGAAAAACTACACAATGTATGTATTCAGAAAAAAGGCAAAAAGAATAGTAAAAATATTTTGTTACAGGCTGGTATTCTATGCATTTTTCAAAAATTTTGATATGGCTTTCTCATGAGAGCAAGATATACTTTAATCACTAAGAGTTCATGCTGTACAAGCCACTTTTCAGTGTGTAATGGACAAATAAAGCCAAATTTGGGTAATTTAGGCTTCTTTATCTTTTGTAGAATAATCACTAACAATCCAGAGAGACGCTCACATAGGAAACTGAGCTATATGTTTGTAGACTTAGAGTACTGGTCTGAATGGTAATAAAAATGCTCTAAAATCTCTTTATGCTGAGAAACAATCTGGCCATCGCAATGACTTTTAAATGGGCTCTAACAGGACAGGAGTTTTAGACAGTGGCTTCCTTAGCATTTAGTTACACAGATGTTGCAAACCTAACAGCACAGACACAATCCCACAAAATTAAAAGCCACGCTTATATTAATAGAAATCTTGTAGTCGGGGTTTGTCATCATTGTCAAATGTATTTCTTATCATTTTGTGAAACTCGGGGAGAAAAGCTGGCATACAGATGAGCCTGTCACAGCTGGCAAAGGCAGCATTTGACCATTCCCTCTCCGCCTAGGAGTTATCAGGTTTGTGTCTGGTTTTCTAATACAAACAAACGTAGATGGTTTGACTTGTTAAAATGGCTCTCGTTAGGCCAATTAATGTTCAGCCACCCAAGTAAATGTCACCTTTCGCACAGGACAGTAACTCAAACTTTTACCTTTTTAACACTGTTCTCTGTGGCATAAATGAGCTGGAGGAAGAGAAAAGTGCAACAATCCAGATAAAGCAGCACAACAACAAAATAGGATTTATCAACAAAGAAGCGGAACAATTTCACTATGATCGGACCAAGAGATTTATGCAGCTGCTAGTCTAGGTAAACAACAGAAATAAAGACAGGGATATTAAGATTAATCTGGTAACTTTATTTAATATTTACCATTCAGCAGCAACCAACATGAACATCTAACAAAATCTCCTGAAATGTTCTGCTATGTAGCTGCTTTAGAAATACACACATGATAAATTCAACTGTTCATTGCCAATTTTTTAAAAAATGGCTTCAAGAGCAAATAACACTGATTTATCTGTGCCAAAGCACTAATCAAGAAATCTATTAAATTACACAGGAAAAAGAAATCAAAGAAGTTTTGTTATTTTTGTCTCTTATTTAAATGGGAGGTTTTACTTCTTTAAAGCAACAGAAACATGGAGCTTCATACATACATACATATATATATATATATATTTTAGGATGTGATTACAAACACAAAGTGTTATAATCAAAAGCAAAAGCTAGTTGAATAAATTTCCAACTGCAAAACTTGCAAGATACAAAGCTAAAATTCTTATGTTCTTTTCCTCAATTATGAATACTTTCACTAAACATAAATATTTTAACATATATTAATTTTTCTGACATTCAAAATTGTAAAGTCAATATGGCAGAATTATTGTTAAAAGCACATATGTACAAATATTCTTTTTCCATACATAAAGTATTTGGCATAATTATAACAATCATACTGCATCCACAACTGTTTTTTTCTTTTTTTTACACATAATGGTATATCTTATTAAAATTAACCAGTTATGTACAAAAATACTTGAACATTTATTATAGAAAAACCTCTATAACCAGCCTCAACAGCATTATGCCTGCTGAATGGTTTCATTAAGAGAATATAAAAAAGTGGTCACTGCCTTCCAGGTAAGCTATCAACAAAAACAAACACGGTTAAACTAAAATGAGCTTCCCAACAAAAGAGGGAAAAATATTTAAGAGTTCATATCTATTGTCAATTCAGTGTTATAAACAGTCAGTAAAAGATAAAACAAAGATACAAAATACATTACTACATACAAGGTGCTTTTTTCCCACACTCCTACAACTGGGGCATCCGTGTGCCTACCTAGATCTAAGATGCTAAGCTGCAGTATCACGCTAGAACCATCTACAGTCACCCTCCTCCTCCAAAATGACCACAGGATCAGCTGGGAAGACAAGCTCCACTAGCAAGCAAGGAGAATTCTTTAATCGTGCAGGATCAAAAGTTACCGTCCTTGTCTTCTGGATGTCCTTCTGCCACTTAATCATGCTAACATAGTGTCGCTAAGATTTTCTTTTCTTCATTTATGCTATTGATTGAATACTGTCCTGTATTGATTCTTGAATTCTCATTAACGGGGCACAATGATTTGTGCCTATTTAACACTTGAACATCTGGCTCTTCTTCAGTGAACACGTTTTACATAAGAAACTACCAAGTAAGGAAGCACAAAATTCAAGTAAACAATTCCTCTGGGGTCTCTTACTTTATCTAGCTGATTGGAACTCAGAAAGCAAATTGCACCTTAAAAAGAAATACAGTAGATAGCATGGCGTCAGGGTACTAAAGCATTTAGCAACCAATTTAGAAAGCAGAGTTTTAAGAATGTAGACAGTTGTCAAATGTCAAAAGCAACCTTAAAAAAGCATCCTGTTTCAAGAACAAAATTTCCAGTCTCAATCCTTGCAACCCCTTAAGTATGCTGTCTAAATGGGCGGCTTTCACCTTTAATTCTGAGGATGAATTCTGCAGTGATCATCTGCTCCGGTAAGAGTAGGAACCCTTGCTTTCTTTACAGAAGTCTTCGAAAGTAAGGACCACTGTGTTAGGATGTGCATCGACAAACAAGCTTTCTTGGAGTATCAAGTATTCAGTAGAAAGTATACAACATTATCACACAGTGCATTGTTTGACAATATTGTATTGGGTTTAGGATTAAACTACGTAAAAAAAGTGAACATAAAAAGATACAAAAGGAGTCTTTATCACTATTTACCACCGTCAACCGAGAAACGTTTTAATGAGATTCGGCCGTGCTTCCTGCAACATCTGGCGTTTTAGATCAGTTAACGTTTAATATTGTGCAACATCATATTAATAAGCAAGTTTTAATTCCATTCGCTGAAAGAAAGCTCTGAGTACGTTACTAAAGTGCCTACGCTACGTGTCTTCGCATCACACTTGGCATCACGTTCCGTACACGGCCACGAGGCAGCAGCGCGGCCGGAGCCGGGGCGGGCCTCAGAGCTGCGAGACCTTGCGGGGCAGCGGCCGCGGCCGCGGGCCGGGCTCGGTCCTGCGCGTCCCGTTCTCCAGGTGGCCGGCGCGGGCGGCCAGCGGCTTGGGCGGCAGCGCGGGCGGCTCGGCGGCCGCGGGGATGGACAGGCTGTGCGGCAGCGGCACGGGCCGCCGCAGGGTCCGCTCGAACACGCTGTAGGGCGGCGGCGTCTTGCTCTCCTTGCGCGCCGGCTCCTCGGGCGCGCTGTAGCCGGGCGCTGGCGCGGGCGTGGCCGGCTCGTTCCCCTGATTCTCGAAGCCTGAGGTTTCCGACATGCTGCACCGGCTGAGGGACGAGATGCCGCTGCTGTAGCTGCCCGACAGGACCGGGGAGTTGGAGGTCAGGCCGGGGGAGTGGTACTCCACGGGCGAGGGCGTGAAGGACTGCACCGAGCTCTGCTCCCGGCGGCGGCGGGCAGGGCAGGCAGCGGGAGGAGAAGGCAGACAAGGCAGAGTCAGGGCCTGCGGGCTTCGTCCCCTGCGCCCTCCCCGCCCACCCCAGCCCCGCAGTCCCTCGGCAGGCACCAGTACTGGGGACAGAGCCCTAAAGCGAGGGACCAGCACGACCCTAACCCAGGCCGGCTGCGCCTGGCCTGCTGCTCCCGGGTGAGCACGGGGCAGAGGCGCTCACTGCAGCCCCAGGCAGGGGCCTGGGGGAACCGAGCGTGGTAATCGCCGTCACTGGCACCCGTGGTCGGGGGCGGCAGCTCTCTGCAGTCTGAGCCACCCAGTGTGGGGTTTTGTAAGGCAGTCAAAGCTGACTACCACGGTCACCTATGCAGTCATGCACAGCACTGAGAATGCATCCGGCACCCTCAGCACCAGCCTTCTTCCATGGGTCACTCCCTGCTCCGCGCGCCTTCCTTAATTTTCAGATTAAAAAAAAGATGCAAGGGGCTGGGCATTTAGCTCAGCGGCATAAGCGCCTGCCTTGCAAGCAGGCAGTCGTGAGTTCGATACCCGGTACCGATAAAAAAGAAAAAGCCAAAAAAAAAAAAAAAGGTGCAAGTGTAGAGGTGCATCAAGAGCCCCAGGCCTCGTCTTGGGGAGGACCTGGGAGGAGAGCTGGAGGGACACTTAGCGCGTTTCTAGCCCACGGGCGGAGCTCAGGACTAGGACTGCCACTGGGACTGGAGCAGGTGGCCAGAGGCCGGGGAGATCACCTCCCACCAGAGGACAACCCTGGCGCTTGGACTCTAGAGCTGAGGCTGCACACTGGTGACCCCAGGGCTGCAGCCCCAGATGAGCGCTTTTTCATCGGTTGTGCTTTAAAACAAAACTAAAATTGATTCAGTGGCTAATTTTTTAAAATTGGAAAACTTCATTATAAAACTCCAGATTTCTGGCATTTCATAAAGAACTTGCAGTTTTCCAGTAACGGCACGAGTTCTCTGAATAGAGATAATGTTTTCACAGCAAGAAAGATCTGTCCACTTTAGCTGAGACCCACATGTCTCAGTTTGTCACCATTGTAGCCTCCTGCACTCACTCATATACCTGTCACGGTGTGGCGCCACCAGCTGCTCCCCCAACTGGCTGGACTAAGGACAAGTCCTAAGAGATAGTGGGGAAGAGGCTCCCAGTGGGAAATGCTAAATGCTAAAATATTAGCGCACTACATTTTACAAAAAAGAAACCAGAGTAACTTTGCTAATCTTGGAGCTTTCTAAACTTATGTGACCACAGACCAAGTCTTCACTCAGCATTTACTGTCCTAAAAAGCTAACATTCATGCCCAGCATCATAGTGCATGCCTGTAGTCCCAGCACTCAGGAGGCTGAGGCAGGAGGATCAGTGTGAATTTGAGGCCATCCTGGGCTATATAACTGAATTGTTCAAGGCCAGCCTGCACTACATATTGAGACCCTGTGTCACAACAAAACAAAAAGTTCTGTGGAACACACTTTGAGAAATGCTAACTCACATAGGCTAACTTCACTTTGGTCTTTCATTTGAAAAAACAACACTGACAGACACAAATCCTTTCATTTAACAGGAATGTAGAATTAAACATGGCTAATTAGGAGATTCATACTCAGTGCAATCTTTGTCAAAAATCAGACTTCACATTCAGAATAAAGCAGGTAAGTTCAGTCTTCTCTAAAGGGTGAACTTTTATCTTTCAGTTGTTCAAAAAAAGGATCAATTCTGGCAGCAGACTGCATCCTCATCATGGCAAAGGCAGCAGTGTGCCCTTTAATATAACCCATGAGTGACAACACAAATGTTCAGGCTTGTTTCTCCTCCTTCAAATGGCTACAAGACTGTCGATGGCCAGCAAAAATAATACACGCAGGTCTGCAGAGAGTACACATCTGCTTGCTAACGAGAGTTCCCTGAACATTTTCAGCCCTTGGGTTCTTTTATTTTTAAGAATTAATCCTTTAGACCAGTTATTATCTTACTGCTACTCTACAAAATCAAACTGAAAAGCACAGGTGATCGTTCTGTGACAACAGGCAGCAAGCAGCTCTCTGCACGGGAGTGAATGCAGAGATGCGGAAAAGCCATCTTGCTCTCCTTCCCTCGCATGGGGATGGCAGCAGTGGCTTCCAGAGCAAACGCTGTCGCGTATACTCGATGATAACAGCTGCAATGCAGAACGACAACAAAACTAGCAAATAAGTTGCACTTACTAGCAAATTTCTACATTAGATATGTGGGTTATGCAAATGAAATCACATTTCTTTGCGATTTCCTTTTTTTTGGTTTTGCTTCCCAGATTCTTAATTTCTACCGGCAACTACCCTAAACAGCACAGATGTATCAGACCGCAACCTGCCCCTGTGTATTTGCGGAGGCTAATTTGTCTTTTTCACATTTGCTAGAACTATCTCATCATCAAGGACATGCAGCATGTAAATCCTGAGTCACTCAGGGATAAGCAGTCCTTCTTTCAACACTTACTTCAGCCTCTTATTTGCTTCTGATACTGCAGCTCAAAACGCCAATCTCTCAGAGCTTCTGACAAGCCCGACAGCCAGTCTGATTCAATTTGGATGGAGACTAAATATTATTCTTTATCTTCAGGAGAGATTTGTGTGTTTAGAGATGCTAAACAGCCTCTATCTGCCTGCCAACCAAATATCTGACCTTTAAAGCTTTCCAGTTTTGTTCCCCAGAAATTTTTAAATCCATTATCATCTTGCTTTTCATGATCAAGTACATATTTCTAATATAAATTATATCCTTGGTATAAAATATTGGAAGAACATTGAATTTGGCCTTGTCAAAATGGATAAGACTAGATAAAGGCCAGAAGAAAAAAAAAAAGCAAAAATAAAAACCTTGCAGAAGAATGTTTAGTGAATCTTGATTACTGATTTTTTTCAGTCTAAGTGTATGTGTGCTTGAGATGTACTTTAAACCAAAAGACTAGACTGAAAAAGTCCTAGGAATGACATTATAGAAGCTTTTCTTTCTTGATTCAGTATATAAACCGATTCTAAGTTTTAGGGTCTCGCTGCTACAGTTTGGAGAATGAGACTAAAAATCCAAAGAATGGCTGCCTCCCCAGGGAAGGATCCTCAAGGCAAAAATCCAGAGTTTTCTTCCTGCCATCTTCTCCTCTCTCTTTTGTGTCATCTACACAACAGAAAGTACCTCTCAGTGTACCTGGGCTGGGTCTAAGACAAAAAAGGAGCCTGGATCAGGCTCTGGTTTCAGCCTCACAAGAGCCTGTACCTTCAGTGGAGACCGCCCAGCAGGTGAGGGGGAGACAGTCGTCGTGTGTCTCGCTGGTGAAGCTGTGGACGAAGAGAGAACATTTTGGTTAAGAGTCACTGTGCTGGCCATCTGTAAATGCAATGCAGAGAGATGATGCGGTGGGTACAGACCTCCTATGTCAGGCAGTGGGGTAGGGCTGGGGAGTAGGACAGGGAGAGGCTAAACCATGTCCTTCTGAAGATTCCCCAGGAAGGATCGGATTACCAGGACAGGGGCCAGCTGATGGAAAGCTACTGGTTTCACACATGATGCTCTGACCAAAGTGACAGAGCCCTAAACTGGCCCAGTGTCCTTTCTTTTTCCTCAAGGCCTAATGTTTTTCTGCTGCTTGATTTCTTGTATTACAAGGTGCTTTTAGGCGAGAGGGGCCAGGGAGGACTATGAGAGACAGCTGCTGGCTTTGGCCAGGGCAGCACTGGAAAAACAGACAGGCAGCTCAGAACAGGCCCATGGGAACAGATTTAATCAGCCTCCCTTTTCACCCTCACCCCCTACTCTCAAAACAGGCAGGAAGCTAGAAAGCCTTGGCCACGTCATATGAGAGATGAGTGGTTCTTCCATTTCTCCCCCTAAAGGCCTATCCTCGGCCTTGCCTTTGACACCTGCTGGTGTACTGTGTATGTCATCATCATGGCAAGGAAAAGTGATCTCCTTGCTTCTCTCACTAGACAGTCAAGCCTTCCCCCTGGGACCAGCACTGGTGAAGGATCAAATCCCGTTCTCTAACATGTAGCTGTGTAGAGTCAAAGCCACCCAGGACACAGTCACCAGACAATGGTAAAGCCACACTTCCCAAATCCACACAGCGAGGCTTCAGGAAATGCAGCATCTGTCGCTCTGTGATTAGCTGCCACTCACCGCACTGTCACAGTGAGGTTTATAACTCATGGGAAAACTACAGAAAGGCTGGAAGGCAGAAAGACAGACGGTTACAGAGCTCCACAACAGTGACCACAGAGGATGGCATAGGACAGACTACGAGAGCGATCAGTGCAGAAGGGACGCCAGGCCTGCCAGGTTAACTGCATCCTACGGGAGCAGGGAGGGAGGGAGGGTCGGTCCATCATCATGCTTCGGGGCCGTGAGGTCTCTACTCGACATGCTAGGGCCACTGTCAGACGTGTCACCTTCTGACACCAGCACAAGTGCTCCTGCCCTACCAACTGGGAGCGCAGATTATGGGGGAAACCCTGTATGTATGGAGAAGCCAGTCCTGATTGGGAGCTGTATTTCTGCCATCATGGTGGTGGAGAACCAGTTTCCTGTTCCCCTTGAGGCAGGCAGTTCTTACAGCGTCTCAGACTCACACACATGTTCACAGAGAAAGTTCTCTGGAATAGTATTTTCCTACAGCCCTAAAATAGTTCTGTCAGTATCCTTGTTTTCCTAGCTTAGGAACAGGACTACTATCAATATTATTACTGCTTAACAATAATTATCTATACTGTTTCTTTAAAACTGCCTTTTTAGTTCTCAACTTAAGAGATACAAACAGATTTAAATTGGAGGTGGTTGAATATATGTAAGTCATGAATGAAATATAATAATTTGGCAGGTGAATCTTAATCTCCTGCAGTCACACTGAGACAGTAATGCAGATGATCCACAAGCTTAGCTATTTCTTGTTCTGTTTAAAGACCTCATAGACCTGTCTAAACTTCTGGCAACTCCACTTTTAAGTTTGGTGAGTTTAGAACAAACTGGGTAGCCTGTAGTTTATTTTTAAAAAGGTAAAATCAGCTTTCTTTTCTCAGTGAAACACAAAACAGGAGATGTTAAGAGGACAGCAAACGAAATGTGAATGATCAGGCCTGAAAAACCCATGAAGGAAACAGTGTCATATTTTCTCTTGTTTTTAGGCCAGCTGTGGTTTGTAAAGCTTCAGGCTTCTTTAGACACAGGTGAGCGCTGACAGGACTCTCCCTGTCACAAGAGCGGGCAGGGTCAAGGCACACTGCCTCACACCAGGCCATCAAGCCAACGGCTTGTAACCGTAGTGCTATAAAGTCACAAAGACAGTTTCATTTTCTTTTCTTTTGGGGGCTGAGGCCCAGACTGAGGGCCTCAGGTATGCTGAGTACGTGCTTTCCCACCGAGCTACACCCTCGGAGGAATCTGCTTCTCAGAAGCTAGTGAGCAGAAGAATCACCTGTAGACTTTGGCAAAAATGTTTCAGAAATGCTGAAGTTCTGATTCACTAGGTCTGAGGTTACGCTGCAGCTCTGTCATGACCCGAGGGGATGCAGTGCCTGCCATCAGCCCTCTGAGAGACACCACCCTCGGATGTGGACCTCTCAAAGCAGCAGATAACTGCCCATCACAGTCACTGTTAGTTAACTTCTGTTTAGCAGCAATTCAAGCCTTGGCTGCAGTCTTAAACAGGGCTGAGGAAAGCAGCTGAGTTAGCGGAGCCTGGAAAGAATCAGGTGGCGCAAGCAGAGACAGGAAATGCGAGTGACCCAGCTGGGAGAGGCCAAGATGGGGCCCGGAGGACAGCGCCATACAGTGTCTGCCTGAGAGTTTACTGGGAACAGACTATTGTGTGAATCCATGGGACACAAGGCTGGGGAACGGGAGAACATTGTAAACAAATTATAAAGCTACCAGAGTTTTTACCTCAGAAATCAAATGCCTACCTTTGTCTGAGGAATTCAGGACAAGCTGGAGCGGTCAATAAAAGTTATTTTTATAAAAGTGATTGTTCAAATGCTTCAAATACCCACCAGTCTGTGTGGGTCTTGGAGGGACAGGGGGAGAGATAAGTTTCCCACTATCCGACATGTTCTTGGCTTCCTTCCCACTGTCCAGGCTCCAGCTGCTAGGGGTGGGGTTCATAGCTGGAAGGGAATAACACAGCTAAAAACACATGGTCCAGCTTCGCCCTTCGAATGCTTGAGCTCTTAGGAGAAAGAATTATCCAGAATGAAAAGATCAACTGGATTAAAAAACAAGAACCACCCAACAGGAAATCTGCTCAACACTAAACCTCTATTAAACTGGCTATGTACAGAGTTGATATTTAACTGGGTTACAGTATATCTTTTCATTTCCCTCAAGCTGTCAAATGCACTACAAAACTCCACACCAGAGTGTAGAAACTTGCTGGTAATCACAAATGTGTTTAGATAATAGGGAACAGATGGAAGATAGTCACTGGGCTACTTTGAAATTTGTTTTTTACTGGAAATTTCTGCACTGTGGTACCTAAAAAGGGAGAAGGCAATGACATGCCATTATTTCAACTGTCTGGCAGAACTACCAGGAAAGAATGGCCCGCCACACCATCTCGATGGTAACTCCTTGAAGAAAGGACTCTTGCTCCTGAAACTGATGGATCCCATTGATGCATGTCCTAAGAAAATAATGTAGAATACTGAGTGTCCTTCTTATTTAGAATCCATCTGTTCTGTGCTTCATTAAGATGCAGCCCCTCTAGGAGTCAGGGCAGCACACGCAAGGCCAGGGACAGTCACTGCCATGATGAAGTGATAACATCCAGCCCGAGAGTTCAGGAGCTCGTGGTCTGGACAGACACTGCCATCTCATGGACAAGTGGAGGAGTCCCACATTTTACTACTGGATTGAATGGGGCGGAATTACTCTTGAAACACTTTGGCTATCCTTTTTTAATTCACCTTGTGGTTTTTCTTGGTAGAAGGGGTGAGAGAAATAGCATATTCCTGTGATCTACTGGCAGAGATCAATGCTTATAACATGAAGGCTAAATCAGTGCTTGAAAATAATTTTGGCTACAGTCTCACTAATTTCCATCTCCCTTTGGAAAGTTTTAATGTTAATGTATCAGTGTAGCCAAATGACAGTACAGTCTAGTTCCTAATGAAGGCAATTAAAGTGCACTTTACTGGGACATTTCATTAGGCACTCTTGATTCACTGGCCTGTGGGACCGCTCCTAATTTTGAGGCTTGACCCTGAGAGAGGTGAATGGGTGACTTGCTGTGAGCCCCCACCCCTCACAGTTAAGGAAATGACATTTAATCTGCTCTTCATCTTCGGCTGTGTTGCAAAGACTGATGCTAATTGGTTACTTATTGCTGTATGTGTATTCAGTTCTCATTCATGTGTGTGTGTGACCTCAAGGCAGTGCGCATTCCATTGTGCACTAGATTGCAGTTCTTAAACAGTATTTAATTTTACAAGAGGCATATCTGAGTCACATAAACAACAGACCTGAATGTGCTTTGTAAGGGAGACAAAAGATGGGGACCAAAGAATCACTCTGGGAAGTCTCAATTTTCATTGTGCTGAAAAAATAGCCTAATTGGCATCTTTGTTTCAGGAAGACAGGCATTGCCTGGGTGACTCACTGAATGACAACAAAGAGTCACTACACAGAGGTGTTCCTGACATGCTCACATTCTTCCAGATAAATCTGACAGCAAACAAGTAATGAATGGATCATGAAAAACAGTCCTCCACTCATTCCCTAAAGAGCAACCAGCCCTGATCACTAAGGACCTGGAGCCCAGCCTTCCACATGACACACAGAAGACGGGAGAAGATGAGGACAGGACAAACCCTTAACATCCCAGGCCGAAGAGGGGCTGGTTTGTACCCACCTTTGTCAGGTGCAGAAAGGTTTGGGTCACTGCGTGGCAAGGCTCCGTCTCCAATATGATTGAACAGCATCCTCTGGAAAGGGACAAGAGTCTGTTTTTATGATACAATATACCTGAGGCCTTTTAGGAAATGACGTGATTATCTCCTTATTGAAGCACTTTGTTCAACATACTGATTATATGGTATGATGAGCCTAGGAACAAAGAGTTTGCTTACACTGAAAGAGGTAAGGGAAGCAGAGCCTTAGGTTTTGAGAAGGAGAACATCGTATTTTAGAAGTTTGTGCCTCATTTTACATATAAATGTTCATAAAAAGTGGAGAAAAATTGTCAAGAGGGGTAGAGCTATGGTTTTCTTTATAAATAAAACTGCCAGTCAGGCAAAATGAAATGCAAGTAAAAATTAAAGGAGAAACAATAGCTCAGTCAGCAGCAAACAGGCTTTAACGTCTGCATATTTCAAATCCTATGTCAGGCTAAAAAAAAAACATGAAATGGTTAACATTCTATAATTTTTAATCTACAAAAATGCCAGTTTGGCACGTCTCTACCTAATGTGCTAAAAGAAAAAATGCCAAGTCCTCAGAAGTAGACACACTCTAGCACTATACATTATCATGACTCAGCCAACACACACATCGCTTCAAATTTTACCCAAAGCGGAACACTCGGGAGGCTAATCGGGGAAGGTTTCCTCCCCAGCAGATGGAACCAATTGTGAAATCCCCTCACAACATCGAGTGACACAGGGAAACAGAACTGTGAGCCACTTCAGCCGCACGCACTCAGATATAATTTCTGCAGACATCAGTGTTGCACAGAGGAGGTTTCCTGGGAGTTTCAGGAAGATCACGCAATCAGCAAAGAGAAACCAATCAAGCCAAACCCCACTCGCTCTCATCTGCTTCCAGGTGCAGATACAGCCTTCGCCAGGACGGTGTCGAGAAACAGAGACATCAGACGGAGCAGAAGGTACTATTTTTCTCCACTCCTAAATTAGTCCCAAATAATCCATTAAGCTGAAGGTGACGCATAAATCTTCAACTTTGAAACCACCCTTCAGTGTTCTCAAAGCGCCCAAGGGGCCAAGTGCACAGTCCTGCCATCACTCAGGCTAAGAGGGGTCATTTCAAAGGCTAGTTTGGTGGGGAGTGATGGCCATGTTCCCTCGCCCCTGAACAGGGGCAGCGTGGGCACACAGCCACTCTGCCCTCAGTGTGTGAGAGAAGAAAGCCAAAGGCAAGTAGACTGCTCCTGCCCTCCTGGGGACGTCAGAAAGGAACTGAAAGCTGTCTCAGTAGGTATGGGCACAAAGAAAGAGTGCTGGGCAATAACATGCTCTTCCTCCAGAGTCTTTTGCTAACATAAGACTCCCCCAGACGTCTGTTACAGTCACATGCAAACACACTCGGGCAGTTCACTCACCAGCTCCCTCTTGCAATGTTTACAAGGCAACAATGAAATACAGAGTCAGACTGAAGACTCTACAGAGATCTCCCATTTCCCCCTCAGCTGTACTGCTTGGGGAACAACCACAGACCCCTACCAGACACGGGGCTCACAGAAATCCCTGACAACAGGCAGGAAACACACTAGACTCTTCACCCAGCCGGCTGTGGTCTGACACTGCCATCCGGGTACCTTGGGCAGCTGCAGCGCGCTTGTGCAGGGCTGTGGAGGTAATCCCAGACTTTCCCGTTTCCAACTTTCTTCACCGGCAAGGTGTACCTGAGAAGGCTCCCCAGGTGTTGGGTAAATGGCACTGCATGGTCTCTCTCTTGGGGACAGGCAGGAGTTTTCTCTGGAATGTTTGTGTTTGTCAGACAACAAGGGAGAAGCTGGGAAGAGAAAGCAAGGATGAATCATTAGCCAGGAGACAGCACTGGGCTTGTCCAGAGCAGAAAGCCTGAGTGTTGGGGCTGTTGGCATAGTCCGGGAAACTGAAGCCACCGTTCTTGGGGTCTGGCAGGTTTTCTGGGACCCTCAGTCTCCCCCACATCCTGTACTGACCTCTGGCACTTGATGGAGCAGAACTTGTCACATTAGGTGAAGCAGAGTGAGTGGAACTCAAGCTTGAGGTAGACGGACTTGGCTGGAAATACACAGGGAGCCATTAGCGCACACAGTTGAGAAGTTTCACACAATGCTGATGTATTTACAAGAAAATTGCCACAATCTTTCTTTCGAATCAACAAAAATGAAAAACATACAGTGAAAAGGTCATTCAGAAATACAGCAAAGTCCATGAGTACAGACTGGTAAGGGGGCCTCCCTGCAATTCACCAGGAATCTGAGCTTTTTAACACTGCCACGGGGACACGCGCAGCCTAGTCCTGCACTGTAACCACAGCAGCTCCCTGACCGGTATGGTCAGACAGACTTTGGCTAGGCCAGGCCAGGCCAGGCCCGCACTTCTGAAAGGTAGAGGGCCTGCCTTTACATTATTTAAAATGTGCTCCAAGCAGACTTAGGAATACGTTTTGTACCCCTTTTCCAAAGACGGGTGGGAAAAATTCAGCTTAGTCTTACTGAACTATCCAAAATGCCACCTTATCAGTGTCTTAAAATGTTTTATTGCAAGACTTACATTCATTCTAAAATGCCTAAAAACTAGCTGTTTAAAGAATGATTTATCATGGGAATCTTCTGATACATGTGTCAGTAAAGAAAACGTTATGAAGGACCCTCTCTGGTCAGGTCTTCTTCAGGAGGCGATGCAGGAAATGCTAAGCAGCAGCTATGTGTGTGTGGATCCCCCCCGAGAGTCCAGGACAGGGAAGCCAACCAAGGTGACCCTCAGAGCTGCGCCTGTGCAGCCTGCCCGCTTCTCCACCACCCGGGCCTGTCTCCTTACAGGGGCGGCAGCTTGGAGGGAAACCCGGTAAAGCAAAGTGATTACAGGTTTGTCCTGAACTCAAGTTCTTGCCTGAAGGTCCATTCATGGGCCCAGCAGCACGGACAGACACCGTCGCGATGGAGACAGAAAGGGAAGGAACGTGAGCGACAAAAAGCTAATAAAGTACCTGCATGTTAAAGACTTCATCAGAGCTTTCTGATTGCCCTGTAATATTGCTTACTTCAGCAGAAGCCTGGGAGGACAGTGAGGAGGAAGAATACCGGTTGACAGCTGGGTAACTTAATGGGCTGTTTCGGGGAGAAAAGATGGTCGTTAACTCAGGCTCTGAACTGTCCGTTATCAGCTGCTGCCATGGAATAAAATCAACGGGGGAAAAACCACACATCCCATTCTGTTCTCTCCTGTTTGCCTCAACAGACTCCAATGTTGGAGCTTATTTATTTCTTTCGCTGTGGCTGTTTCACCGGTGGCAGGTGTCTGCAGCTGCCCCGCAGGTTAATTATTTCATTAAGAAATAGCATATTTGACAAATTGTGCCACACAGAATGAGAGGATCATTCCAGATCATCTTGTGGGGATGCCAAATCGTGAAGTAATTCAGAATATGACTTACCTACGTCTAGGAATTACCCTAGTACCATCTGGGCTCATGGAAGCAGGCGCTGAATTTCTACACACTCGGGGGCTTCCATTAGGAAAATGGACAGGACTGGCTTGCATACAAGCGGAGAACTCCTAGCGACATGAAGAAAACATTTTATTACAATAGGGGTATGGGCGGCTTAACTTATGTGCTGTTTAACCTACTAGATGCACAGCATGAATGTCATGAAACCTTTACACAGCATCTATTAGAGCAAGTTCTAGTATCGGTAAGCCTCTCACATTTTTGTTTTCATAAAAAGCCACCATGGCAAATGGCATGCCATGCAATTGTCGTAGCTGGTACATGCTGTAATTTGGCAGAAAAACCAAAAGATGTCGCTGTTGAATACTTCATCTTCCCCCTAAGAAAAAGCAAATGGCAGTGGGCAGACTGCCCCACTGTGGACACTCGGAGTACATACCTGAATTCCTAAGCTCGACTTCATCACAAAGAACTGGTCCACCAGCTTTTTGTGAAGGGGTCTCATATCTTGAGGCACAAACTTCTCATGCACAGCCAAACTAAACTCCAGAATCTGTGCCTTAATAACATAAGGGAAAAAACCTCACATCAATGGTTATCTCTCGGCAGGGCTTGTTTCCGTCCAACTACTGTACCAGGCATTTTTCATGCATTATTGCCAATCTGCTGGATCCAACAAGACAGGAACAGTTAGCATATTACAGGCGAGGAAATCAAGAATCAGAGAGGTCCCGCATATGCAGTAGTAAAGGGGGATCTGAATATTTGGGTCTGGCTCCCAAAGCCTTGACTTTCCTCTTGGGTTGATGCCCAGATTCCTTCCCAACTATTTTATATCTTTAGTTACAACTTTTCCTAATCCTTTGGCCCCTCGCTGCCCATCCCAGGATGGGACCAGGGATGGAGGCAGGTGCTGCCTCCTTGTTAGGAGGCTCAATCAAGCAGGTGTCTCTAAGGGGCCCTTCTCCAGATGGCACCCATGCCATGCTATCCTCCCCTCCTCCAGAAGAACCCACAGGTTCTCCTGTGGGTCTCATCCCTCTCACAGATTTTCAACACCCATCAGGGATGAAGGAACAATGTACAAGTATCCCACAACACTTGTTATGTTTCTTATTTTTGTTTGAAGATATTATATTTGTTCATTCTAACAACATGAGAGCTTCGCCCAGTGGCAGTATCATAGCCAGTGAGGTTTATCCGTGGCAAGATTATTGCTACTTGGAAACTTATAATGCAACAAGAAAGGAGACCATATTTAAGTGCAAGTTTTCTTGCTGTGAGGACCCAAAACAAAATGAACATAAACATGCAGCTTTCCTTTATGTAAATATCAACAGTGTATAATTCCTCTGATTTGAATGACAGCTATGCTCTACATTTGAAAAATGCCTTCATGTTTAGCTGAGTGTGGTGACATATGCCTGTAATCATAGCACTCAGGAGGCTGAGGCAGGAGGATCTTTGTGAGTCTGAGGCCAGCCTAGGCTACAAAGTAAGTTCAAGGCCAGTCTGAACTGCACAGCAAGACTTGTCTCAAAAACACACAAAAAACCCAAAAACAACAACAAAAAAAAGTGCTCCGAAAAACCCCAACTTTGTAGGAGGAAAACAATAGAAGGTCTTATTACCTCTGTAGCTTGTAAAAATCTAGGATGGAAGCTCAAGGTCAAACAGGACTGACCTTTGTGGAGTACAATATCCAGAATCTTCCCTAAGAGACAAGATTGTGACAACTCCGGTCTGGATACCCACCCCATGCCTACACATTTGCATAAGGAAAAACACACTGATAAAATACACCTTTGAGAGGCAGAGATGGAGTGCAATGCACATCTGAGGTGTAAAGGGAGAGCTGACCCCTGAGTGAGGAGATGGGGCGGGGGTCACAGAGCTGAGTAAATACAGAGCCGCTACTCTTCTCACCCGAAACACTACTGTGGGGCAACCACCCTGTTACTCCGATGACGTTCCAAGTCGGGTCATCCAAGAAGTAGACCTTGGCATGGAGACTGGAATTCTCTTTGGGGCCACTGCCAGAGGATGGAGCGGAAGAAAGACTTGGTAGAAAAAGAAGCTGCATGCCCAGGCAAGAGATCCAGGCTCGACCAAACCCAGGACGCCCTGGATCTTTACTGAGCTATCAGAGTTGTCCAGGGTGAGCAAGCGAGCACTTGGCCAGACAAGGCAGAGAGGGTGATGACTCCACCGTCCTTACCTGCTCAAGCATCAGCTCTCTTAACCGTGCAATCTTCTCCCCATCTTCAGGATGACTTAGAATGTATTCTTTGACAAAGAAAGCCTAGGAAGATCAAGGACAGGCTAGTGAGCTACCAGGGAAGTGAAAGGAACACTTGTTGTTTTTAAAGACCTGGCATTCTTTAGAGAATGACATGATTATAAACCACATTTGGGGACAGAGAGAGTGATTCCTATGTGGGTGTCTGGTCGGAAAGAAACACAAGGAAAGGACTGGTAAAGGAAGACCAGAACTTGTACAATAAGTATATCTGGTAAAATAAACAAAGAGCAAGTTCAAGTCTACAAGCCATGTGGTGCTTCATCCTAAAGCCGACTGCCTAGGGTTCAGTGACGATGACCTCATCTTCCAGGCTACCACACCTTTCTGTTTAAGACTAAGTGGGCCGAAGCAAAACCCTCTTAAAGCATCTTTTGAACAAGGGCAGACTTTTCTATGCCCATGAACATCTCTTCTCAGGGAAATTATTTTGGACATTTATTAAACAATTCTAGGGGGCCAGAGATACAGCTCAGTGGCAAAAGCACTTGCCTGGCAAGCTCAACATCCTGAGTTAGACTGCTGGTTCAAAAAAGCAAAAATAAAAACAACAATCCTGCTTGACCTTATCACTATTTTTCTTCACACACACAATATACAAGCAAACTTTTTTTGGGGGGGTAGGTACCAGGAATCAAACTCAGGACCTTGCACTTACCAGGCAAGTGCTTGTGCTGCTGAGCTATATCCAAGGCCCAGTACATACACACTAATCCAGAAAATATCATGTACCGGGAAAAATGGAATAAGTGGACCTCACATGACTACATATTCTATTTCATAAAGCACCTTGGTGATGTCAGTTGTGGTCATCTGTATGATATGGGTATGTATTTTTGAGAAAACTCTCACAAAACTCTTAAGAAATAACAACTGAGCACTTCATCTCAAACAACAATTGCTAATGCTCACCTCCTGGTACCTGGAAACCCCACCATTCACCGCGGCATCGATGACCCCGTTGAGGCACATGGTCAGGGGGTTAATATTCTGCATCTGTCTGGTCTGACACTGGCTAATCAGAGTCTTCAGTTGCTGGTTCTTATTTTCCAGGACTTCAATTGCATTTTCCAGAGGACTCATTTCTACCTGAGAAGCCGACAAGCACAAATATATATTCAAATTTGTAACATTCAAGAAGTAAGATAAAATTTTAACGAAGAGGAAGGAGGAGGGGAGGACAAAACTGACTTCCACACTGAACCTTCTGTGGTCCCCTTGGCCTCCTCTGACCGTATGCTCACCAGAAACCATTTGGTAGGACAGACAGGGAATGTGTAAGTCAAGTTAGCTGTTGTTAGTAAACAGCTAATGAACAGGCAGGTAATCATATCCACAATTTGAACTGTGGTTTGGATAATCCTCAGTTATCATTTCTACATTAGCGCTGCAACAAGTTACTCCCTAAAGTAATATCCAAGAAGTTCGTGCTTTGCTTTACTTTTGAAGGGCTAAATCTTCAGGGCCTTTGAATGCTGTAATCGCCTTTGTAGATGAGTATTTGATACAAAGCACCACTGACGATGCCATTTCTAGACCATGTGTCAAAGAGCTTCCGGCCCAGGTGGGGAGAGAGGCCATATGCATGTGTCACAGCACCGTACGGTGATACAGGATGGCCCACAGTCGGGGGTCACAGAAAACCAGGTAATTATATACATTTCACGATCTATTTGTTGAAGGAGAGCCAAACAGGACCATAATGGCCTACTGCATTGTCCAGGGGACCTAACTGTGCAGACGACAGCGGTGCTCTCAGATGTCGGCAGTGGACATGGTGTCTGTCACTGACATTTTCTTTGAAGAGAAGGGCTGCCAAGTAATTTAGGCTCCCACTAAGCACGGGTAAATGCTGGTTCTTTCAGCTAAAAAAAAGAGTTATCAAGCATTAAAGTCACTTAGATCATCCTAACCTAACACTGAAAATTGCTAGATTAATCTGACTGTACTGAAATTAAGGATCATATTTGTTAAAGATACTCTAAAGAGGGAGGAAGACAAGGACAAACGAGAAGACATTCTAACATGTACAACCATCAAAGAGTCTAGGTTTAGAATATAACCAGTAAGAAAAAGGTAAACAGGCCAATAAGAAAACAGGTAAAAGAGTTAAAGGAGGAAATACGAATGGCCAGGAAGTAGATTAAAAGACGCTGAATCTCATCTGTGATCAAAGCTGTGGAAAACAATACCATGGTAGTATACTATTAAACATCCACTGTACTGGTAAAAATAAATACAATAGTAGCAAATGAAAGTGAGAATATAATAGAATTTCAGTTCTGGCTATTAGAAGTTCAGAGTAGTTCACTCACTTTGGAAAACAGTTGAAGTCACTGTTTCTGTGATATGTTTCTGTAGCCATATTTCCATTCGTATCCATCTCATGGCTCGGAAATTCTACTACTAGTATATACTTGAGGAAAAGTTGGAGATGTGTAACATGTGACAAAGAGACATTTACTTGTTTCTAAGATCTGCAAGTCCATCAACAGCAAAATGCATGGTCATACCAGGTATGTTTATATAATGGACTAGCATACAACAATGAAGAAATACTTCAGTCGTATGTAATAACATGGAAAAATACCACAAAAGACACTACAAAACATCTTAATAGAAAATACTCAGCTTGATACTATCCCATAAAGTTCAAAACCAAGCCAAACTAAGTTGACTTGTTTAGAGAGGTGTAAATAGTGATAGACTAAGCACAGGGAAGGGTATCATAGAAGTCAGGTGACAGGGCACAGAGAGGGACCTGCGATTGGGAAGGGGTGCATGGGGGACGCTAGGATGCTACTCGCAATTCCTTCTTACCTGCATGTCGGTAAACGGGAATTTGCTTTTTAATTATTTATGTACACAAAGCTGCACCATAAAGGAAAAGCCTGGGAACTCTGGTCAGCACCAGTAAAGTACAGTGTCTCAGAAGGCAGTGTACTTGGTGGTGGCCAGGGGTTGCGGAGCGGGTGCTACTTAATGGATGGGGCCTCTCAGTTTCCCAAGAGGAAAAATGAGCAGAGCTCACTGACACGACAACTACGAACAGTTAACACTCTTCACTTGAACATGGGGAAGGTAACAGATTTTATCTGTTTTCTACTATAATAAAATAAAACATCCACCTTCTTGCTTACTTTTTCCTAAAAGTGAGAATGTTTTGCTTACCTTTTCTAAAGGTGAGAATTTCTAAAAAGCAAACAAAACAAGATGTAGGAAAAGAATAACAAGTTGGAAAAATATTTCCAGACAAAATATTAATATTTATTAAATAGTAAAGAAGTGTAACGTATGATCACAAAATAGAAAAGACAAATATATGCAAATATATCCTTTCTACTAGCATTCAATAAATGCAAAAAAAAAAAAGAGAAATCAACCTTAGTAAGATCATTTTTGGTCTATATTTGGAATGATTAAAGCAATACAGAACACCCAGTCTTGGAGACAATTACTATTTTGGGGTAAGAACAGTTATCCCTTCCAGTCAGGGCATAGACGGATACACCCCACCATGGACCTGTGAGTCACAGGTTCAACTGGGGATACCCTTTGGTAGGTTTACTCATTTGTGGGAAAACAGTTCTAAGGGGATTGCTAAAGAAGTGTGCAAGGGTACGTGTACGAGGAATGCTCATCAAATCATCCTTTTCTCTAGCTTCCAGATGTGAACGGTGATCTTCCCACACCCTTTCAGTGGGAAGAGTTCGTGGGGGACAGAAAACTGTGTTTTATCTCCCTGTCAACTGAACCTTCAGGTAAACAGCTAAGAGTATTGCTAGCAGAAGACACGTTCCTGTGGAATACTTTCAGCAGGAACTCACTAGCCAAAGGATTTCTCAAAATAATTAAATCCGGATCCCATGAGGCATGTCTGGGAAATGTCCTTGAGGGGCTTAAAGTGAACCACCTGGGGTACAAAATGGGATGTTTCATAGTTTACACTTTGTAATTTAAGTGTGCCCCTTATATGAGGAACCCCACGGACCTCATTTAGAGAGCCCATCTATTATCCCAAGTTGTTATTACTGAGATGGAGAGAAGGATCTGGCAGGTGACATTTGACGTCTCAGAGTTGCTCCGCTTTAACTGAGCATGCAGTCTTGAACGTATTAGTAAAGCTCACGGTGGGAAGGGCGCTGAGCTGTGTATGTCTGATGTGACAATCTGATCTTGTGCATCAGCTCAGTGATGAAGACTTGGGCAGTCTCCCAAAAGGTGAAGAGGAAACAATTTAGTAAGTTTAAGAATAACTTAATAACTGCCATGGATTAGGAACAAAACGAACATGTTTTAAAAACCCTGGCCTACTACTAACATCAAGAGGGCCAACTAAACAAAAGTGATCTGTGGGTTTTGTTTGGATGTTTCACATTACCATTCTGAAAACCTGAAATCGGGGAAATGAGTATTGTACTTCTTTTCCTACATCTCAGGGTAATCAAATAGTTGGTAGGGGACATTTCTGTTTATAGAAGTGGTCCAATGAAAAAAGGCAGTTTAAGCCTATCATCATATTTTAGTCTTAAATATGACTCCAGCAAGGAAGATCAACAGATGCCAACATGGTAGCAGGAGCACACACCTCCTATGCAGTATCTCAAAAACAGCAAAATGCAACATTGTTCCAAACCCTAGCTCTAAGTACCAATCTACAAGTGATGCAGGCGACAAACACACATGTTAACCCCACAGAGTTGCAGCTGCAAAATCCAGGCTTGAAACACAGCAGGATAAATCATCCAGTTTATTGAGCAACCACAGTAACAACTGCAACATCAACAATAACAAGTTCAAGGGCAGCAAGTGATGCAGGGAGAAGTTACAGATGGAAAAAGATTTAACAGGTCTTTCAAACAACTGCAAGCTGCCAGGTGTGGTGGCTCCTGCCCTGATCCCAGCACTCTGGGGGGCACAGGCAAGAGAACTGCGAGTTTAACCTGAGCAATTTAGAGAAACTTGCTCAAAATTTTAAAAAAAATTTAGAAAGGGCTGGGCATGTAGCTCAGTGGAAAGGCTCTGGGCTCAAGCCACAGCATTACAAAAAGAAAAAGAAAAACAAAAAAAGGATGCAATGGGTCGCCTTTATTTAGACCTACAGTAGAACAACAGAGTTAAAAGTCTTGGTGAAGTATGAAAGAAGTATGATCAAAGAATTCATGTTACTTTCCGAGATGTGGCAATGAGACTGTGGTTATGTTGTCTTATAAATGTACGTTCTGAAATACAGATGAAGATGTTACATCTGAGATTTCCTTCAAAATAGTGTGAGGAGTGGATAAAGTGCAGGTAAAACAAAGTTGGTCTTTTGGAAGAGGATGAAGTGACATGAGAAGTAAATAAGGCTCCCTGTATGAGTCCTAGGTTTTTATGTGCTATAACTTGAGCTTAAAGGGTCACTGACTGCTGTGTACAGAAGGGGCTGCCTGAGCCAGGGACAGGAGCAGGCGACGTCTCGGGTCTGTCCTGGACTCAAGTTCCGGCTTGAGGCACTAGGTGGCGCCACCAGAGGGGCTGCTGATAGCAGCTCAGCCTGGTGCTTTTTTAAAGTAACAAGACTGACAGATGTGCTGAGGGGTGGTAATGTCCTGTACTGTGACAATTTAGATAGGCTTAAAAGTCACTACTTATGGCGTCTAAATTCAAATTCAAATTCAAATTCAATTTTTGTATAAAAATTTAAAAATTAAAGAAAAATAGAATAAAAAATGTTTTTTTGAAATGCTGAGGAGCTATGGGTTCAAATGCTTAGAAATCTTATTACTATATCCAGGGTGTATAGTTTAGAAAATAAAGGCCCAAAATTTCATGTGAAACTTTTAATGTCAAATGTTTCATAATTTAGAGCTTCTCAGATTTTAAAAAGGTGATACAGAACATATGCAGTTTACCATGTAATCTGCGCAGGGGCTGGGACAGTTTCCTTTAACCAAATCCGCTGATAATTCTGCAGTGATGCGAATGATCATTCACACGAAATGAAAGAAAGTCACTCAGTGGTCTCATACTAGAAGAACATAGGTGTATGAGCAAATGAGTTTTAAAACCAAACTTATGAAAATGTCTTTTGGTTTTCAGATTCTGGCACTGCACACAAGGAATTTCAACTCATTCTGACAAGTATTTATTGAGCAGCTAGCACGTACCTCTGTTCTTGCAGAGGCCACAAAACAGGAATTAAAGAAGTGGGGTCAAGAGACAGAGGGACATTCCAGGTAGCAGGAAAGCCTGCAAGGGCTGTGAAGAGTGCGCTGTGCTCAGGGGACAAAACAGCTAAGTCTGATTTTCGTTCTGACAGAACACAGGACTGCATATTCTAGAAAAGCAGCCATCCGAAGCTGGAAAGGATGCTCCTTTCATCATTACCAACTTGCTGCTTTTTATAGCAGGGTGTGCGTGGAAGTGTGTCGGGGGCAAGGACCACGGCTGAGGCTGCACAGAACTTAACACCTGTGTCCTTTGATCTCAAAGACTGAATAAGAAGTGCAGCATGGTTGACTCAGACCCCCTCGACATCTGGCCCAGGCTGCTAGGGAGAAAGCACAACTGTGAGACTCGTGAGCGCTGTGTGGCAGCCTCCTGTCATCCAGGGAAGGCTCCAGGGTACATTATACACACACCCAGCGTGGGGGGCCACTGTGCTCAGTTTGCTTAGGAAACTGTATTTTGTGGCACTGCAAAATGAAAATCCCATTAAATCGTTCGCTGAGTCAAACATGACAAGCAGGGTTTGAATGCTGAGCTATTCTGAGTAGGATAAGGCAGCCTAGAGACAAGTTGGGCAGGAACTGCTCTTATTCATTGGAAGATCAGGCTTGTTACCTACAGATTGTGTATCTTCACAATCAGTGCATTCTCCTTGAGTCAGAGGACTGGTCTCAGCCATCATGGATGTGCCCAAGGACAGAGAAGGGATGCTGAGGGTGGGGGCAGGCCGAGATCATGCCGCCCTAATGACAGCTGCCTATTCCTGCTGCCTCCCTCCTCTCCACTGGGTGTAGCTGGGTGGAGGCAGGGTGCATTCTTGAGCACTGCAATTATCTGTCATGGTATCTGCTGATCTCCAACCCGGCCTCCATCTCTAACTGCTCAGCTACTGAAACATACACATTCCCCCCACTGCCAGCTAAACCAGTGTGGCCGTCCTGTGTGGCCCACACGGTGCTGGGGCTTACATTAGCTTCACTTTGATTGTAAGGGAACCAAGGCTTGAAGACATTAATATAACTAACTCTGCAGTCAGAAAACTCAGGGTCTGAGTCTATCATTTTGAAACACCTTGCTATATGGCCTTTGGCAAAGCCCTTGAGCCTCCTGTTAAAATTGGTGAAAACTGGGAATGAACAGACACGCTGTATCTCCAATATGATGAGTAGATGAGACAGGGTAGGAGGCCTTCCAGGCACTGGCCTGTTGCATTTACAGTGACGGAGACATAGCAACCTGAAGCAGTCGACAGCTGGAATTCCATTTCTTCTTACCCAAGGGCCTGAGTAGTATTTTTACATGCAGCAATCATAGTTTTCAAGGAATTCCTCTGGCTGGATAGAGCAGGACAATATTAATGTTCACCATCCCAGCCTTGGTAATAGCAGCCAGAATTATAAATATTCACTAACTTGCTATGAGAGAATCCAGGGACTTTGAGGCAACAGCAGAAGCAATTAATATTCGGCATGACCCCAGGTGAGCAGCTGTGATGAGAAAATACTTGAAAGTAAGCTCTGATTCTTACCACTTCACGCTTTTCCACTTCAAACCAGCGGGAAATGCCAGGTAAACTCTGCACCAAGTATAATGACGTCCTCTCCACCCAGAGACTCTAAGAAACACAAAACAAATTAAGTCTCCAAGCTGCTCTACTTCTGTGGCATCGTTATGATGAATGTGATCAGGTTTGCTTATTCCTGTCAGCTTTTCTTTAATCTTCATTTTCATCACTCATGAAACCATCACAGTAAAATACTGCTGCAGCTTGTGGCAATAATTCAACCACACGCTGCCTGAAATTTGTTTCTATATAGAGCAAACAGGCTCTGCCTTCAGCGAGCAAGCTTCCACACAGGAAGACCGACTTCTGCATTACTCTCCTTGCTATTTCTCTAAGATTCTAATTTAAGCTATCTTTGCTCCTCCAGTGTTAGACATTTTGATCTAGAGATTAATGGTATGAGTGAGTCAACAAAAATCTCATGAGCAAAGTCCTGAAGAAGCCTCCAAGAGACGGCTCAAAAACTGTTGTGATCCCTGCAGTGCCACTCTGACTCTGACTCCCTCTCCACAGCCACATGCACTGTGCCACACTTCTCATGCCTGTGAAGCCACAGCTGCTTCGGTCTGAGACACCGCTGACAACAGGCTCCTCCTTTGCCAACCTGACCTCAGTGTCTACGCCTCATCTTTCTTACCAAAACCATATTCCCAAGGGAATAAGAAGCTGCAAATTCCTGAAATTGTGCCATTTTTGAAACAAAAACAACCACCCCCCAAATGGAAGGCTTTCTTTGCATCAACCAAGGGCTCCTGATAGAGACCCTGTGACAAAGCTGGCAGTGATCCAGTGGTGACAGGAAGGTAAGCAGGTAAGGGAGCTGGGAGGCCAGAGAAGGGGAGGTTCAAAGGTGCACAGAGGATGCAGGTGGTGCCAAGCTGGGGGAGGAGGACAGCAGCTCCCAGTGGAGGTGACATGTGAGCTGAATTCTGAAGAGTGTGTAGGAGTTTGCCAGTAGGAGAGTGGGGGGAGCTGTGCAGGCAGGAGGAAGCAGCCACACAGGCATGGCGAGGCTTGTGAAAGGGCACGGTGACAGAGGAAGAGAAGCTGGGCGTCGCTGGAGCTGGTGGGGGCTGAGTGGGTTGCTGTAGAGACAGGTTTTGGGAGGCAGTTTGGAGTTAGCCTCCAAGGGCTGTGAGCACAGGAATGGAGAGCCAGATTTATTCCCTGCTCCTCCCATTGGACACATTGCTGTATCACTGAGAGAGAAAGCAATGGCCACAAACAAAGGTGCTTCAGTACGAAGAGGAGCAGAGGAGCGGGAAGCCGTGGGTTCCCCTGCTGGGCCCACTGGTGATCGGCACAGGACTGAGCAAGTCCACTGCTTCACTCCAGTGCGACTGCAAAGAGGACTGTGTCATAAACCAGGAGATCTTCGGCAGATTCTGGAGGACAAAAAGTAAAATAAAAGTATCCAGAAAGGACTGGAACGCGATTTCTGCCTTGCTCCTTAACCCACCAATCTCCTGCACACAGGCCTGCTCTGTATTCAGCTGCCCTCAGAACTCTGTAAAACCGTCACAGCTTCCCCTTCTGATCACTTGGCTGTGAATAACTCCTGGTACTGCGGTGAACACTGGAACCGACACTCAGACAGGGCTGACGGCAGTCAAAGCCCCTGCCTTCAGTTGAGAATCTGTGGCGAAAGATGCTAAGCCAGTAACAAGCTGGTCTCGCATTTCCTAGTCACAATGTGAATACTGGCTGTCCGGTCTCACTGTGTCTCTGTTTTCATGGAAAGGGAAGGTTACAACTTACCTGCTGAACCCTCTAGCTCCTTCCCCTCAGCAGGATGGTGGAGACTCTTACCCTTTTTGGTAGGGAACAAACAGAGCTAGCAATGGTTGTTGGCTGTAGAACTGTCACAAAAGAAGTGACTTCCTGTACTGCTCCCAGATCCCAAGTCAGGATTCCTGGACTAAGGGCCAAAAATTTGCTTGGTCACAAAGCACTCCAATATACAGCAGAGGTGGAGAATCACTAGACTAAAGGCTTTTTAAGACCCTTCTGGTTCTGTCACTAGATACCATTCTGAGTAAATATTTACCAAGGGTCTTGCCCCCCAAAATGCATGGTCTAGGTGAATACAGTAAGTACAGCACAGTACCTTGAACTCATTCTCTTTATCTTTCGTGCCTTTGTGAAATGGCCTATCGTAGCGGAATTTCCAGATGTGATTCACTTTGTAGAAGCTTTTGATGTTATCAGGGACACCCTCTCTCTGCAGGACCTCCTGGCTCTCGGGAATGGGAGTCACAGCATAGATCTGCAAATCTAGGATTAAAGAGTCAAGGAGGGAACCCAACTTGGCAGACTTCAAGCAGCCTGGCTCGAGCTGAGCTGTGCAGAGGAAGGAGGATGGATGACAATCTGGTGTTTCCATTTCGGTTGAAGTCATTTAAAAAATTGCCAAGAAGATGCAAAGAACACACTTTAAATCATGTCTCAAATGACAGGCTAATTCTAGCCAGGTGATTGAACTAATTCTAGCCAGGTGATTCTAGCAATGTGGCAGGTTGAAATATCCATCACCTGTGAATTCATGCATCACAGATTTGGGTGGGGGCAGGTGGGAAAAGTCTGACTCTTGGGTACTCTGTGACGTCCATTCTCCCAGACTGGCTAGTGCTAGTGTTTAAATGTAGCTTATGATTTAAAATCTTAATAAACGAGCATCATGTTTACTCATATAATTTAACTTTTCTTTACTAGTTCAAAGAAAAATAGCAAAATACTTTCTTTTCACGTAATATTTTTGTTTTGTGTTTTGATTCCTGTTCTGAAATGGTCACTGAGACCATGGGTTTCAGATACAGGCAGAGATTCAGGAAGCATGCTGGAGCAAATCACTGTGGTCCCAAACATCAACACAATTTCAGTTGTTTGTGTTCAGTCACTGGGTATGTGAATTATATGATAATGATCACATGCCCAGGATGTCACAGCTAAGAGCCCCCCAAAGATGGTGCCTTTCTTTTCCCTCCCTCATTTGAGAATGAAAGTATCACAGGAAAGAGGAGTGGATGATATGCATCAGCAAACATAATGCTACCATCTCAAAACGAAGCAGTTTCCATGGGGTATGTCAGTGGCAAGTTATTTTAAGGGAAACCACCAAAAAGCTTTAAAAGCTGGGTTCAGAGATAGAGGAGTTCTAATTAAAAGGGGTAAAGTTCTCTTACAGAACCTCTGAGAATCTTTAATCTTTTCAACTGACACTGTCCTAATAAACAGAAAGATAAAATTCGTTTCAGGAGGAGCTGAGCGAAAATCAGGATGAGGAGAATGCGGGACAGCACAGAAGGCTAGAGAGGAGGACGAGGGCCAGGGCCAGGGCCAGGCGAGGGCGCTGTGACCACGCTGGCCGGCCGCGGGGCGGATACACTGCGCTTCCGCCTGGAAGATGGTCTCGTCGGGCTGGTTGGCGTGCTGCATGGCGATGGCGTGGGGGAACTCGGTCAGCATCCTCTGCTGGAAGGCCTCCAGCCTCTCGTAGTCGTGCCCTCGACACACGAACTCCTTATTCTGGGCGTGGAACAACAGCAGCAAAAATCAGAACCATGTAAGGGAGCGCGTTTATTACAGAGACACCAAAAACTGACAGTGGCAGGCGCTGACCATGCGCCCAATCAGCACCCGATCACAGCCGCGGCATATCCTGGGGCAGCCGGAAAACGGAGCCCAGATGTTAAATCTGTAGGACAAAGGTCACGAACCTCACTCTGTTACTTCCTGGAACACAGAGAGAGGTCTCTGCCCCCAGGGGTGCAGCGGTGTCCGATTCCCAGAGCACTGACGATGCGCAAAGGCAAAGCCACCATTCCTTCTCACTGTCAGTGCGCACGTGTTCCAGATGAGTCTTAGAAGCCAGATGTCAAACTCATGCACGTAAATTCACTACTCAGAAGAAAAGGAACTAAATGCCACAACTACAACTGCATTTCCGTGGAAATGCACTTTTCCTAAAAGCCTGGACGTGTCCACAGACTCACAGGGCAAGGCAGGCCGAGCCACCTGAGTCCCAGCTCTGGAAGCTCCTTACGCAGGGAGCCCTATGTAGGATGGCTCAGCTGGCTGGAGCGGGCCTCGGGAGTCTTAGGATCTTGGTAATGTTGGATGTATTCCTGCCCATGTTTTTACCATACAGTAAGTATCAGTGGGTCAGCAGTCTCTCACACAGCTAAGAATGCTGAGGGGCATTACTGCAGAAGGCCCAGAGAGCTGGGAAGATGGTATACAAAAAGTACCTTAATCACTTGGTTAGACAGAAGCGAAGCCTACTTGACAGCTTAATGCCTGTGAAACTGTAGCCGCTGGGCAGACGCTGGGAGGCAGTCTGCAGGGATTTTATTTAACTGGTACAGGCTGGAGAGGGAGTCGCTCACTCTGACTCCATTTCATATTCGGGGAATTGAGGTTCAAAGACTCTCAGCACTCAGTCTATGTGTACAACATGCAAATCACAGCCTGCGATGTTCAGGAAAAACTGCCGGGAGCAACAGAGACCATAAAAGGTCGTCAGAGTACGTCGTCTTCAAGAAAAAGAAGAAAACAGTCAGTGGTGTGGGGAGCTGCGAGGCTCAAGGGTTTTTCCTGCTCTTTGAGGTTCCAATCATCACATGAAAAGCCCAAAGGAAGAACTCCAGACCCCAGCGACAGTTAGGAACAATTCTCTGCAGACAACTGGAAAAAACAGTACCCTTTAGACACCTACCTCAGTTTCCACAAAGTCCCTAAAGAAATTATGAACCTCTGAAAATGTACATTAAGGTAGACTCTAAGAAATCAGGACTCTCAGAAATTTATAGAAGACTATATTCAACACTTTCTAGATAAAAGTTTACCTTCCAACACAGAAAAACTGTGTGCCACATGTTGCATGTAAAAAGTTCACTTCAAAGACAATACATTTTCTTGACAGAATAAAAGACAATACATTCGCTTCTACATATCATAGTAGTCCTGTCAGGCGTGGTGGCACACACCTGTACTCCCAGCTACTTGGGAGGCTCAGGCAGAATGATAAGTATGACCCAGCCTGGGCAACTTAGCAGCTTAGTGTTTCCAAATAAAAAAGGGGCTGTGGATATAGCTCAGTCTGAAAGCCCTCAAGTCAATCCCCAGTATTGCGACACAAAACAAACAAAAACAAAAGGCAATTCAGTGGTTTTTAGAATATTCAGAGTTGCTCAACCATCAACACAATTTTACAATCTCATAAAGAAACCTTGTGCTCCCTAAAATACTTCCTATTACTCTCTATTTCCCTCAGGTCTTGGCAACCCTCAAACTACTTCCTGTTTCTATAGATTTAGTCATTACGGAATTACACAACGAACCCTTTTGTGACTGGCTCCTTTCACTTAGCATAATATTTTCAAGGCCCATTTATCTTGTGGCACTTGCCTATACTTTATTCCTTTTTACTGCTGAGTAACAGTCCGTGATCTGCAGATAGTACTTTTTAATGCATCCATCAGTTAATTGATATTCAAGGTCTTTCTCCTTTTTTGGCAGAGACGAATGCTTCCATAGGCACTCAGGTACAGGTCTGTGTGTGGACGCATGTTTTCAGATTTCTTTTGTAAATACCTAGGAGCAGATCTGCGAGGACACATTGATCACCACTCTTTAAAGAACCCATATTCTATGAGGGTTAAAAAAATACTTAGATCATATAATTGTGTCCATATACTAACCTGCGCTTTCAAAGTTATCTTTAAATTGATCAAATAACAAAAGGAAGTTTTAAATGCTTTAAAAAATAAAAACACCGGCTAGAAACTGATTTCTGAACGAAAGGTCAGCCAGGGGATTCCTGGCATGCAGTGCCCTTTAGCACCAAGAGAGGGTGACCTGTCTCTTCCATTTTGAAGACAGAGTCAAATACCTCCAGAAAAGCATTTTTCTAAAGACTGATAATACAGAGATTGATTTATTTGAAATGACTTTTAAACAAAATTTACTGTATTAGCCAATGGAATTTTCCAATTTTCTGCTCAGCTACTTTTGATTTTTAAACTTATACTTTTAACTCATAATAACTATATAATATATACATTGCTAAGGTTCCTTACTATTTACTTGGTAGCCAAACTCAGTGCAGATTGGGCTACATTATGGCTTTTGTTGTTTGTTTTGGTTTGGTTTTTGAGACAGGTGTGACTGTAATTCATGGTGGCCTTAGATTCATTATGAAGCCCATGTTGGTGCTGAACTCATAGTGATCCTCCTGCCTCAGCCTTTCAAGTGCTGGGATTACTTGCGTGTGCCAGCAGGCTCAGCTACATCATGGCTTTTATGGACCTGAAGCACTTTTGCTTTCATGGGTCCTTTTTTCCATAAAAAATATTGAAATTATATTGTATGACTGGTTTGGTATAGATGGATAACTCAGTATTACCTAATGCATAATATACAAAACATATATAAAGTTTTATTTGTTGGAACATGAGAAAAGTTGAATATTTCATCATCTAGTAGAAAAATCTAGAAATCTCCTTTTGAAGTAGTTTATATTAGCCACACCTTGGGTCTCTTTGCTGGGTGACATCTGCCTTTTAATAAAGTCAATAAAAAGACCAACAACACTCTTCATATAGTTCTGGCAGCAGAGTTTCCTTATAATGTGAAGCTGACTGCTTTATACAGTCTGCAACCTCCAGCCCTTTCAGTGCCCCCTCCCCTATTTTTTCTCTAATGCTAATTCTACAGAAATTATAGACTGGCTAAAACAGTGAATATTATAGTGCAGAAACTGTAATTACACAAAGATTGTTTATAACGTTAACTTAGGGATAGGTTGATTTTTGGGAAATTATTCAAAACATCATGGCAAGGTTGAAAGTGGTGGCTAACTCCTGCGATCTCAGTACTCTAGGAGGTGGGGGCTCATTACTGTGAGCTCATGCCCAGCCTGGGCAACTTAGTGAGACCTGGTCTCAAAAAATAAAAATGGGCTGGGGCTAGAGCTCAGTGGAAAGATCCTGGGTTTAATGCACAGTATTAGAGAAAAAAAAAAAGGTATTTACTAAGCAAAAAGTTAAAAAAGAATTCTTATGATATTCTAACCTATGTCATTATCATAAAATACTATTAATATCTTAGTTTCCTTGATTGAGATATTTGCATTAGAAGAATGAAAGTAAATTATGTGAATACTACTTACTCTTAAGAAAAAAGGAAATTTTTTCCCATAAAATCCAACTCTGAAGAATTCTGGCTCCAGTCGCTGCTGATCCATAATTTTGTCATACAAGGAAGCTTCCATCATCTAGGAAAACATCAGACGTGTTCTAAATAGTCTATCTTACTTTCAGCCCCCAAAATTGATAGAGGAACATATTTCTTCTATAGAAGAGAGACTGTCATTTTAATTCAGTTTGCAGATAAGAAGTTTGGATTCCCTTTTTTAGGATTTAGGGCAAAAAAAAAAAAAACCCAGCAAACTTATTCTATACACATGCACACAGCAAATATTTCACTCTTTGTGAGCCACGTGCGCTGTCACCACTACCAACTCTGCTGGGTCCACAGGCTGCAGTGTGCTGCCCCTGATTAAGGATCAAGTGTTATTATATGTCATCACCAGAGCATATTCCTATGGGGGAAAAGTTTAAAAATAATTAAGCAGAAATTAACATTTAATAGAAGCAAAACTTTCTTGTGGAAGTCGTGCTATAGACGCACTCACCTGTGGCTGTGCCTCTCCCTCACACGGGAAAATTCAGGGCCTTAGCAGGTGTGACCTTGCTCAGGTTGGGCGGGATAAACGGAAATACCAGACCACAGAGACTCACAGTGCAAAATGCTGTCTGAGCTGAAAGCTCTTAAGTGTGTCTTTGACAATGTTCAATGCGAAGCCTATAAAGCTTATACTTTCCCTTTCATGATATTATCATCCCCAGGGTGTCCAGAGAAAGACTAATATTACACTTGAAGACGCTCCCCATCTCTGCTAACAGCACCCCAAAGAGCAGTTGGTATGAAGTGTTATGCTTTGGGTTTATAAAATCTAAGTGACTATGGCACCCAAGGGCTCTCACGGGTAAACACTGTAGCCTCACTTCTGTTACGGGGACAGGATGCCAAGAGAAGGGCGGCAGTGTTTTTATATAGAAAACTGCAGTGGCTGCCAGCGCCAGCATGATGAACCGAGGTTAAAACAAGATTTTTCTCTTTGATTTTCAGGCTAGAAGAATGTCAATGAGCTGCTAACATGAATTACTATGCCAAAGTACAGGCCCCTCCTGCTGGTGAATGTGTTGCCTGCTATGGTGTAAGGGGTCTTGTAAGCTGTTAAAAGTTCATGCTATCATCTCTAACATGGCTACATCAAAAAAGGAGACATAATGCGTGAGAGCTGATGTAATGTATTAGAGCTGATGATCTTATTTTCAAAATCCTGAGAATACTCATGCATTAGGACCTCATGTCTTACAACACGACATAAAATGTTCACGACGCCCAAGAACAAAGACCTGGAGGACATGGACTTGTTTGAATCTTACAGCAAAGAAGACAAAACGGTTGGCTCAGGAAAACAGAATATTATTCTTGAGATTTGGGGACTAAAACTTTGATTTAGCTTCAGCAAAAGCTATTTCTAAAAGCTCAAATTTGGACCTAATTTATGTTACAGTGAATGGGCCAGCTAGTCGGCTTTGCAGATTATGGTACTAAATATGGTATTTGTTACAGGGATTTGTGTGTAATTGGGAAGCTCTTCAAATACTGCGGAGATTTTCTACAATAAATTTAAGACATTAATCCTGGATTAGTTTGTGTACTTCTGATAGGGTGTTTTAGAAATCAAAAGTATTACATACATCAATTTGCTATTTCTCTGTATAAATAGCTGAGCATGCTTCAGAGAAAACACTTATCTTTAAAAAGGTGTCTGCAAGGCATATCGAGATGATCACAAAATTGATTTCTGAGGACCATACTGGAACCTTAATCAAAAAGGGATACCACAGCCTGCTTAGGATGCATGCAGGGACCTTACCCTCATCTTGCTCAGGTTCCGGTAGTCATAATAACTCTCATACTGCTCTGCAATCTTCCGGCACAAGATGATCCCGTTCTCCCAACACTGCAGACACAGGAATGATGCAAATTTAACCATCAGCAGCAGTTACTCACTTCCACCCAAAGGTCAGAACGAGAGAATACAACTGCTTTCAGATCATCAAGTCTTTTATTTTGGTGAAACTCGGGATGGAATCCAGGCCTTTAACTACATCTCTGCCCTTTTCTATATCACGCTGAGACAGTCTCTCAAAAGTAGCTAAGTGGTCAGGTTGTACTCAAACTCAAGATTGCTCCTGCCTTAGCCTCCTAGAATGTTGAATTATAAGTGTATGCCACAGTCCCAGTTTATTCTTTAGCCTTTATAACATACCCTGTCACTGCAATTTTAAGCATGAAAATACCATGTAATTAACATGTGAACTGAAAATCTTTAGAAAATTGGGAATGACAACCCACCATAAGACTCCTTAATGTCTGGTGCAGAAACGATATTTCCTGGTATTGTTCGAAAATCATCTTGAAATAACTGGAGTTCTGCACTGGCTAAGTAGTGTATGCACACAGGTACCTAGTGCTGAGGTGGCAATCACTATGGACCCCAAGGCCCAATTATCCGTGGCTGGTATCCTGATTTCCCTGCTTAGTGACTTGCACTTGTAAATTGTGAAGGTCAAACCCAGCTGGTTACTCCCAGAATGAATGCAAAATTCTTTGATCTCACATAAGTATCAATAGACTTCTTTTGCAAAGGGCCAGGCAGTCAGCAGATTTGGCTTTGAGGATGATATGGTCTTTTTCATAACTACTCATCTGTTACAGGCTGAAAGCAGCTGTGGACATGAATATGACTGTGTTGCAATGAGAATTTATGGGCACACATGTAAATTTCACGTAACCCTCACATACCATGAAATACTATCAACCTTCTGATCTCTGTCAACCAGTTAACAACAAAAGCTATTTGTGGCTTGTAGGTTACAAAGAAAGAGGCGGTGAGGCACTGGGACCTGTTGGTCAGTTTCCACTCCCTGATTTAACACAAATTCCTGGGAATGGGACAGTTTATTGTAGGAAGTCAGAGATGTTATAGCTTCTTGTTTTATGGGCAGAAATTTTATAGCAGGAAGGCACAAAGACATTTTCCTTTCTTATTAACATAAATGCTATCTCAGTGTAGGTAGATAAATAATAAAGGAGGATATGAAAGAAGCAATTTCCTTGCATCACATTTTTAAGCACGCCCAATTATGTTTTGTAAAAAATGACAGCCGCTGCTTGTATGATAATTTCCTGTTTAACCTTTACAATTTGGAAGAGATATACAAATCTAAGATGTATCAACAGAGCTTACAGGGTGCAAATGAAACAAACAGTGGGTCAGATTCAGAACTGTTTTAAAAAGAGAACTGCAGGCATGGGAGCAGGACCGGAAGTGACGTGCATTATTAGGTCAGGGAGGCTTTTAAAGCACCCTTCCAGATGAACACTGTGGCTGGGGCTGGACCTCCTGTCTCATAATATGACAAAAATGTTCACAGTGCCAAAGAATAAGGATGTGAGGACAGGGACTTGTTTGATTCTAACGGCAAAGCAAACAGAACAGTCTGCTTAGGAAAATACAGCGTTAAACTTCTTGAGCTTTTGGAGAATAAATGAAGGGCTATCCCAAACTTCTTTAATAAATCCTGTTTCCTTTATTTTATCTTTAAAAAAATGGGATAGTGCAAAACGTGTGCCAGTTCGGGGAACAGATGAAGAGTGATCATGATTTCTCGGAGAATAAAACAACTGATTGCTGTGGTCTGAATGTTTGTGTTTCCCCCAAATTCCTATGCTGAAATCCTAATTCCCAAGGCGATATTAAGTGTAAGGTCAGAAGGGTGTAGCCACGTCAGTGGCATAAATACCCTCATCTGAGAAGCTCTAGAGTGAGACAGTGCCTTGCACTAAGCAAGGATTCGGGGAGTAGGCGCCAGCCTTGAGGATGCAGGCCCTCACCAGACATTGAACCTGCTGAGGTCCTGACGGCAGACTTCTTAGTGTCCAGAGCTGGAACGTGTTTCTCTTTATTTGCAAGCTACTTGGTCTATGTATTCTGATATAGCAGCTGGAATGGACTAAGCCTAGCTGCAAAACCCTGAAGACCAGGGTTTATGGAAGTGTAAAGCAAAGTTCACATGTGTGGGAAGCTCCTGCAATCCTTGTTCAAGATCACAGATCCCGAAGCCCCATCTCACACCACTTTCATCAGACTGTCTAGGGGTAGGGCCTGGAAATCTGCATTTTAACCAGAGCTTGGTTGTTTCTAGTGCACGTTACAGTGGGAGGGCCCTTTCCTGGGGGGGTTAGCATCAGTACACTAGAAACAAAAGGAGAAGGGACTCCAAGGCTGTCACCTCAGGAGAGCCCACGGGTGGGCAGCAGCACTTACTTTGCCTCTGTCAAAGTTCTGGATGATGGTGAGGTGCAGGTGCTCCTTGCGCTGCCATTCAGTTTGCATGGGGTAGGTCAGGAACTCCCTGAGCGGCCGATCAGACCACTCGAGCAGCTCATCGTACAGTAGCAGAGTGTAGGCAGCTTCTGCAAGCCGAGGGGGGACAGGGGATGACATGAGAGCCCGCAGTACTCCTCTTTCAGTGGGGCTGAATTCAGCCCAAATAGGGAAAATACTGTTTTCTGAATTCACTGCACAGCAGAAAAATGTCCAGAATGTATGCAGCTGCGGGTTAACAAATGGTGACTTCCCCTGGGTGATGCTGTGATCAGAGACTGGTGTTTACCATGTTCCTGTCAGCTTGATCTACCACTGGTGATCCATGCATGCCTGTCACATTGGGCGGCTTTTTATTAATTTTATTAGTAAAAAGACCAAGGAAAGTGATTAGATCTACTTTAAAGTCTGCTTGCTGTTACAGCTATGTTCTCCCTGCAGGGTAAATGATCAAGTTCTCCCCTGCTTAACCCTTGTGGATGACTTTTAGGAGCTGAAACAATAAACTGAGGCTTCCCAAGAAAGAAGGCTGTTATGACCTGGTCACTACCAACCTCTCCTCTCCACTGTCCCTCCGAGAACAAGAAGAAGGAGTCAGTGTCGGGTTCAAGAAGCCTCAACAGCTGCTAGGCCTCTGGCTCTCACAGCTGGAGTCCCAGGACCCCATCATCAGCCTTTGAATAATGAAGGAAGATGCCTCCTGATCCAGAGGCTGCTGACACAGTGAAGCTGCCTGCAGGGACAGCGACAACTTCCTTTCCATGAATACCTGCCAAACAACCTCTTTGTGGTGACTGCACGTGAGACGAGACGGATGGAGAGGGCATCCTGCTACCTGGCGGTCAGTGCATTGTTGGGGTGCAGACACAGCCACAGCGCCACCCTGCTGGCTGCCATGGAAGACTGCCCTGACTGCACGGAATAACACCCAGCTCATGAGAGCCGGGCTATATTCTCAATCTCTGAGATCCCCTGATTTCCTGATATTTAACTCCTTATGTACCACGTGCTGCTCTGTTCCCTCATCTACACCCTTTGCTCCCGTCACTGGAATGCACTGAACACACACTGATGAGCGTGGCCCCCACCACCTGTTCCCGCAAGCCTTCCCCTTGGCTCCTGAATGGCTCGACTTTCTCATAATGACCTAGGCCAGGAGTTACCGTCTTTGTGTTTCATATTTCTTTGATGTCCCTCCTAACATTTGAGCACTCAGAAAACACCCTAGAGACTGCATGATAATTTCACAGGATTAAGAGGACTGAGCAATGTCTTCCCTCAGCAGCCGGGAGGGAGTGACTTAAAGGACCATGAAGGTCAAAGTCACAGGGATAGAGAGTAGAGTGGGGGATCTGGGGGGAGGAGGAGTGGGAAGTTAGTGTGTAACAGGCACAGAGTTTCAGTTTGGGAAGATAAGAAATGTTCTGGAGGTAGATGGTGGCGATGGTTGTGCAACACGAATGCATTGGATGCCACTGAATTGTTAACTCAAAAAAGGTTAAGACAGTGAGTTAGATGTCATGCATGTTTTACCATGCATGGTAATAAGGATTTCCAGTCCCTGTGCTGCTTTCACAATCCCGCGTGTCCTTGGGAAGTCTGGGGCTGGTGGGAAGGTCAGATAGGGTTGAGCTCTGTCGGAGAAAGCCTGGAAAGTAAGGAAGCATTGGGCAGGCTGCCACAGGCAGCTGACAAATGGCTCAACAGGGGCCCAAGGAAAGTGTGAAGACAAATGACAATAGCCTCAAAATCTGATTTGGGAAAATGATGACATATGTCTGAGAGAAATGGCAAATGTGGAGGACACTGTAGAAAATGTTTACTAAATGAAAGCACACATAATGTACCTCTGAGGGGTGAATAACAGATAATAATGAGGCCAATTTTGAATAAGATTAGTACTTTTTAAATGTCTTAGTGCAACCCTGTTACATTTATTCCTCTCCCTCTTTTTTCCTTTTTCTTTTTGTTTTTGGAGGTGAGAGAGCTCAAACCTAGGGCCTTGCATATGCTAGGCAAATGTTGTAGCACTGAGCTATCTCCTCAGCCTCTTCTTTAGAAGACAGTAAGTATGTACTAAGGAGGGAAGAATTTTCAACATGCACTCTTTTAAAAAGTGTTTATAATTTTAAACAAAAGGCATCACCACACAAATAAATATGGACCACTGCATTATTTTGAGGGTGTACAGTCAGAACACCAATATGCAAAAACAAGTAACACAGAGGAGATGAATTAAGGATGGGAGGCTGCATCAGCCAAGTGCTGGAAAAGAGCTGAGTCATTTAAACAGAAAGTTTTCCCATCGATTTTACTTTCTCCAAGGAGACACAAAAATAAGGACACAAGAGAGAAGTATAAAACGCTATTTGGGGAAAGTACTTATTACTTATGACTTTGGAGAACATAAAATTGCAAGTTCAGTACATAAAGTTTAAAAGGCCCATTCCTGAACTATCAGACAAATTTGGACTGTGTTTGAGAGAACCAAAATATATGACTTCCATGTCAGAAACAGCTTGTCCTCAGTTTCCTCTATCATTTCTTATTTTACGGTCGTTAAAATAAAACAAGTCTACTAGGTTGTTTCCTTCGTGATTAAGGAAAATTTGCTTATCAGGTGCTAAAATTCAATGAATGAGTGCATGCATTGGTGATATATTTATTTAAATCTCACCTTGCTCGACACTATTTTAAGAACTGAGATAACTAGGGACATGAAAAGATCATCTACATTCTCAGAGAACTCACTCTTTTACTGGTGATCATCTGTCTCTCTGTATTACCTACATATGTACCTTATATGATAGGTAACTAATAATGAAAATAATGCAATAAGTGCTTTCATGGAAATCTGAAAACAAAATGGAACAGAAAAAAAAATGAGAAGGAACAACCAGCTCAGCCCTTGAAGGAAGGGCACTGGGCATGGACTTGGTAAGGGAGAGAAGAAAGAGAACTCCAGGGGGGACAAAGGAGCTGGTCCTAAAGAGTAAAGAGAAAGCACATGGCTCAAGGGGGCAAGATGAGACGGGCGTTGGTTTAATTATGACAGGACTCAAAAGAAGAACCTGAACTTCACTTTGTAAGGAATCTACACCAACAACGGGGTTACAGTTAGAGAAGGACTTGGAAGCTTTTTCCTAAAAGAGCCGAACAGTAAATAATTAGGCTCATGGGCACTTAAACCATTCAATTCTGCCACTGCAGCAACCACAGACAACACACAGCTTAGTGGGCATGGCTGAGTTCTCGGTATGCTTGTGTCTGCAGAGCTGGGAACTGAGCTCAGGACCTTGTACACGCTGCGCAAGTTGCTCTATCACCAGAGTGGCCCATTTCGCTAGGTGCACAGAGCTGGCTGGCCTGCGGGTGGTAGGTCACTGATCTCTCATCTACAGGAACTCCAGGAACAGTTAAGAAGGAGTCTAGGCCAGAGATAATGAAGGTTCAAGGCAGGGTGAATGAATACAAATTAGAAATGACATTGAGACATTTTAGGAAACAGAACCAATAGAAACTCATGAGAGAGATTAAGAAGAGTCAAGGATCATATCAAGGACATCAGCCTAAGTAAACAGAGATGCTTTTCATTGAGATAGTGGAACCCAGCTAGGGGCATGTTTAAATTCTGGGGAGCACTCTTATTTAGTAAAGGAAGGGATTCCTTTACTCATTTAAAGCTGAGGGAGGGGGCTTGATTCAAGTGGTCTGTGGGAAAAAGTATGGCAAAAATAAAGTTTATAGCTCCTAAATTCAACTGATAGGCCTTGTTAAGGTGGAACAAGCACATTTCACTGTCTTTCCTGGTAATTGCAGTTAAACATTCTTGACAGGAAATGTAGTGCAACTACTGGAGGATTCTGAACAGGAAATAAGAGCAGGAAGTCCGAGGGAGAAATCTAGCAATCAAAGAATGATTGTGCTGTCTTGAGTTCTGTGTTCATTTTTTGCCTCCTGCATCTCCAGGTTCAGACTTCCCATCTTCCACAACTACAGATGGGAATAGTCAGCAAAGGCTCAAAGACAAGCTTCCCTAGTCAGAGAACTCACAAGTAGACCTGCTGTGGGATGGAGACCATCAGCCTCTTACCCTCCCAGGGTGAGTCCCGGGAACACAGCTGTACACTGCAGTGGTGGCGGGGAGGGAGCAGTGGCGGTGGCTGTAATTGTAGGGAGTACATCAAGGCTTGAAAGGATCTAGCCTTGGTTTACAGCCAAAGTGCTAGGAAACACAGTACCTGGGACATGGGTACCAGGGAGGCTCCCAGAGAGGACAGAGCTCGAGAAAAGGATATTTCAATTTTGTATGTGAACTCTTGAGTTCATCTCCCGGTGTAGAATGGATCATGCTGGGCATAACCAAAACTGAGACAGGAACATTGGTGTATACCAGTCAGGTTCCAGAACTACTATTGGCAACACACATGCAAGCAAAGCCAGAAGAGTGGATCGAAGCCTTTAAAAACCAAACTGACACTGGAATCCCAACCCGCAGAAAGGGTTCACACTTGAGATTTTACCATAACTGGACTAACTAATAAAATAGGAAACGTCACGTTCTCTGGAAGATTTTAATAAAATCTGGAGTCTTGCAACATTCCAAATGTCAGGAAATAATACAAAATTACTTGACCTTCAAGAAATCAGGAAACTAAACAACTCTCAAAGTGAAAAGGCAATTAATAGACTCCAACCTCAAAATGGCTCATGATATGTTGGAATTAGAGACAAAGGACTATGAGGAGCTGTTGTAGCCACACTGCATGTGGTGTATGTAAACACTCTGGAATGACTGATAGAAATTCAATGCAAAGAAACTGAAGCAAAAAACCTGGGAATTTTAGACAGAGTAATAAAAAAAAAAAAAAACCCAAAATATTTCCTAAAAGGGTGCAACAGCTGACTGGAGAAGAAGAAAATTTGGAAAAAATAAGTGAACACAGTACCCAGAATCTATGAGACAACATCAAAAGACCTAATAATTACGCCATTTAGTCTCAACAGAGAGGAGAATTGATATAGAAAATATATTTGCGAATATAATGCCTGAAACGTCCCTAGATTGGTGAAGAAAATGAATTTAAGGGTCCAGGAAGCTCAGCAAACTCCAAGTAGTTTGAATGAAAGGAAATCAGGTTCATATATATAATGAAATCACTTAAAACCAAAGGTAAATTCTTGAAAGCAATCAGAAAGCAGATACACATGACATTAGATAGGCCATTGTAATGATTTTGTATTTTGGGTCAGAAACCATAGAGTCCAGCAGACAATGGAACAATGCTTTTGTACTGAAAACCAAACTTTTCACCTAGAATTCTGTACCCAGCAGATGTATGCTGCTCTAACATGGATCTGGAAAATGGCCAGGCATTGAAGGCTTGATTCCCAGGTTGGTCCTCCTGGGAACTGATGGGAACTCTAAGAAGTGGGGCTGAGTGAAGACTTCAGGCCCCTGGAAGTGTGCTCTTGAAGGGAACTGTAGGATATCTTCCTTTTTCTTTCTTATGCTCTGGTCCTGAGGTGAAGGACTTTGTCCTGGTTTGCCACTTGCTTCCCGCTATCAAGTGCTGCCTTGGTCAGCACCACAGGCCCCAAAGCGATGGGGCCAACCATCCAGGGATGGAGACCACCAAAACTGGAAACCAAAACAAACCTTTCTGCTTTTTAAGTTATCAAAGGTATTTTGTTACAGAAATGGAAAACTGAATAACAAAAGGTACAATAAAGACATTTTTAGATAAAAGAAAACTAAGAGAATTCTTCATTATTAGTTCTCCTTTAAAAGAAACACTAAAGTTCTTCAGGTGAATGAAAAGAACAGAAAAACAAGTAACAGAAATGGCCAGTACATGGGTAAATATAACAGCCCCTTTTCAATTTCTTTAAAATAGGTTTTAACTGTTGAAATAAAAACCTGTGACACTGGATATTTAAAATGGGTTTGACTATTGAAAATTTTTAAAAATGACATCTGATAGAGTTTTTAATGTAGGCACATATAATACACAAGACATATCTAACACAACATGGGGAGGATATGGGGTCTACGTGGCTGCATAGCTCCCAACAGTGCTTCCCCTAGTCTGAGACAAACATGGAATTACCTGTAAAGTTCTGTGCCTTGAGATGCAGATCATAGAGTTTGTGAATGTAGCGTATATACATCTCTTCTTTGTTCAGTTCAGTCTTATAAAAGTTCTGCGAGAAAGAGTATAAGTGTGATCCCCAGCAATCAAGCTTCCACATATTTTTCCATGTTTATGTCATTTAAACAAATGAAATAAGGAGGCCCAATGACAGATTTTCAATTAAATGTTGCCTATGCTAAATATTACCTAGGAGTTAGTAGGTAAGCTGGTAACTCTTGGGTTATACTGACTGATTTACATCTCTTTTACTGTTTTCTAATATTTTTTGTTTAGTTTAACTAGCAAGTGTACAGTCAGTTCTTTGAACTAAAAATATTAAAAATAGATGATTAATCTGTTTACTCAGTTTACTGATTGATATAGTCAAGGAAGCGTTTTATTAAACTTTTGATTTCAAATACATTTTGCTCTAAAGTAAAAAGTCTAACGCATATACATAAGGATGAGCAACAACAATGTGAAAGCAAACACAGTCCTGGAAAATTCTCTAAAAATGAGTAAGTGATAATTCTTTTTATTGTTAAAGTTGCTCCTCTGCACTTTATACTTGTGTGCAAGCATAAAAGTTTCTAATTTATGTCTAAAACACAAAGCAATCATAGCTTCCAGTTATTATTACAGGGCATGCTTATTAAAACACTCTATTTGGGGTTTTTTTTTGGTCTTTTTCCTTTTTTATCGGTACCGGGGATCGAACTCACGACCGCCTGCTTGCAAGGCAGGTGCTTATGCTGCTGAGCTAAATCCCTAGCCCCCAAAACACTCTAGTTGTTAAAAATCTAGGTCTTACAACATTTTTCTAAAACTTTTTAACAATTGTTATCAACACTTTCACTTAGCTGGGCACATCGGCCAACATTTTTAAGGTATCCCTACTCCTTCTTCACACTAGAAAAGTACCTTAGTCCTCAATGAACTTAGAAAGTTAGGAGCAAACATATATGAAGCTGAATTCCAGCAAAAGTAGGACGCAGCAGTCCCCAAGTGAGACACTTTACGGGGATCACTGTATGTTATGAATTCCCTGCTCACAACACCTAAACTGCTGTCATTACTTATTGTTGGGGTTCTGACTGATGCTGACTGGTGTACAGACGAAGGAAAATGAACAGTGGAGGATGTAAGATTTTCAAGGTGAAAAGGCCAGCAATACTAAATATTTCTGAAGCAGGGCTTTGGGAAGGTCCAAACCAGCCAATGTCGCTACTGAGGTTGCATCTGGGCTGAAACCAGATAATTTCTATCAAATGCACTTCTGTCCATTCTTCCTTCAGTCTGAGGACTTTTATAACCTAAAGGAACTGATATTCAACCGAACGCCTCATAAAAAAGCATTCTCTCTATCTCTAGAGAGACAACGATCTCTCTAGAGATAGAGATATAGACAGATACAGAGATATAGAGATGGAAACAGATTTCCAGTTTGTACCATTATACTTTTTTTTTAGTCTCTTGAGGATGTTGGCATTCTTTAAAAAGCTAAATAAATAATGTTATTCAAATCTCTCTCATTATAACTGAAATAATTTTAATTAGCAAGAATTGTTGCACCATAAACATAGTCTAACAACCCCACAGCAGGTTTTTACATTATTAAAGGATGATTTGCTCTAATAGCTTTCTGGTAAGAAGCTGCTTTTTTCAGAACAAAAATAAGCAATCTCTCTGTAAATAAGTATTTCTTCTTTAAAAAAAAATCCAATCAGCAGGTCAGGATCTTTCACATATGCCTTGCAACATTTGTGACATAAAACAAAATAATAATCACATTTCCTAGTCATTAGTCATGTCAGATATGATGCATTTTTGCCAATTTAACACTAGAGTTTAACTGATCCTTAGGGAAAGCCAAAGCTCTCTGGAAGAGGATCTGGAACTGATCCTTCCAAAAAGTTAAGAAAAATCTCTCAAAGGAAGTGAGTAGTTGAAGAGAACCATATTGCTGTTAGAAAACATCAAGAACTTTCCATATGGAGTAAAAGCTTAGGAGATTAGCTTCAAACTGATATATATTTGGTCCTTTAATAAGTATTCTTATGCTGGTTTGAAATTGGAACATCTTTCAAAATGTTAACATTTTCTCATTTTTTTTCTTCTTTTGCTCTGCTACCTGGGTTAGCCTTGAAGTTGTAATCTGCCTGCTTTAGCCTCCCAAATGCTAGAATTACAGGCAGGCACTACTATGCCCAACTGTGAAGCCTACTCTTGGGGGCTGGAAAGGAGCTGTGTAAATTCTCATCTCCAGTGATTATTGATGGGACCACTGATTTTATTATGCTTCTGGCTTATTCGTGCTGGAGACTACATCCAATACATTTAGGGCAAAGTTCTTTCACCCATGGAAACTACCTCTTCTTTCTATACTAACTGAAGGACTGCACTGATTTGCTTACTTCCAAATGGAAGGCCTTTGTGAAAGAAAATGAAGGCAACCGCAGAGAATTCCTCTGGGAAGAAGCCGAGGATCTGCTCTGAGGTTATCTGGGAGACTTTGTGCCTGGAGGTGGGGACCAGTCTACAGCTTACAGAGAGCGCTCGGCTACTGATCCCAGGGACACACAGGAAAAATGGAGGCTGAGGATCTTGACCATGTTGAATGACTGACAAAGCAGGCAAAAAGTGGAGCGAGGTGGGAAATGTACCGTAGGGGACAACTATGCTCAAGGTTACAAGTGACTTCTTGGGAGAGGTCAAGGGTGGATGCACGGAGTCGGCTCGTGGCCTGAACATCACAGTTGAGTCTAATGACAAAATTTAGGGAAGTAAGTGCGTAACACATGAACAGGCTGTAGCCTGCAGAGGTCTCTCTGTTTTTAGGAACTAATATTGGAGGTGGAGCTGTAACAATTAAATCACAAATGAGAAGGAAGAGGTGGCTGTGATAAAGAAGCACACAAATCAGACTCAGAGATGAAAAGTTGTACAGCAGAAAATTAGGAAAACAAGTCACAAGAAAATGAAAGTTGCGAGCTTTGAAGAGAGACAGACAAAACAAAATCAAAAGAAAAAGCCTCTGAACCGTGACAAGACTGAATCAAAGCAGGGGACAGAACAAAGTTTCGAGGTGCAGCAGGCAGAGAGACCAATACAGTATGATCAGACTGCGACCAAAAACAACTCAGAATAGATAGATGGCGAGGTTTTATCTACTCCGTAAAATGTAAGAAAAAGAAACCACGAGATTCACAAATTTAGAACTGGAGGCACTCACTCTTCTTGCATTTCAAAGTTGAATAGACCATAATATCAAAACATTAATTTACTCTATATTAAAATATGAACAATGTGTACAGTCATTCCTTTGTTATAGGAATACTATCCTATTTAATAACTGGGTGGATGATATACTTTGTATAAATTTTGATTTGTGCAGTATAATTCTGGTTTGGACTGCTATTCTTCCATCATATTTAATTTTACTCTCAAAAATGTCTTGCTTGGATGATAAATTATATGGTCAAGCTAGTGAAAGTGCAAATCTTAACAACAGTGCTAATATGACATCAATTTGCAAAGAAGCCATGACTGAAAATGACTCTGTAAAACAGCACACTCCCAGGAGTTCCCCAAAGAGGAGTTCAGTAATGTTTACTAAATGTGGCATGCGTGTACCTGGGAGGAAGGAGAAGAACAGAGAGAAACTGCCAGCCTGGAGGAGAAGGACCTCAAGCCGGGGCTGCTGAGCTTTTGTCTCAGAGAGCAGCAGAGGGCTGTTAGAGGGTGAGCAGGGTGACAGGAGAAGCCGGCACCCCTCTGCCACCCACCCGAGCCCATGGACAGCCTGGCCCCAGCTACACCTTGGTCACGGGCCCCTTGCAGGACTCTCCGGGCTTTCATTCAACCTGCAGTTTGCTACCTCTCTTTTAAAACCATTTCTGAACTCTTCTAAGAAACATTCAGGGAGAAAAAAGCGTATTTCCCATTAAAAACATCAAAGCCCATATTTCTGTGAAAAAAGAAATGTTCCAATCAAAGGAGGAAAGGAGAAGAGACTACTAACCAGAAGGCTAACGGTGCAGCCAATCTTTTTGCCATCTACCTCTCCCATTTTCATGCAGTCCCTAAAAACAAAAAGCAACAGTCAGAATTCAGAACTCTCTAAAGGAAATGGGGACACAGACACACACATTCACAAGGGTCAGACGGCAGAGGCAATTTTAAAGTGCTAATTCAGAGGAATGATTCTGGGACTGATGTGAGATGGGAACCAGAGACTCCTGAGCAGTGCCCTGCGCAGAGTGGTACCATCCAGCCAGCATCCCTCCCGGGCCCAGGCAGCCCCAAGAGCGAGCGTGTGTTTCTTCACACACCTCCCACACCAGGGAGAAGCGGCCACTAAGGCTGCCCAAGGATGAGCCTGGGGATTTTGTTTTCAAATAAAAACACAACCACCATACATGTAAGTGGGATGAATGGCTTTCAAAGTCTATGTGATATGAACATCAAAAAATTAAATCTAGTTAAGGTAACAGTGTGAGTTTCATTCCCTGCTCCTTTTTGAAAACAGCACAGTGAACAGTGGTACAATCCTGTCACAGGGGCCTCGCCATAAAACGGTGGTCTACAGTCTTCACTCTAACATGCAGCAGCCCCAGAGGGTTTTCCAAGGAAGGGAGGTGAATCTGCACACACTCAAAAAGAGTGCTGTTTTTTTTCTTTCATAAGGGTTTTCACGAATGCTAGAAGCCCTCCCAGCTCAGCAAAACTTTGAAAGAACTGTCCAAAAACACAACAGAATGAAACATGAAAGCCCAAAGCAAAAACTCTGACCTAGCTGGTTGGATGTCTAGGATCTGATTATCAACTCGCCGAGTGATTAACCCAACGGAAATGTTGACTACATCCTAGTATTTGATTTTCTAAATGGGAGCATAGCATATCTGGAAAATGGGAAACTTGCCTTACCTGTAATCTAACAACCTCTCCATTAGACGAGTTACAGTGGCAATTAATGAAACGCCACTTTCCCTCCATGTTTCCCGCTCAATTTTCTTTAGTAAACTGGAAAAGAAAGAACCCAGGGCATTTTCAACATTTATTTTTATCAGTCACCATGACAACCATTTTACTTTCATCAGTACCTTAAATGCCTTAGCAACCACTGCAACATCTCACAAGTAGCACAATTTGCAAACAATGTCTTACCTAGGATAGGGACCAAATAGTGGAATTCTAATCCAGGAAGCATTGACAAAGCAAATTGATTTTCAGATTATCCAGGTCATAAAATAGGAATACATGCATATAATCAGATTTTCAAAATATAAAAGTAACTTGCAGCTCAAAACAATCTTTCCTAGCTTCTCTTACACTGAGGCTTGCGCCTTACCACATCAAATAACACTGCACAAAGCGAAAACAGGAGCACCTCCAAGTTAACTTTTAAGTAAGACCTTGCTTTATTCACATAAAAATATTTTCCTACCTCTCAGCAGAATGCATCTTCATCCAAGCAATTTTACTGCAATGCAACTGCTACAGGAAAATCCTTGTACAGGCGGTATGACGTTTTGCGTTTTTTCCTTTCACTTAACATTTGCCCACTCAATACATATTGTACTATCTGTGCGCTCACTCAACAGTTTCATTCATTTTGTCATTAATCACAGGATTTGCTAAGTGGTTGTTACAGCAGATTAATGACAAGCCCTGAACCACATCTCTCCTCCTACATCTCCCCTAATCTGAAACACCTTGGAGCAGAGGCACTATGTAAACACAAACTAATAAAAGTCAACAGCCATAATAATGAGGATCTGTTTTACTTTCACTTCCCTTCCTGGCAAATTAATATGGTACTTGGCAAGAGATTCATGACTGAACTTTCCCTAAAGATGAAAGAATACCAGCATGGTAATATGAGGATATTTCCTACTCCTCTGAATTTAACGATCATTTCTGTCTAAAATCTTGTTTTCCTTTCATCTTGATATCAGAAATAAGATCGAGAGAAAACATATCTTACAAATATAAATGAAGCATATCATATATACACTTAGTGGAGAAAGTAAACATTAAAGAAAACAAGCTACTTCGCCAAAGCTTTCATTTGTCTACGGCTACGTTCTCGCCTGATTTTCCTGCCCATCCCACCTCTTCGCTTTCTATTGCCGTTCAGTGCCCAGGCTCCTGTCTGGTCTCCTCATCTGCTGCCTCCGTGTTTCTAATCATTTGCTCTTCTGGCTCCGTCAGCACTGTTTCCTGGATTAAGGGTGGGTGGGTATACAGATTGCACAGGGAACAGATAGAACTTGCTCCCACTGGCTGTCCGAAGGAAGACCCTCTTGTTTATTTAAATATTTTCTCTTAAAAACCTCTGAACAGCACCTGTGTTAAGCTTAAATGGAAAAATGGTACTGAACAAGTCCTCAAGTAAAAATCTGCCTGATGTAGGATGATGTAGCAAATGCAGGATGATGTAGAAATCTTTCCAAGTGACAGCCCACACCTATATACTTAGAGGCTAAAAAACAAAGAACTCAAGGTAAGTAATAATTCTAAAAATGCACAGACTTCTTCTTTTTATGAGTCTCATTAACTTACAGAGCCGCCCACTGCAGTGAGGAATCATAGCTACAAACTTCTCTGATAAGAAGCAGCAAAGCTCTGCACAGCCTGTTTTCCTGACTCCAGGACCAAATGTTGGGGCTGAGTCTAGAACCCAATTCATCTGTGTTCTCAACCAGGACTGTTCCTTCTCCCAGGAAGTCTGCCGTTTCCCAGGTCACACTGAGAAGGACAGGCTTTCAGCAATAGGTGGAAACTATTTCTAGATAGCTTGGGTATGTCCAAATATTTTCACTCAGTGTATAATCATGCCCTTGTGCCTATATTCACTACATCCAGGACCCCATGTGACAACATGAAGAAGTGATTTCTCACTGCCAATTAATTAGGCTGCTCTGGCACATGCAAGGGGACCCCACACTTTAGGGAACAGGCTGAACCATAGCACTGCAGCATGATGTTCTTCACCAGCACCCCTTGCCCCATACCGGGGATTGATGGTTAAGTGGGTTTTTGCATTGAGCTAAATTTATTTAGTTTTATTTTATTATTTTTGAGGGTCTTGCAAAATTACTAAATTGCCCAAGCTGAGCTCATCCTGCCTCAACCTCCCAGAGTGCTGGGGTGAGAGGCCTGTGCTACAACACCTGGCTGCTTTCTGGGTCTTTACTCCATAATAGAATTGGAGGTGGAGAGTGGGATAGGTTTGATTCTCAGTAACAGGAGTAAGCTGAGACCATCATTCTGCAGCATGCACCAGTGCCTGCGCATACTCTTCTCAAGCAGTCCAAAGAAGACAGCTAGATCTGTAAGGCACCGTGTGCGGTTGCGAACACTTGCCCCCAAACGGATCTTAACTCTGTGATCATTAAAAAAGGTCTCTGAAATAATGTAGAGTCACTGAATTAGGGCAGAGGAAGGAACTGAGATGGATATTACATCTTCTGCAAACCCTTACAGGTCCCCTAGCCCGTGGGCAGCCCTACTACGTGCTCCCGCAGCACAGTCACTGCTGCATCCCAGCCCTGCAAAGTGCCTGGCATGGGGGATGCTCAGCACATCCAGAGGAACAGGGAGTCAGGTGACACAGGGCCAAGCAGAATCTAGTTTTGATGCTCACATTGTGGCCTGGATCTACAATTTCAGGGTTATCAAAAATTGTAAGTTCAACCGATTTAGAAAAGATACAGTATGAACAAATGAAGACAATGGTAGGAGTCAGGGAAAGATGAATTTTCAGGAAGGAAGGTACTATACACATTTAAAATCTCACTCTCAGGGGGCTATTTTGGCAAGCGCAACACTTTAGGGAGCAGTGAACTACGGCCAGCCTTTTCAGCTTCTGAACAAATTTTAAAGAAATTTTAGACATGAATTACAGAGAATAATGTGAATCTGTACCATAACGGCATGGATTCCTAATTCATAATGTGTGCAGTGACTCACTGTGATTGCACTAATTCACTGTGATTTCTATAGCCAAAATGGATGTTATTGTTTTTTGAAACATAGTTATTCACTCTCTTTTCTGAGCCCAGGTAGTAATATTTAATTATCACTTTAGATTTGACAAATTCTCAATATGCTGATCATAAAAACATGAAATAAAAATATTTATAGTAGTGTTTCTAGTAATGTGCTAAAAGTCAACAAAAGAATAAAAATCTCCACTGAATGAATCAGGTCCCTTAAAATAGTCCTAATTATAGAGGCTTAATATTTTAATTATTGGTTTGATTCTAATGTCAAGGTACATCTTCAACTTCAAAGTCACATTTATACACAAGCAATCCAAATTGCATGCTATCAGGCCTTTATTAAAGTAGGTAAAGGCATTTCAGAACTATGCCTGTATTTATTAATCTTGTGAATTTATTTTAAGTAATTAAACACAAAAATCTCAAGAGATTCATTTCATTGAGCGCTTTCTCATTTTAGTTCTTTGTTCAAACCAAGCACTAGTAACAGAAATGACAGCATTTTTCAAAAGCATTTTATTATATTGGATGAGGTTTTAATGAGAATTCTTGCTAAACTCCAGCTGTCATGAAAGACAAGACACTTTGTACACAAGAATGAACAAGGGCTGGGTGAATAATCATTAAAAGTTCTGGTTTAATTATAATATCAGAAGAAATTGGTGGTGTTCAGGGTTCAGTACAAAGTATACATTTTATCACCCACCACTGCCTCATGAAATTTCTATACCCCTTCCTGATTTTTCCCTTCAATGTTATTTTCCCAAAAGCCTCAAGAATGACTCTGCATCAGGCAAGGAGAGATCTAGCCAACCTATCAGGCACTAATGTTTTTCAAGCCCGTATGTTAATATCCACTGTTGCAAATTAATGATCCTAAAACAAGTTATAGAATCTTGAATTTGGTCATCTCTATTAATGCATTGATCTCTAGTTCTAGGTGATAACTGAGCATAACAACAAATAAAAGTATATTTTCTAACAGAAAAGCTTATTGCTGAATTATATTCTAACTTCTGGAGGCACTGCAAACATTTCCCAGGCTCAGGGAGTCAATCCTTCCTTCAAGAAGAAATACTCTGTCAGCATACCAGGTTTGAAAATGACTAAGATCCAGAGGGAATCATAGCGAAAACAAGTGCCAGAGAGTAATTTCAAAGCACCTAGCCCTTCCCTCGTGTCCTCTGGCTGCTCTTACAGGGGTGAATACTTGGGACAGGTGTATGACTGCATTATACTGATGGGAGCCACTTCAGTCTCCTTGCAGTATTCTGTTATTTCTTTCTCCTCCGTACAAATCCCAAACACATAATTACTAAAAATTACTTGCCTCTCCAATAGTCTAGTAACAAATATTTAAGAAGCAGTTAGTAAGACTGAGCAAACAATCAATATTGCTGGATTAAATCAGGTGCTGAAGAACAGATACAAACGAGATTAATTTTCCAACAACTAATCAGCCCAGGAGCTCTTACATCGGAAAGCACTGTAGACAAACATCACAATCACACCCCCCTGTTCTCCTCTCCCACTCACAACCCTACTTAAAATCATTATATTGCTGCAATTTTTTTTACATTATTAGGCAGGAAAAGAGTGAGATTTGTTATGTAACACTCATGACCTGCCCTAATCAGAGATTAAAATAAGGAGACACATCTAATCATCAGCATAATAAGATCCATTTTGCCAGAGTTAGGCAATTATCCTTTATTTCACACCCCGCAAAGACAAAGCACTCCTGTGAGATTCAAGCTGTCCTTGCAGCAATCAGCCGCAGCAGTGCAGAGCAGCTGAGGACTAACACCAAGCCCCTCAGAAGCAGCAGCTGGAGACAGACATGTTACTCACATACTGTTGAAGAGCTCACGGTATGTTTCGTCACCTTTGCCTTCTGACATCAGGCTGTCCAGTTTGTCAATTAACTTGGCTTCCACCTGAAACATACCCCGCGTTACTCTCATTTTCCTCCCCTCCATGAGTAGGATTTCTCGGCAAATTGAAAGATATTTCTTCACGCCAGGGGAAAAGCTGTAGTATATTTTGCGAAAGTGGCATCAGCCGTGGTTAATGGCAGCCATCGCCTTGGAATTGTAGGGGGCTAATTTAGATGGCGTTAACATGACTTCAGACTCCTGCCTGAGTAGCTTTTCCTGCTGCCAAAGACATCCATCTATCTGTGATTTAAACACAAATGCTTGCAATCCTATTTAAACATCTGAATTCTTTTTAAGGACTATGAAAACTGGCAAGTCCTCTTTCTTTTTTCTTTACATCACTATATATAAGAGCGTCAGCAAACTAGGATGCCCACATACATTAATTTAAATCTTTGGTGTGTTTTATATCTGTTTTCCTTCCTAAAACAGTTCGAGGCTGCACTAAATCTTTGCTGAAGTTGGGAACTTGTCCTATCCATGTACAGATGGTAGGCAGATAGAAATGTTCTAAGTCAGCAGTAAGCAGTAGGAGAGAGAAAGGACATATTTCCTGAAAACTGTAGTCAAAACATTTATGTTTTTAAAGATGTAAATTCTTTGGAACTGGAATATCAGAAAAGGAAAGATATCCCTTCATCTATCTGAGGCAGGGGAAGGGAGAGAAACTGAAACCCTCATATGGCCTGAGCGTTCAAAGAATCAGGAGTTGGGAGGGGGAGCTGACTTTGATGAAGGACTGGGCCTAATTATTCCTGGAGATTAAACTGAAACCAAGAGACAAAGACGAAGAAGAAAAGTGGGTCCCGTTATCAAGCGCAATTTTAAAAAGCCTTTTAATCACTTATTAGCTCTCTTGAAAATAAATGTATACACTAATATGCCCATGTTTAAGGTTCTATGTATGCAATACATACGTATGGCTGGTTGACAAGGATTTCTAAGGTTTGAGCAAGGTTTCATTATAAGTTCAAAGGATGGCAAGTGATTGGTGGGCACACAGGTCAGTGCAGTGAATCCGTGGATGGACAGCAGACCCAGCAGACACCTTAGATTAGATCTCCAATCTAAGGGCTTGGCGTGTAACAAGCCTGACTTCTTAGAATGGGAGTAGCATCCTTGGAAACTAAGTCATTGAGAAATGGGAGGTTTGCTCCTTGGAAATTTCCATTGTGAGAATTTCAACACTGCTTTATCCTTTAAATTAATTCTCTATGCTTCAAGATAAGAGCAACAAAACATACTGTGAATCAAATGCTCAATGCTAAGCCATTCACCAACTGCAACATGCAGACCATTGAGAGTTCAATGATTTTAAGAATCATTAACCCTCAGATGCCTCTGTGCTGTGTCCAACTGGGAGCAAAGAAAGCTCTGTAAGCTCTTAAATACAGACCTGGGCAATCAAAAGGAATTAAGTGGATTTTCAGCACTTTTCTGGAGGCTCCGGGTAACATAGGACAGGTGGCCTAGAATCTAGGTCTGCTGGCCAGTGTCCACTGCCCAGCCCCGGAGGAATGGAGGTGGCCAGGGATCCCTGGAGAGAAGCAGAGCTGTGCCGACCACTCTTGGAACACCTACCTGTTTAAAGTTGCCGCTCCGCCTCTGCTCCCAGTCCATCATGTCATGGAAAATAGGGATCATGACGTTCCGGAGATCTGGCTGGGGAATCAAGGTCACTTCCAGGAAGGGGCCGATCAGGGCTGGGATGAAATGAAGTTTGTGTTCTCCTAAATTGAACACAAAATGTGAGTTTCAGTGTAAGTCATCTTAATAAAATGTCCTAAGATTTGTTTAAAACTCTTGCCACAAGAATATTCAGTTATATAGTTTATCACCCCAAGTAAGAAAATACAAGACAATAATCTGTAAGACACATGATTGAAATTTACATATAAATTATTGAGAATTGGTTAGGTACATTATTGTACATTCATAAATTAAAAATGCGGGGGAGGGCCCAAAATAAATTAGAAATGCAGCTCAAAAAAGATACATGTGAAGGTTTTCAATATAATGAAGTGAAGAAGCAAGGTACAATAAAATATATACAGGAATACCTTTTCAGTAACTATATATTTTCATATATTTAGAGGATTATACCCCTTAATGGTAAAAAGTGACATTATCTCCGGATAGTATGACTACAAGTGATTTTTTTTGGAGACAAGTCTCACTATGTAGCCCAGATTGGTTTTGAACTCATAACCAGCCTCCTGCCTCGGCGTCCCCAATTACAGGTATGCGCCACCACCCCTGGCTACAACTGCTTTTTGTATATGGAAAAAAATAGGTGGCCCTTAGCAACATTATATAATTTTTCTGTCTTCCAAACAGAATAGACAACCTAAATAAAAAGCTCAATGGCAGCTCCAAAGAGTATAACCGTTTTCTGAAATGCATAAAACGGAATAATAGTGAACTCAAAATGTTGTGTCACTAAGTGCTAGCAGGTGTGGTAGTGACAGCGTTCACAGGAAAGGAAGATGAAGCGCAGGATGGGCACAGATAATCTCATGCAGAAGGTGGGCATGAGGCCCACTGCTCTAACCTCCTAGGTTAAATCTCATGGAAGAGTTTCTATTTTTATACTAAGAATAAGGCATCTGGATGGTGGTATAGATTGTCATCCCAGTGCTTTAGGAGGCTGAAGCAAGAGGATCTTAAGTTTGAGGTTGGCTTGAGGAATTGGTGAGTTAACAAGACCTTGCCTCAAACTAAAACATAAAAGGGCTGAGGCATGTAGCTCAGCACAAAACGCCCTGAGTTCAATCCTAGTACCACACACCCGCCCACACCCACACCACGCCAACACCACACCACACACACACATGCACACACACACAATGTGCTTGCCATGAAAAATACATTTCTTAAGAGCTAACCTTTAGCTCATGTCTACGTATACGACATTGAAGTATCCAATAAAAACCCCACGAACAAGCTGGGAGGCCGAGCAGAAGACAAACTGGCTTAAGGCAGGAGGACATTTCCTCCTCGAGGGGGGAAGTCAAGCAGTGATGGGGGCTGAGACAGGACTCCGAAGGTGGGAGGGACCAGCGTATCAAAGGAGGTGACTCACTAGTAATAACAGTAACAGCGGACACTCGTCACTCTGCGGCAGGCACTGCTTTGGCTGCTTTCACATGTAATTTCATTTCTTCCCCACAAAAAATCCAGGCGGTAGGAACAATGCCTCCCTCCCACACTGACAAGGGAACTCAGATCCCGGGTAGTGAAACACCTTGCCCACAGCCCCTCAGCCAGTGACGACGGTGGCCAGCATGAGGACCTAAGCCAGCTGGCTCTGGGGGGACTCCCTGGTCACTCTCCTGTGGATGGGACTCCACGGGGGCCATTAGGCCTGGCAGAAGAGTCAGATTAGGGACTAAAGAGTAAAAGAAATGAAAACAGCTGGCAAGGACTGATGATTTTTCCTCTAGATTATAGTTGTGTGAGGGCCAAGGTGAGGAAGCAAAGGAGAACTCGGTGGGAGGGCAGAGGGACTGCTTTCTTTCTGAGGGGAGGATGAGTCCCATAGGCCACCTGACCAGGGGAAAGTATCTGTCATTCTTTGCGGCTGGGAATGGGGATGGGAAGTCCTCACTCTCCTGTCTGGCCTCAGGAGGAGACCTGTAAACAGGGGCTTTCTTCCTGGCCTAGGGACCAGATCCTTTAGCACAACACCCCGTGGGGCCGGTGTGCGGCCCTTAAAGAGGAGACAGGCTCACGCCAACAGGAACTCTCCCCACGGCTGGGAGAGGCTACTGAGCTCAGGCAGTGCACGGAGAAGGCAGTTTGGAAACAGTGAGCCCCACGGTCTCTCTAGAAACCCTCATGTCCCTAGCCAGGTCTACCCGGAGGCTTCCCAGCTACACAGATCGTGCATTTCTTAAACATGAGTTTACTGTGGGTATTTTGGACTTCGATTCTGTGAAAGGCACCTAGCAGAGGGAGGTCTGACACCCCAGCTAGGACAGAAGCTGGTCCCGTCTATCAAAGATCTGCTGAGCGGCCTCTTGTCCGCCCTGGAAACCAACATGGCAAAGTGCAGATGAAGGCTCTATGCTTCTGGGGCTTTCCGCTTCCTCTGCGTTTCTGCATCCCGCTTTCTTTGGTACCAGGAATTGAACTTACAGCTTCTCGATTGCCTTACAGGCACTGTACCGCCTAGTTATACCCGCAGCCCTCGCTCGGCATTTCCTGCACTTGACTCTGAAGGACCTTCTACTACAGACACCTCCGGAACTCTGTACCAGAGGCCTGACCACGGTCAGTGACGCTGCCCCAGAGCCCTGAGATTCCTGTTTCAATAGGAACCGAGTCTCTTTGCCTTTGTTCCTCGTCCTGAGTGCCCTACAGGACTGAGGCCCTGGTGGAAGCACCCTGAGCCGTCTGTGAGTCCCTGATTCTCAGGACAGGGTGCCCACTGAGACCTCACCTGGCGGGGAGTCACCTCTCTAGCACACCCGAGAGCCACAGGGATTTTTACCTTGGGCTTAGTTTCAGTGTGAATTAAAGAGCTCAGACAAAGGGCTCTGAGTGCCCACACAGGGATTCAGCCCTGCAGCCATCTGCAGGCCCCTGCCCACCTGCAAGTCCCTTTGATGTCCACTCCGAAGTCACACAATGCTTTCCTGTCTCACTGAGTTTCATCAGTGGTAACTTATTTGTTTTTCCATCTCTAAATTACTTGTTGTACCCACTGTGCATGGGGAAGAAACTTATCATTCCGGTGAGTTCCTGCCTTTATTTTTGACCCAGGTCATCCTTTGTCTTTCCCAAAAGACGGCTTTGTTATCCACATCAGAGCAAGAACACCTCAAAAGAACTTCCTTGTTAATCTGTTTTTCTCAAAAAAGAATGCTTTTTAAGACCCACATACTCACTGAAATAGCAACTCACTGTTCCCACCCCCACCCCTACCTTCCCAGCACACAGATTCAAGTAGGAAACCAGCAGTGAGCATCTGCAATTCCTCCCTCAGCTGCTTTTGTCAGGGCAGGAAGCACCCTGAGCTCAGTCACTCTTGCTGTCACTTGTAAAAGCCAAAACCCACTATTTATTCAAGTGAGAGAAAGAAAGGCGGAGGGAGACAGAGATTCCTGTACACACAAAGACTGGCCAGTCCTTGGAAGAGGGTGAGCAGCTCTCACAGCTGTCCCGTGACGCTGCCCAGGGAGTGGCTGACAACCAGCCCCGCAGAATGCAGGGACAAAGGCTGGCTTAGCATCTGACTGGCAGCCTCGGCAGGCCTCTCTGCTCCCTGGAAATTTTGCAGATTTTGGATGTATGGGAAAGAAAGTAAAAGGAGGAATACACAATAAATTATTTCACTTAAAGAATATAGTATCAAAGTCCATCTACTTAGCTATAAATGTCTCCCATTTAACCTTCTTTATGACTGAGTAGTACTCCACTGTACTAAAAAAAACCCCACATCTTTTTTATCCATTTGTTGGCTGATGGGCATTTGGGCTGTTTCCAAGATTTAGCCATTACAAACTGCCACTACAAACATGGGTGTGCATCTGTTGCTGTGGTATGATGCTTTAGACCATACTTTTAAGTGAAACAAACAGGACACATATATGTAAATATCATGTTCTCTCTCTGGTGTGAGAAACTGAATGTATAAATAAGAACCAAAATGTTAATAGATATTGTGAAATAGGAAGAATTTGTTCAAAGGGAAAGGTGAATGAAGGGGAGATGGAAGGAAAAAGAAACAATGAGAAAAAAAAAGATAACAAAGCTTTGTCAGTAAGGAGGGGAAGAGGAATTGGAGGGAGGGGAAGGAAATGGGAAAAAAGGAGAAACTAAGACCTCATCTGCAGGTACAAGTTCCCTGTGATGAACATGATCGTTATGATAGCTGATTAAAGAAATAAATTTCCAACTAGTCCTGACAGTTCTCCTGTCGCTCAGTTGGTAGAATGAGCCACAGAGCTGCTATGGTACTATTTTACGTTTTCAATCATTTCGAGCATCCTTTGCTTGTCTAATGAAGATTCATCATTAGTATGCACCTTGTTTACCACCATTTGCTTCAGAATTTTGAATCTCCTTTCAGAAAAATCTCTTGTTTACAGACATCTTACAATCCAATCTTTTTGTAATTTTCAATGTATACAGAACTACAGAGAATAGTAAAACAAGGACACAAACCCATCATCTAGGTTCATAATTATGAAGATTTTTGCTAATTCTGTTTTACCTAACACCGTATTTTTTTTTCCTTAGAGGATTTTAATGCAAGTCTCAGGCATGCCATTTTACTTGTACAGTACATCAGTATGCATCTTTAATCTACAGGACACTTTATGAATATAAGAATCCCAGTGTCTTTATCTTAAGTTGAATGTTAATTTCTTAACTAAAAATGCAGTCAATATTCAAATTTCTCTGGTAGCTTAAGACACATAATTTATAATTGTTTATTTTAATCATAATCCAAACAACGTCCATATATTTCATAGCCTAAGGAAGAAGCCATAAGAAACCACACGTTCATTTAAATTATGGTGCAAGAATGTATGGAAACCGCCTTCCTTGCTGGGAACACAGACTCTGTGCAAACCTGAACAGGCTTCCTGACCATGGAAAATTTAATTCCTACTGAACTAGCGAAGCAAAATTTTGAGCTATGTATGGCAACGGCAAGCTAAACTTCATTTAAATGATTTCTTTTTAAACCAGAGATTCAGTACACTTTCCTCATCTCTAACTGCCAGCCACATGGTCTTGTTTTGAAGTATTTAGGGCACCTGCTACTTGGGCTGTTGGAGTTTTATATTTATGCACACAGAACAGCCTGCTAGGGATGTATTGATTTCTCTACAGCAGTTTCAAGACACTGTGTTTGCAAATGTAGCACAGAAAGCCCACTTTATATTTAGTAAGAACGTGAGTTCACCCAAAAATGGAAAAATTTATCCTTGCCACAAGATGTGTCCCCAAAGCAGGCACATGGTTGTAAAGGCCAACCGCCGTCTTTGCAGATGAGTCTGCAGGTATTGGCACAAGTTGGTAAAATTTTAGCAGGGAAAATAGGTACCTTTTCCTCTTAACAGAATGTTTCTAGCCCTTTGACTTAGATAATAAAAATCTGAGGAATGACTCACTTCAGAAAGGGTGTTCACTTATTACTAGTTGGTCTTTACTCGTCAAAAATAAAAGATTTTACCAAAACCTCAATGAGGTATTATCCCATTAAACTGGCGACCATAAACAATCAGGAAGTAAAAAGCATTGGCCAGGATGCAGAGAAACAGGAATCCTTATGTTCTGTTGTTAGGAATGTAAAACAGTGCAGCAATTGTGGAAAATAGTATGGTAGTTTCCCAAAAAATAAAAGTGGAATCACCATATGACGCACCAACCCTACTTGTGAACATACATCCAAACGGACTGAAAGCAGGATTTCAAGCAGGTTTCGGTGCATCCGTTTTCTCAGCAGCTTTATTCACAACGGCCGAAAGGCAGAAGCAACCTAAGTGTCCACTGATGGACGCACGGATAAAGACAGTAATGTCTCCCTATGACGGAGCACGATTCAACTCTAAACAGGAAGGAAACTCCAAACATGGATGAATCCTGATGCCATCTTGTTAAGTAATAAATCAGTCACGAAAAGACGAATACTGCATTTTTCCATTTCTGAGGTACTCGGAGTAGTGAAATTTATTGAGATAGAAAGTAGCATGGTGGTTCCTGGGCTGGACGGGAGAGACAGGGAAGCATTATTTCGTGGGTATAGAACTTGGCTTTGCGAGATGAACGGTTTTGTAGATAATGGTGGTGGCAGAGCTTGGATGCTGACGAGACTACTTCTTACAGCTGCTGTACATCGAGGAATGGTTAAAATGGTAAAAGCTCACCTGTATGCTACCACAATTAAAAACTTTTAAAAATTTATTATTTTAAGTGTATGAAAAGAACAGTGTTCCCAGTGCTCCATATACGCTGGGGACAAGTGGCTTAGCCCAAAATTTAAACAAAGAACCCAAGACTTTGTCCCCAGGATTCCCTGCGGTCTCTCTGGGGAGAAAAGTCCTGCCTTGTCTACCCGGAGGCCTTTGTTCCTCAGCAGATGGATCTTACTGGGGCTGAAACATAAAGTAGCAAAGCCAATGACTGATCCCTGTAAAAGGAAAAGGGGCTCTCATGACTGCCCAAAAGATCCAAGACTAAGAGGAGAGACAGTTAGACCACTTGGCTGAGTTCTGGGCTTACTACACACTAAAGATCCAAATATTTACTTACTCAGGAAAAGGTTTAAACTTTTTATAATTCAACAGTTACTATAAAAGCACCTTTAGTACTACAGGTAGGTTGACATACAATTTTAGAATTCTGTCTCTAGCACACACAATTCAATGTCTACTACTTAGATGACTATGGTTAAAAACTAACACAGGAAGTTCCAGGCAGTTCTAGGTCTCAGACAGCTAGCAAGGTGGTCACAGGTAAGTGTGTGAGATGTAATGACCAGATTTCAAAATCCTTCAACTTTATGTTTAAAAGAAGTTAAGTCACTAAAGTAAAATGTGCTTTTCCCCACTTATCCTCAGCAGAATAAAAAGAATCAAATGACCATCTCATTGCTCACTCACAGAAAACAAACCCTAGCATCTCCAAGTTGTGCTTGGATACATCAAGAGAGGACACTCATGTCATTACATAACAACCCAAGTAGGTCGATCGCTTTAATAAATCACAGAGGAATTAAAATGCAATAATAGTAAATCCTCTAAACTTGTACAGTTAATATATCAAATTAAATACTACCAATCTCTAGAAAGAGACCCTATGCTAATGGATTTTAAAACAATTTAAACAAATTTAATTTTAATTGTTTTCAAATATTTTTCTTTTCTATGCAACCAAACTTCTACCATTATTTGCTAGAATAATATGCTGCATGCACTGTGGCAGCTTAACAAAATTGGATCTAATAGTCTCTTAGCAACTGCAGATGCTTTTGAAGTCCTTTGGCTATACTCTTTACGATGCTGGTCAGTGGCTGGAAGGTTTTTTTAGAATGGTGAGGCTTCAGCTAATGTTTCATGAAGCTTTAACTAAATTGATGATGATTCATAGCCTCAATCAGAATTTGAGAAATTTTGAATTGTTACAGTCCCAAATTCTGAAAGGTTAGCTCTTTTCTAGAAATGATATGCATAACGTTGGAGTAATGCTAGATTCTAAAATTTATCATTAATAATGAAATATATACAAAGGTGATTTTACAGACAGACGTCAATTTAAAGATTAGTTATAGCCTTTTTCAATGCAATAACATCAATTACTTTTTACAGACATCTGTATTGATTTAGACATTTGGTTCAAATGTTGCCATGGTAAACTGGCCTTTATTTCTTCACTTAAAAGTACGACTAACTGCACAATGGAGGTGGAGTGTCTTCTCATCACTTACCTAGGTTTTGCCACATGCTGAAAATTTCACAACCCATTGTTACCCGCATGTCACCATACCTGTAATAGAAGAGAAGCCAAGCCTGACACAAACCTCCAGAACAAAGAAGTTTTCGTGTTTTTTTAGAATGCAATCTAATACTCTGGATTAAATGACAAGATATTTTTAAAATGTTTATATTTTTATTGTGACGCCTTTCAATCAGATATTCACATAAACATTTCAGTGAAACAGATGTTTCATAGTTTTTTGTTGTTGTTGCTATACTAATTTTGAGTCCTGAAAGATTCAGGGCAAAAGATTTCCATAAAAATTGCTGGCTGTCCTTTTGGCCACTGCTTTTCCACATGTGATTTCCAATTATGGACATTCTGATCTATGATTCATTTGGATAAACACTCTTTAAAAGGCAACATTTCCCACCCGATTATATACCGGTACTTACTTTTCTAATACCTTTTTCTTTTTGGAAGGCGTGAACATTTCTAGCTGCAGACACAACTGGTTTATAAAAATGACTGCGAGGTAAAAGTAGGAGTCCCAGATCTAAAATGAGAACAAGATATTTCAACACTACTGTGTCACAGAGATATTTACATGTAAAGTGGCTTCTCTGTGCTTCAAAAGTCCTAAGTGGATGGAGGTTAAACTGAAACAAGTCTGGCCATGACTTGATAAACATCGCGGCCAGACATGAATACAGAAGTGATCATTATACTAGTTTCTCTACTTTTGTACAATATATGCTTTGAATTTTCTATAGCAGAGAAGTAAACTAACTAAATGAACATTAGCTATTTAAATATTTCTTCAAAGTAAAGTCCTAGACTCCATCAGCGTTCTGTTATATGCTCAATGGAAAATGTTCTGTTCCTCTTGTAACATGTCTGAGTATCTCCAGGTAGGCGTAGGTATAAGATAGATTACTTTATTCCTGTGTAAAGTCAGTTTTGGAGCTCCCCTCAATTCAAAACTTTAAAAAATGTATATGCTTCCTTGGATATGTTTGTTGCCTTAAGACAGTATTCAAAAGTTCTCTGCCCAAATCTTTTGAGTCTATATTTTTCTATTCCAGATACATCAGAAAGAGATCAGGATGAAATTTCCTTATACAAAGTTACTAAAACTCATACAGGACATAGTAGAAGGAAATGGTGTCTATACTGATACCACACAAAATTAAAGACAAACAAACTAGAATATGACAAGGAATGGCTGTGACATGTAAAGTGCTCTTACAAATAAAAACCTATACGATTTGTAAAATATGAGCTTTAGTCAATAACTAGTAACCAGTTAACAACTAATAATTAGTAAATGCAAATTAAAGGGGAAATAGTTTCCCCCTTCTACAACTGTGAAAAACAAAAATGAAACAACAAGAACAACAAAAAACTTGTTTCTTCTTGTGTTTGTGTAGATGCAGAGAAACAGGTAGTTAAATATAATTTGTACAACCTTTAAGTCAACAATCTCACTAGTAAATATTTATCTGAAGAGATAATTAGGGACATATGCCAAGCTTAATTTTGTGAGGATGTACATAAAAAGGGTAATTTATAAGATTAAATAAAAGAAAAAAAAACAAGTATCAAAAAGTACAGCTCTGATTGTTTGATATATCACTATAAGTTATACTTCAGGGAAACAGGTAACCATTAAAATTCCATTTTATTGTACCTTTTTTTTGGTATTTTCTACATAACCAATTAGCAAATTTTATTACATGATGTATGAAAAATGTTGTTCAAAAAAGAATCAGGAACAAAATGCCACAATAGAACCCTTATGGATCTTCGTTTTTTTGGGAGGTGGGGTGTGAGGGACTGACCTCAAGGCCTCATGCTTGGCAGGCAGGTGCTTATGCTGAGGAGCTAAATCCCCCACCCCTTTGTTTTCTACTTATCATTTGGCATTTAAAAATACAATAATTGAGAATCTGTAGACTCCCTGGTATATCATCATAGGTACTATATAGAGAACTCTAAATCTTACTAACTGCATATTTTTTCATTAATTCAGTCTAAAAAATTGGACGCTAAAGAAGGGAGAAAAGCGTTTGTAAACTTTTCTTCATATAAATTCTATTTTTAAAAAGTCTTGAAAATATTGTGTTCTAAGTTGCCTCTGTCATGCACTGTAATCATACAGGAAACAGCAAGAATTACATTTTATATTAACAGTAAAGACCTATCTTCCTTCAAGCAGCAATTTCCACTAGGCTGAGAAACATTATTATAGCCCTATCTTGTTCCCCCAAATCATGAGAACTGTTCTAGTGTTATTCAGAGTTAAGATAATATAGCCCAGGAAAAAAATTGGTAATTTCCTAAAGTACTATGTGAATCTTTTAGCCCGAGACAGAATGGATACTTACCTTATAGTCAAAGTTTTCATTTAAGAAGTTTTTACGAAGTGCATCCGAGAGGTACAGAACTGTAGTAATAATAACACTAGAGATAAAAAGAATACATTTTAAGTCGAAAACTTCACCTTAGTGAAAATCATTTAATAGATAAGAATCAAAAGCAAGTGAGATAAAAGAAAACCTCCTTCAGTATGCACTTGAATGTTGGATAATTCAAAAGAGGCACCAAGCAAAAAGGAAAAAAAGAAAATTATTGAAGTCAGTGTCTTTGTAAAATGATACATAGAAAGATCTATATGAAATTACAAGACTCAGAAATGCATTAATATCCTGACATCTTGCACATTTTTATTAATATCTAAACAAAACAAAATGTTTAATACCAACCTAAAACTCCGTACTTGACTATCATGAAGGCAATGTAGCCTAAGATGAAACAGGACAAAGTGAAAGACTACACCGTGTGTTTAGCAGACGTGTTCCTGCTGTTCTCCCCCATTTAAGGCACTGGGGGACATCAGAGCTAGGGGAGAAGGGCCATCTCCCAGGGTGACAAGACTGCTGCTTAAGAAACAGCAGTGACCGAAACTGTCTCTAACCCAGGACCAAGCCACATGAAACCATGCGTGGCACAGGCATTTTGAGAAAGGGGTAGCGCCAAGACAGGACAGAGGAAAGCCCAACTGGTGGCTGTCCTCAGCCATGTGTTTTTCTTGGGAGGTTGGTGGGCATGGTTGCCTAGTTCTAAAATTCTGTGATTTGTTCAAAAGCTGCTCATTTTTACAGCCATAAGAGTACACAGTACGTTCAAAACTGAATGTTTCCAATTTAATGTGAGATACATTATACTGAAAGAAGGTAAGTCACCCCTCACCACTACTATAAACTGAACACCAATACACAATGCTTGGTATTTAACACTTCTTTGGCATTTTCTGAGATGCATGCACAGTACGGGGTTATGATGCAAAGAGTCCCAGTTCTTATCATAGCATTTAGGATTGAAGGGTAGAGTTGTATGACCCTAGATAAAACAAACAAAACAAAACAAAACAAGAGTATGCTCCTTGGTTATAATACTAGTAAAATAGAGAGAAGATGAACATTTACTTATTAGAAGACTATTTATCGACCTTGAAGGATATATAAACGTTCATTACTGCTATCATCTGCTGGAAAATTCACTATTAAATCCTTTTGTGGGTAAGAAAACACTAGGAAAGCTAAGGATTCGGGTAGCTGAAGGCAGAGTTTCAGCAAGGTAAGGGGAAGAGAAGGAAATAACATTCATTGGCATACCTGGTCCACCATGATCAGGAACTATGTTATATGTGTGCGTATTTTATAGGTGTCATTTGTATCTTCCAAAGAATCCTACTGTGAAAGTTTTGTATAAGAAAATCCCTGAGACTGAGGATTCCTGCGGTGTTTTCAGCCCCCAAAATAGCAGATTTCATCTTAATTTCATATTAAAGAGATAAATCTTTGCAAATGACTGTACAAAGTAGCAATTTTCCATAGACTCTAGCAAAATTAATGATAATTGAAAAAAAATCATTGAAGTTCCCAAAATGTACTCAAGTTTTACTATGTGAAATTAAATCTTAATTATTACAAAATGAAATGCTATCAGGCAAGGAAGTGGTTCTTTTGCCTTCCATCCAATAAAAGATCACTGAACTTGTAGGTTTAAAGAATAAAATTTTTGAAGGCATTACGTGGTTGCTCAGTGGTAGAGCATGGCTTAGCACGTGTAAGGCACAGGTTCAACCATGAGCATTGAAAAAAAAAAACAAAAGGAAAAGGAAAAATGTATCCTTTAGTGTTTGTAAGCACATACTTTCTACTTTGATGCTCAAAGGAAATAAACACAATCCCAATATGCCTGGATTTCCACCTTTTGGCCAACAACACTGGCTTGGACTGTTATTCAGAAATAATAACCTGTAGGATTAGTGAAACAAGGCACAGCTGGGATTTAAACAATTGGGCCTCAGGTCCTAGAAGGGCGCTGACAAGCTCAAGCTCTCCACTGAGAAGTTATTCTGCTCCAGGATTATCAAACTGGTTTTTATACACTGGGTCCCAATCACACACATAATATTCATGGCTTCAGGAAACACACTTGCTGGGGAACAATGAACCTCTGAGGCCTTGCTCCGGAATTGTGAGTCTCAAATGGGCTGTGCACTAGAATCACTGGGCTTCGGAATACAGATATCTGGATCACACCACAGAGAGCCTGAGGGCTGGTATGGGGTAAAAACCAGACCTGAGGCTTGTGGAAGCTCCTAGATGACTCTCACATGTACCCAGAGATGGCAACCTTTGTTTCTCCGATATTAACAGGCACCTGTGACCTAATCATGATCCTGAGACTTGAGATTGCTGTGTCTAACAACTTTCAGCGGATGCTAATGCTCCTGAGACCTGAGAGTATGGATCGCTAGCAAGCCTCAGGTGATGCTAATGCTACTGGGTCCCAGCCCAGTGCCAGAAGAGCAAGGCCTGGGGAGGCCTGCATCAAGAAACAACCACCTTCTAGCATATTCCCCACATTCTTCTGACTTTTGGAGGTTCTGACTTCTATGGTTCTTTAACTTGACCAGCAGACCTTATTTCTAGATTGAACACCTCACGCTCTAGCCAGGGCTGCTTCCTCATTGTATATAAAGAGGCCCACAGTATAGGCCCACAAGCTTTTCAGGGGCTTTGGAAAATACTGAGACCTGAAGAAATGTTATAAAACCAAATTACAACTGTGAAATAAAAACTAAAAAACATTCTATAAGATGTAATGCTGAATTTTCTGAACTGTTCAGTTTGATATTCACACACTTTTTCCTCTGTCAGACAATTACAACTTACCTTTGGTTACTTCACAAGAATTCTTAAATACGCATAAATGCTGAGAAATCACAATCGAGCAAAATAAAATGATTTCTCTACAAGCCAATAATTTAACAGAAAAATGTAAAAAATGTTTTTAATTTTTTTCTTAAGCAAAAATATCTACTGTGGCAGGTAAATCTACTTAATATATCTGATATTATGAGGAATAGGTCATCCAAAAATAAGACTTCTTAGGGCTACAAAGATCTTAAGTGACTCTTTTTTTTTTTTTTTTTTTTTTTTGCACCAGGGAACAAACTTATGACCTCACACTTGCATACTTCAAGTGCTTCACTGATGCCTGTAAGTTTCACGCCTAGTCCCACAGGCAGCTCTGAAGTGTCCACAGTAAGTCAGCCATGGAAAGGGACCTCTCACAGGTCCCCAAGCCAGCTAAAGGCATTTATGTATTACTGCCTCTCTACTGTGCTGGTAATTGTGGAGCTGAGAGACTTTGTTTGTTCCAATTTATCTAAAACCACGTGGCTCCCTCCTCTGGCTTCATCCGTTTTCTCCTGATTCAGTTTCTGAATACCAGGCTATTTCAAATCTCAGGGCTCCAACTTAATAGCTGAGCAAAGTCTGCAATCTGCTACCATGAATGCTTTCTGCCACAGAAATTTAGACACAAGGATTATTTGTGACAACCATAATCTATGCGCACAGAATAAAACAAGCAAGAGGAACCAGTGCACAGGGAATAAATTATTATTCATGGCTTTCCAGTTGCTACCTCATTCTTCAATTTAGGAATTATCTTCAGTCAACCCTATCTCTCCCTGCTAACTCCATGCCTCACAGAAAACTCCTCCGCTGCAATTTGTTCTTTGGAAAGCTCTTCCTGTCTGGTCATCTGCTTAAGCACAGTCAGCTCCAACAACTCATCCATGGACCAAGAGAAACACCCTGTGGATAAATGGAGTATCAACAGTTTTGATGTTCACACACTGAAGGACTCAGAACATCTAAACCTGGGGTGCAACTTCACAACAACCTGGTGGGTTAGGTGGGGACAACAGAAGTGGGTTCAAAGACACTTAGGGAAGGGGAAATCTCAGCCATTGAGGGAATTCATCCACTGGAGTGCTTCTCGCAGGGGTAAGAACCACCTGGAGATGCAAGTGTCAGGGCCTCACCACTGGACATGGAGTGGTGGGTTTCTGGCAGGGCCTGACTAGGTCATTCTGATGCGTGATCTGTCCTTTTCGTTTTGAGGACTTAAGTTACAGACAGAAGGGAAGACACTATAATGGCTTGGATCTAAAGTGGGACCCAAAGTCTGACGTGCTTGGAAGGTGACTGGATTATGTTGTCAGGAGTTGGGGCCTGGTCCAAAGAGGCAGTCACTGGGGTGTCACCCAGCAGGGTGCCTCTCACCTCTCTGCTTCCTGGCTGCCAAGACGAAGATGTGAGCAGCTTTCCTCCACCAGATCCTTCCACAACACCATTCTGCCTTGGGGCCAGCTGGCTAGGCCTCAAGAACATGAGCCCTCTCTAAGTTGTGGGTGTCGGGTATTGTATCTCCACATGAGAAAGTAAACTATGACAAGACACATATGGACCAGAATGCAGAGAACAATGTTATCTGAGGAATCCGGCCTTGTATATTAAAGTAAGTGTCACCTACGAAGCGCCTAGTTTACTGTTTGTGGAATGGCTGTCGTTTCATTAGGACATTTGCATCTGTGTTTTGTCATACTTTACCGGATTAGATAATTCTACAACATGAAGCTTGTTTGAAGGACATATTGTAATTGGACAGGCAAAGGTGGTTGGATGGGATTAGGAAAGGGAGTGACTTTGCTTTTTGTCTATAAGCAGGGCAAGGGAGGCAAAGAGAATGGTGAAGGTGGAGATGAGGGATTCTGAAACTCTGTCATCAGCCCTCCGCAAAGGAGGTCCTGGCAGCACATTAGCCCGGTGACAACAATCCCTATTTTGATGCAATAGGCCCAACCCTAAGAAAGTCCCCCTTCAGGTGTCCTCGTGAACTCCTCCCAACTCACCCAGAGATGCAACAGGCACGCAATTCTGGCATAAGGCATGTGGAGTAACTATTTGACACACTCATCAGTTTTGATAAAAATCAGTATCTCACTCCTCCCATGCTCCCTCATTAGGTTATTCAGGATAACCATCCTGAACAAGGACAACACAGCAAGTGTACCAGTGGATGCTCACCCACTGTGCCCTTGGACTTTCTGGGGCTGCTATTGCAAAGCCTGTCTTCCTTCCTGGCACTATGGACATGCGGTCGCTGCTCCTAGTGGAGGCACAGCTTTCTTGGTGAGTGCCAGGTCAATGCTACAGTAAGTGTGGTAAACCTCCTTCACGGGGAAACTTAGAGAAAACCAACGCCAGGCTCGCACAATCGGCTTATTTTCAGGTGCAGGGTCATCGTAGGTAGGAAATGGGGAATTCTCGGACTGTCACACATAGTAACACTGACTCCAGTGCCACTTCCTCTTGCCTACCAAGGATGTTCTTCCTTACATTTGCTGTTTTCTTTAGCCTCATTAATGTTTCTATACTTACAAGGCCATCCCTTCTAGTAAATCAAATGCTACCATAACCCATAGTTCAAGAAGAACCCAAGTCCTCCAATCTTCTAAACACACCCTTCTCTTTCTGTGCCCCTTTATGAAAAAATTCTTCAAAGAGCTTCCCACAAGTACCATTTCCTATCTGCTCTTGAACTCAGCCTTTATCTCTACGCTTCCGGAAACAGCGCTTGGCAAGGTCCCGGTATTAGCGCACAGCCAGATCCAGGGCTAAGGGCTGGTCCGTGCCCTGCCCGACCGCCCGGCTCTCGACTCCTCCTGACACGCTCCTTCACAGGACAGCACGCTCCGCTGGCTCTCACCTGCCACCGCATCTTCCATCTCACCTTCTCCTCTGCACCGGGCCTTGCTCCCTCACCTTTAAATGTTGGCACGCACAGATCTCAGGCCGGAGTCCTTGCTCTTTTCACGCTCCACTTTCTACTCAACTGTTCTCCTTCAGTTCCACGGCCTCAAATCCTAGACACTTATGGCCTAGCAAAATGACTCCAACCCCGACTTTTGCCCTGGCTGTGGTCGACCACATTTAGCTTTTTTTCTATGTCTCTACCTGGATACAGAATTGAATTTATGTTTGACATCAAATTCTTCCATTTTGCCACTCCTAACCCCCTAATACTCTATATTTTCTACCTACATGAACAACGCCATACTTTATTTTTTGTTAAGACCAAAAACTGTAAGACCGTCTTCAGTTACTTTTTTTACCCCTATTCACAGGCCGGTCACCTGGACGTTTCATCATCTTTATCTTTGGATCTGATCTTCTCACTACCTTCACCGTTACCCACCTGCCCAGGTATGAGCATCTCTCACCTGAATGGCTGTGCTGAGCTCCTAACTGTTCTCTCTGGGCTCTCTTTTGTTTCTCTACCCATTAATACCTGGGCCGTGCCTTCCCATTTTGTTTGGTTCCTTTCCTCCCCACACTACCAGTCTCTTAGTTCCTCAGGAAGGCCATATTTCCTCTGACCACAGGGCCTTTGGATATACTTTTCCTGCTGATAGGAATGCTTTTTCTTTGCTGTCTACATGTTTGACTGAGTTTCAACCCCACATGCAAGATCTTTCCTATTCCAGTTAGAATGAAGATCCTTTCATAAACACCCTCACAGACTTGTGCTCTTCTGTCTTTACAGTGATTATTTTACATATTAGGAACTGGAAAAATTTGCTAAATACTTGGGTTAGCAGATGAAGGAATGACCTCCCCTAAGAATCTTCAATAAAATAATTCATTGGCTATGTAGGTTTCATTTGAAACTTTAATTGGCTAAGGTATGTTTGAGGTCAACCTGCATAGAAGACCAACAAAAAGAGAACCTGAAATTCCAAGCGACGGCACAGGAAGTTCTGCTCTCCTCGGTAGACAAGTGTGCCGTAAGATTTAGCTCCTTGAAAATATATAAAGCTGTGATTTTATTTTTGTACTTTTCTTTAACAATGTGTATGGGAAGGGGGTGGAGAGAAGTTTCTCTCCAACTGTCCTGTATTTTTGGCACTGCATTTCCATCTTCCTTCTGTTCCTCCTTTCTCAGACTGACTGAGCTGTTACCGTCCTCAGAGCATCTCCCAGAGACCGGCCACAGGTCTCAGGAGCTTTGAAGCAAGCAAGCCAGCGAGCGAGACAATGTCTTGTTCTTGTGGAATTTAGATTAGCCACACTTGCTGTGTTACAAAACATCAACGTTCAGGTAGAAATAAACAAAACCCACACAAAACGCCAGGAATCTGGTCACAGCTTTTAGTGGGACTTCGCATACAGCAGGAAAGCTACAAGACTTGAGATAAAATCCTCAGACACGAAAGTCAAACATTTTATTCACTTGAAAACAAGGAACAAAAGACCAAAACATAATAAAAGAACATGCTTTTGAGGGATGAACTATTCTCCTGAGTTCCAGGGTTGGGCGGTGGTGGCCTTTCAGCTAGCTGCTGTCAATGGGACATATTACAAGCACATGAACAGGTTAATAATAAGGAGGTTTAGGTTAAAATTCCTCTTTGAAGGAAGACGCCTTGCTAAATGTTGTCCAAGAATACTAATGCTATGGAAGAAGAGATGCTCAATTTCAGAGACACAGATCTAACACCTGCAATGTCTCCACCGTTTCGCAAAATGAGAATACCTTCTTCTCAGTGTATGCTCTTTAACACATTTAAGAGAAAACTTTTTAAAAAACCAAACACCTTTCAGAATCCTACTTTTCTATCAGTCTCAGAGAGGTTAATAATTGTCACAGATAAAGACAAATACTGAGCGCTCATTTCTGAACATACCCCATGGCATTTATAAAATAAGACATGTCTCTTATGTTTCCAAAAATTGAATGAAAAATGGCCAGGCAGGAACAGAAGAGAAGCGAGGAGGGAAGGGAGGGGAAAGAGAGGCAAGTGGATGAGCACACGGCACGCAGTCTGCTCCAGCTGGGCAGGTGTCCCACCCAGGGAGTGCTGACCACATGAATGAGGCTGCCATGGCCAGCGGACAAGCAAAGCCAGGCTGTCATCAGCACTTACTTGGTGGCAATGGACTGGAGTGGTGGCACACAGGAAAGGCTGGGGGCCCACTTTTGGCTGTGCTATGGTAGAAATTTTCCATTTAAATATATTACAGAGCTCTCATCTCCAACAAAATCGTATTCCTATTTGGTTAACACTGTAGACAAAATCTTAAACTTTCATAGCCTGTTGTCTGCTCATGTGACCATCAGAGTGTTCATTAATGGAAAGGGAATTTTTCAGGTGGGCACAGACAGTATGTGCCGAAAGGCCACATTGTTACTATGGTTTTCACCAACCTCAACCAGAGCCTTTGTACCTAAGGAAGACAGTGTTAAATCTGCTTTCACTATCAATCTCTGCCACTGAAAATTCTAATTGAAGCCAACATGTTGCATGCATGAGGGGCTGGCAGAATGACCAAAGGCTGATGGTATGTGACGATGACCTCAGCAGCCTAGACCCTATCCATGTGGTTTCCTGGGTCACTTCACAGCTCTGTCCACTCTCTAGATCCAGGATATGATCACTGATTAAAGGCCAGGTAGGTGAGCAAAAGGTCCATGTTAAATCTGCAGAATTCAGACATTCAGAGGAACAGACACATGATTCTACTCACAGTTAACAAACAATACATGCTAAATTCTAAAGAAAGTGATTTCAGTAGTCTCAATTAATCTTCAAAATGGAAAAGCTGCTCCTGTACTTATGTAAAATACAATATGCCATATTATGCTATTTGTTACTTCACTGAGTTTTTAACACATCATGTTCACACCTCTAAGTCTATAAATGTAGACCGCAGCAGAAGCCCTATTAACACGGCTCATCAAAACCGAATTCTACATTCCTCGGCCTCTCGCACGATCGTTCCCAGGCATCTGGGGCAGACATATGGGGACCCTGGTCTACAGACAGACGAAACTCTAACGTTCACCTTGCACATGACGACTACGACTGGCAGCTTCTGCAGAGCAGGTGGGGAACACAAGGGAGCACGGGCTTAGAAAGTGAGAGTGTTAGGATGCGGGGTAAACAAGGATTTTCAAAGACCAGACCAGGCAAGCTTCCTAAATACACTTCATCTTCATTTACACCCTGAGTGTTCTCAGGGGCACAGGAGGCCGAGAGACACACAAGTCCCTGACCTTGTCCCCTCTGGGATGGTGCTGGCCACACTCACTGCACCTCATCTCTCCTCTAGCCTCCTATTCCTACAGACACTGATCTCACAACATCTTTACTTTTTTTCCTGGATATGCTTATAGAAGCTAATTTTATCAACTCCCAGAGACTCAGATATGAACTTTCTCTCAATTATTTTTAAAATGTCTTTATCTTAACTTCACTCGGAGCACATTTTCAGCTCCTTCTTGACCATATTACTTGGATGAATAAAATGAAGTCCACTTTTCATGTGTCCCACTCAAGGTTCATGTTCGGCATATAGTAGAAGCTTAATAAATTTTGTTGAGTTAAAAAAGAATTAAGAAAGATGAGAAATGATTTCCATGTCCAGCAACAGAGGATGACGGTACAACCATCCAATGGAAGATGATTCAGCTGTATAAGCAATGAAAAAGCATAAGGGAATGAGAGGCTTTCTGTCTGCCAGGCTTTTTAAGTGAAAGCAGTGCTGCCTGCTAGAGTACATATAAAGAAACGGGGGGAAGATCGTGTGAAACAACAAAAATAATGACCACCGCTACCGGCTAGAGCAGGAGGCAGAGAAAGTAGGCAGGACAGGATTTCAACGCATACTAGTTATATGGTTTGAGTTTTGAACGATGGCAATACATTCAAAACAAATCATAATTCAAGACAAACAGTAATTTAAAATCAAAAAAGAGAAAAGTTAATTCAGAGCCAAAGCAAAAAAAACAAAACAAAACAAAAAAAAACCAGTCTATATGAGTTGGAGGTTTCAAATTTGAGATGAAACTAATAGCTCGTTCTGTACTTCTGTCCTTCCCTATACATTGAGCTGCAATTATCGTCAACTAAAACGTCTTACTTGTTAGCAACCAAGCGCATCACAGTCCAGTCCTTCGGAAACATCTCCGGGCGTATCAGTATTCGGAACACAGTGAATATCTGCAGCAGGAAATCCTTGGACAAGGAGGAAACAGATCATTTTACTGACTTCACATAACTGTCACATCACACACACACGCACAGTGCTGCTGTTATCATTTCCCAAACCATTACAGAGACGACAAGAATCTTACTTTAATAATCTACGTTACCTTTCCTGTTCCCAGCACCCAAACACAGACTTCCGACCATCCCAAGAACTCCCTTTTACTTTACTTCCTCACGCAGAGGAAACAACTTCGTTTCTCTTTGTAAGTTCTAAGAATTTAGAATGTGAAAACAAAATGGAAAACTTAAAGATGATTAGCAGGCAAACACATTCCTTTTTTATAATAGTGTCTTAAATTACAAAATTTTTCAATCCAAGAAAACAACAAATTGTCCTGATTCAGCTAAGGAGGTGTCAAAACTTAGAGAGGCATGTTCATCACAACACACCTTCTACAAAAATCTGTTTTTTGGATGTTCTTGAAATACAGTACTGCGAAGATGCGTGTAGAGCTATGGAACCCGAGTGACTTTTCCCACATATGCTATGCAGACAAAATCGAAATGAGGGTACATGCTAAGCTAAGTTCAGGCGAGTGCCTACCAGCCGTGACTGTATGATATAGTTCTCACAGACACACCATGCTAGTGGGGAGCAGTATCTACACAGGTCTGATTTTTAAATTGATTGGCTGGGAACAGTGCTCCCCCCTCATTTCTTCCTCTCCATTTATTTGTTTTAAGTTGACAGATAACACTGTATAGTTCTACCCTGTACCATTTAATATTTTGAAGGGTATATACACTGTGAAACAGGTGAATCTAGCTAATCAACAAGTGGTATCTGACATAGTTAATATTTTTGAGGTGAGAGTACAAAAACACTTTTGACAAGAAGCTATTACCACACATAGAAAAATCACTTCTTTAAACACCACAAGAGACAAGGCCTTCAATCTTGTAGCACATGATACTTAAGTGAAAACAAGAGATAGTGGATCACAGGCAGTAAGTGAAATGGAGGTTTCCCTAGTCTAAAACCGATTGGCTCACCTGGCTTTGCTTTAGATTCACTATCTAGAAAACGTGAAGATTCTTCCATAACCTTAAATGATCCTAGGAAAATATATTTCTCTAACAATCTGACTGAAGGCAACGGTATAATGTTGTTTGCCAATTTAAAGAAAACTCAGAACACAACATTTTTATTTATCAAACTCAACAACACATGTTAAATGTGTAAACTGCTTGAATATAAGATTATGATTGTCACTCACAAACACAGAAGATACAAAGAATTTAAACTGAGGACCATGTGGTTGCTTTTGGGTTTTTTTCTTTCATTTTTATTTTACACATTCTAACAGCTTCCATCAAGCTCATAAATATTTTGACAAGAATTTATTTCAGCTTCTTTGGCATCAGCACCATACGTGGCTATGTAGCAGGCGACATATGGAAACATTCCCACTAGGTCATCTGCCTTGAAACGCCCATGTCTCCAGAACGTGTCTCGAAAAGCAGCAGAAGCAGTTTCCCCAATATACTCCACTGCCGGAGTCAGATAATCTGAGGGCTGAGATGCCAGAGCAGGCACTAAGCATGCCTGAGGCCCTGGGTTCATACTCACACTCCTGCCCCACTGTGGGAACACTTTACATTCTAGCTACCCCTTGAGATAGTACAAATCCTGCGCCTCTGAAAGGTATTCTAATGGTTTTTAGGTTGATTCTTTTGGAGTTCCTCAGACATGAACACATATAAGTTCTGTAAAAACTGAGCTTGCACTTGTCTCTGAAAGGTTTCCTCTTTTTTGGTGCTGGGGATTGAACTCACGACCTGTACATTTGCCAAGCCGGCACTTATGCCGCTGAGCTAAACCTGTGGCCCCTATCAGGTTTCCTATCTTGTAGTATTTGCTTCAATAGGTATTTTTTAAAAATCATGAAAACAGAGAGTGGTTTAGTTTTTCAGTGCTCAATCAGGGAGTTTAAATGAATTCTAAAGTAGTAACGTTTCATCTTCTGGCCCCTCAACTTTTACCAGCACTGGAAACCAGAGGTAGCATATTTAGTGGTGCTATAGGTTTTATAAGTATGGGCTGGGCTGGGAATGAGACATCAGTTACAAAACCGGCTGAAAAAAAAATGGTTACCAGAGGCAACATCTAGCCTATGGACCAGCAACTTTGTTCTTTTCCAATGATAGGGACAAAGAAAACGTTACTCCAGCTGTGGGACCTGGAGGTAGATAACATGTTTCTGTGCCATCTCTTTTTCCAATTCCCATTTATCATATAAAAAAAAAAAAAGGATATAACAGTACCTGACTTTGTACACATGCCTATATTGACATAAATTTTTATTTCCCCCAAGAAAACTTTTTGGGGTCAAGTTTTCTAAGTTATGTATTTAAATTTATTTTATGGAACCAAATCAAAAAACGAACAACATTATACTGAGAATCACAAAATCTAGATTTTAATTCTGGCGCTGCAATTAACTACCTCAGTGACCACTGCAGCTTACTTAACTTTTTTGGAACCAAGCTCTCATTCTTGGAAAAGATGAGGGTTTTAAGGTCTCACATCCTGAGGAAATTATTTAAAAATCAGTATGATCATTTACCTATTCATGGTGTACTTTCCCATTTTTCTTATTTCTACACTATACATTACTATCACATTGGATCAGACTGGGGGTTTAGCTCAGAGGCATAAGCACCTGCTTGGCAAGTGTGAGGTCGTCTCGATCCCCGGTACCAAAAACAAAACAAACAAACAAACCTCATTGGATCACACTGGGGAAGCACAAATACTTTCCAATGTGATACTTACATATACTTCAGTTTAGGAAGCATTTGCTTCATTTTCCACTCTGTTCTAAAATTGTAAATCAATTAGTAAGACCTGAATGCTGCATTCCTAGCATCTCCTCCCTGCCCCAAACCTGGCATTTCCTCGTCTGTCCTTTATGTACTTTTCAACCCTGATCATTTCACTACATGTATGCTTTTTCTTAGATACAATTATTTTGCACATTTAATTTATAGATTCTTTTGATAGCACAAAAACACATCCATGGCTACAACATTCCACAACAAAAGTAAGTGCTTCACATGCCACTACTTTAAAACTGACAACCTGGGAATGAGTTTCTGTTTGTTTATGCACTAGAACATTGTGACTTAACCTTATGACTTGTATTCTTCAAATCAGGACTCAAAACAGAGAAAAGGAGGTGCTACTTTGGAGAATTACTTTTTCTGTAGCACAAGCGGTTCAAGTAAGAAATTCTTGTGAAAGTCTTCCAAAACCCCCCCAAAAGCCCTATCTTCAAATAAACAAAACAGCAGGAGTAGTTGCTATGATTCTTGAAATCACCACAGACATTTATTCATTTATAAATTCCAAGTGCTCTACCACGCGCCAGGCACCATGTTGGATGCTGGGGATGCCTGGTAAGGCAGAAAACATTCCCTTATTTACTAGCACAGCAAATATTTATGGAGTGCCTGTGGCAAGACACACCATGCAGGTCAGTGCAACGATTTCTTTGCTTTCATGGAGCTTGTGCCTAGACAAGTGTGAATTCGCTAACCACACAGCTAAATGCACACTTAGGGATTCAGATCATTCTGTGAGGCAGAAGCAAACCATTTCCAAACAGAGAAGGGGTACTGCAATGGGGATCAGCAAGAAAAAGGATGGAAGATGATTAGGGGAAAATGAAAGATAAATGAGGACAAAGACAAAGAGAGCTCAAAGAAACACACGGTAAGTAGAGAGGTATAAATAAAAGCTAAAAAAAAAACTTCAAACTTTTCTATGATAAGAAGTTGGGGAATTTACCCTAAGGGCAACATGGAAACATTGAGGAGTTTTAGGTAGATGTGCAGATGTGTAGAGGCTCATATTTGTGTTGTTCTGAGTACCACATAAAAAGGGTTTTGCACTTACAGACGATACCATGATATGAAATTGGCAAAAGATAGAAATCGGGTTTATGAGTCCGAATTGGTAAAACACAGAAAGAGGAACTGTTAGACCATGAAATGTGAGTTAAGATGTCCATAAAATAAAGTATTTTGAGGCAGGTAGACAGAGCAAGAGCAATCAACAGAAGAGAGTCTTCCGGAAACATTCCTTTTACTTATGATTTAGAGTACAGTCAGATGCTATTTTTAAAACATGCTATAAAATTTAAATGTGTAATACCTTAGATATAGGTTCAAAGTCAATTAAATAGAATTGGTAATTATTATCTACATCATTAAAATTGAATCTTTATTCTTGGAAATAATTCTAAAATGATCTTCAATCTTTTGAATGCGATAAATTATTTTTATTAAATTGATACATTAAAACAAAGACAGTATGTCAAAATAATTATATAGGAAAATATGCTTTTGTTGAAGCAGGCAGAGTTTTATTAAAAGGACTCATTCATGCAACAAAGATTTTTTGTTCTAGGTTTCTGTGCTTTACAAAGACATGCTCCCTACTCTCAAGGAGCCCACAGTCATGGAAAACTCAAGCAAATAATCATAGTGTACTGCGGTAAAATATCAGACAAGGTGGACTACAGCCTGTGAAGGCTTCATCAAGAAAGGGACATCTGATCTAGATTTTGTAGTATGAGCAGAAATTAGGTAAAAGATGAACAGGGTTACATATTTGAAAATGAAGTTGTGGTGGAATAGGTATTTTTAATAATTATTTATTATTAAAATGAACCAAAAATCATATAATGATTTGTTAGGAATATGTGAGTGGTCCTAAGTGGCTGGGGTGAAGAATGCTGGAAAGGGGCTGGAGGATAACACAGCTGAATGGACTGAGGATGGGGACAAGGTGACAGAGACTGTACTTTGCCCTGAAGCTAACGGCAAGTGCTCAGAGTTTTAAAGTTGGATTAAGCTCTAATCAAGTATGATTCTTTGAAGGCTCGTGGGCCAGTATATGGCAGATGGTGAAAAATTATAACAGTGCTTTACTTCCAGAATTTGTATAATCTCACACTTACAGCAAGATTCCCCACGGTTCTATATGAAAAGTCATAATCAAACAAAGAACAGGGAGTCTCATGCTGGATATACATAAAATACCCACGACAGGGACAAAACTTTAGCCCCCAGAATACAGTGGGTGTATAATAAAACATGACTGACTACAGAAGGAGAAAAAAAATACTTAATCACTACCTTGAATTGGCTTTTGTTCATTTTAAAATAATGGAAAGTTCTATGGGAACTTTAGGAAAGGAAAAATTAAATACAGAGTGCCAGCCTTCGGCTCTTCACTCCCACACAACCGTGTCCTGACACTGCGACAAGGCCACTCACACACAAGTACCTGAGGGCCAGGGAGAAGAAAGAGCTCACTGTTCAAAGAGCCAGAAGCCACATCAACAGTGACCCTACAGGCCCCCAGGTTCTTCAAGCAGGAATGGAGTTAAAACACCATTTGTCTTTGTAGGTATGTGAGAACTTTATACTTTCAAAATTTATTTTGATTTAGTGAACCACTAGGAAAGGCTGACAAATCTTTCTTTGAAATAGTAAGGATAAAGGAAAAAGCAGTGGTGCTAATGGTGAAGAGCAAAAAAATATAAATCTTTATATATAGCTTATCAGTATCAATTACAACTTAAAATGTATATATCCTCTGACCAACCATTCTACTTCTGGCCATTTGTTCTATAACAAAAAGGGTGTAAGTCCATAGAGATCTATGCATATGTATGTTTACTGCAAGACCCTTTCTAGTGACAAAAACCAGAAACATCCTGAATGCTCGTCATATGGGAATCGTTAAATTATGGACCATGCTTTTAATGAGCTTCAGAAAAATGAGGCTCTGGAATATGTAATATTCAAGAGACATTGCCACATGGAAAGAAAGGAGCAGAACAATATGAACAATGGAATCAAACTGTTTTTACCAAGGTTAGATGTGGATGGCACACAGAGAGCAGTTGAGAAGAAACATGGCCAAGCATTAACAATAGCTTCCCCATCAAAATTCCTGTGTCAGAATCTGAATTCCTCCAAGTGGCATTCGTGGGAAGTACTCAGGTCTCAGAGGCAGAGCATTCACACACAGCTCAGGGCCCTTTCACGGAAGTGGTCTTCCCGAGTGGGCGGGTTACAAAGCAAGCGGACCCCTAGTGTGCGCTCTGGCTTTTGCACACGCCCACTTGCACTTCCACTGTTCACCGTGAACTGCAGCAGCCTGAGGATCTCGCCCAGAGGCCAAGCAGATCCTGGCACCACGCTTTAGGACTTGTAGCATTGGAAAAAAGGTTACATGTATACTTTGACTTATTTTTAAAAATAGTACAGTTTTGTTCAGTTTTTTGTGTCTGATCCTAAAACCAATTTTATTTTTCCATTAACTATCACTATAATAATTTATATCTTGCCTTATTGATAATTTCTTTACTTATTTAATTTGTAACCTAAGTGTAGATATCAAAATCTTCAAAAACCACCCTCTACTAATTTGGCATTTTTCAGATGCCTCTATAACAAGAAATGCCTTATTTTCTTTAAAGATTTGACAAATGAAATGTTACACAATTTGATGGCAAAGATTTTGGTTTAGGGAAGTTCAGGGGAAAGGGTGAGTTTAGTTGTCTGAGCAAAGAGCTCAAGATAAAAGAATTCCTAGTTTTCCAATGACTCAGGATAACAACATTAATCAATCTTCACAGGAGGGCATGCTACAAAAGTGTTTACCACATATCCAGCTTTCAGTAGTTGGGGTGGGGTAGGGAAGTGTTGTGTAACTATAAACTATCATCACCAAAGTTTGTATCTTGCAATATCCTCGTAACTTCACTATTTAGATGCACTTAGGAAGAGACTGTTTGATTAGCCTTGGTAGTCCCACTATCTAGGCAACATGCTTAATGAATGTTGAATCGGTTAACTGACATCTATCATACAGTAATGGGCGCTTGCCTCATGGGGTCCTTCTGAGAGGTAAACGTGCTAATATTAATCGGCTATTCAGAATAGTGCCTGGTGCATATTAAATTATACATAAAATGTTTAGTGTTAAGGTTCTCAGTTCCATTTCTGAATAACACCAAAGTCCAAAGTAGCTCTATAATTTTTTGGTCTTATTATCTATTTGGCAAGAAAATTTGATCTGAATATGAGTAGTTTCTGGCCTTCCCAGGGTTACTCTGTAGATCCTACTGCGAGTACTATACTATCATATACAGTACATGAACCATACTCTCTTTCTGGAATTGGAAGAATTTTGATCTTCAGATGAATAATTTAGCATCATGGAATAACTCTCATCTGAAGGCCCAGCTAATTCTGAGAAGGAAACAGATGTCCTTTGAAAAGGTGTGCTGGAAGAGTGAAATGAAATCTACATGAAATACTTCACTCATTATTTCCCCTTGCTGTACTGACAGCGAGAGTAATAAAACATAAAACTCAATACCTAGGTTAACCAAACATCTTAATTTATGTTTTTTCCTACCTTTTAATTCTTGTGGTCTATAAAAATATGTACTTCATTTTATGGGAAATTTTGAAATATGAAGGCATAGACTTCTTAAGCACAAACTAATTATTCCTTAACTGTGTTAAACAGTCAGTTTTTGATAAAAGTAACCCACAAAATTATCTTCCTTTTGATGCATGGGGTTTTGTATTCAGAGTGGGTAAGTTCTAAGGCCTTTTATGTATTTTTAATCCTACACTCAAGATTGAACATCAGAATGAAAGACATGATGCCATATGCCAATTAGCTAATGGCAGAAAGATTGTGTTTGCCCCAAATCATTCTTTGTTTTATATAACTCAGCTTGTCAACATCTCCAAGGTAATAAAAAGATTCTTCTGAGATCATGCAGTATCTTCCAGGCACTTAAAAATCACTAAATGACCCTGTGCGCTATCTACCTGAAACATCTACAGATCTTCCCCTCAAGCAAACACTGCAGCATCACTGCTCTTGTCTATAATTCTCCACCTCTCAGCATTTAAGCACTCCTCCCAACACAATGGTTTCTATATGCAAAGGGTCTGGAAAACTGAAGAGATTAAAGAGAAATAAAAGTAAGGAAGGGCAGATGACAGGTCATTTCTCTGACTAAGGATAATCAATTTCTAAGCTTTTAGGGATATGATAAAGGAACCACTACAATTCTCCAAATTTCAGCAAATATTGAATTTTTAGACACTCTTATTTTCTATTTAATGTCAGCCTGCCAGACTAGCATAGCATATTGATTAGATGATGGTTGATAAAGAATATGAAATACAACTCTGCATCTCTAGACAGAAAGTTGTAGTCAAAACTTCCTATTATGGTTTTAAATGGATGAAACCAGCCAATATGGTTACACGGTTTCCCTTTATATTAAGGTAACAGCTCTAACCTACATAGAGTTAGCCTACTTGCTTTTTACTTCCTCACTCTGTCACTGCTTGTAGTTTGCTGAACTTTTATGGTAAGTATTTCAAATCCTATGTCCTTCTCCAAAATAAGAGTTAATTGCTTCGCTTGAGTACAGAAATGTTACAGAACCAATACAGATAGATGAACAGATCTGTGACTGAAGCCGAGGAAAACAGTTTAGAATTTAATGAAGACACAACAACTGTCAAGAAACTATCTGAATAGTATGAATAAGAACAAGAGAAACAACAACGAAAAATACATTAAAGGAAGTAACTTAAAATGTCACTTACCCTTAGCTCTTCCTTTGTGTTAAAACTATCAAGAAGTTGTTGATAATGTCTGTCTGTCATTTGTCGTAATAGGGACAGGAGACAGGCCACAAATTCTCCCTAATTAAAAAAAAAAATCAAAGTTTTTGAGGAAGGACATAAATGAACATCAGTAACTTCCTATGGACTATGCTCAAAGAAAATACTTCAAAAAAGTCACTGTGATCCAAATTCATCCTGTGAAGTCTTAATTTAAATTACTTAAAATAGCACAGCCAAAATTTCTCCCTGCAGTGATCACCACTTACCTGGGATATATGCATGTTCATTTTTAAGATGGGTGTTTTTACTTGGCCAGAAGTTTTTTCATTTGGCAAGTAACTCCAAACACTTATGGACACAGTTTACGACCACTTACTGAGCACTTAAAATACTTCCATTCATTGCATAATTTAAGCCTCATGTCAATGCTTAGGTTCAAAAGGGCCACAAGACTTGCTCCAAATCACGTGACTACACAGCAGCAGGACTGTAGCTATCAATCCCCAGGTCTTTTTCACTACGAAGTTCTTCCTATAACTTTATGCTCCATTTTTAATTCCCATGACCTACAACTCATCAGAGTACAGAATGTTGGTACCAGTTTTCTCTAGAAAACAGTTTTAAGTTAAACTATTCTTGGTGCTTCAACTGTATGTGATTTGCTCCTACAAAGCACCTAAGATGGAAAAAAAAAATATGTGCAGAATTCTGTAGATGTGAAAGCTTACATAAAATTTTTATCACTTACATTTCTTAATACACATGTAATTTCTAAAAAATTTTTGTGTAATACTAGAGATTGCACTCAGGGACTTCACACTGAACTATGTTTCCAGTTCTATTAATAATTAGTTAATTAAATTTTGGAACAGAGTCTTGTTGAGGTGCTAAATTGTCCAGGCTGGACTCAGACTTACAATCCTTCCACCTCAGCCTCCCAGAGTGCTGGGATTACAGGCATGCATGACTGTATCTGCTAAAATTCTTTTGTTTATAGTATAGCCATTTTTACTCAGTACAGAATTCATCTACTTTTAAGTAGAGTAATAACAATACGAACACAATAGGAGAAGCAATCGGTGGTAACTAATTGTACATTTACGAAGTGCAGTTTAATTGGCAATTAGTTTTTTTGAGTTTACATGAGAAGAGACAATAGGCTCACACATGAATTTCAAGACTAAAAACTCTGAGAAGTAGGATTTTTTCCAACAGAGACAGTTATGGGCTGTCACAGTGAAATACATGTCCATCACATGCCACAGGTATCCCAAAGATATAACATCATAGCCACGTCAGGCAAGCAAAGATCGGGTTGGTTCTTTGCATGTGGACAGTAATTTGCAATGGACAGACATAAGGTATAGTTATTCTTGTACATTAATTAATTAGTTAGTTAATACTAACTCATACGGGCCAGTAAAACTATCCCCAAAGTTCAATGCATTATCTTGCTAATGAACAGGTTGATACTTCATACAAATGTAAAATTTGAAGAAAATTATTAGTAATTTAGTGCATGTGTGTGAGAAAACCACCCACACTAAGAAAGTAACTATCTGAAAGAGCAAGAACAATACCAAGCGTTCACGGAGGACTGGCAATAAAGCTAAACAGACACACAGTGTGAGACAAAGCTTCACCGAACGGGACACTGCAGATAATAGATTATTACACTTGAAATTCTCTAAATTAGATCACACAGAAAATTGAGGGAAAAGAAGAGAGGAAAAAAGTCAGTGAATAAAGGGGCAACGTTAAGAAGGAGAATATACATGTCATTTGTGATTCCAAAAGTAATTGAAGACATGGAGGGGGGTGCTGCAAATTGCTTGAAACCTATCCACATAAATATCAAAAAGCTCTATAAACCCAAGCACAAGAAACAACAAGAAAATCACACTAAAGTACATAATTTAATTGCTCATAGCCAGTGAGAAGGAGAAAATGTTAACACCAGAGAAAAAAACAGTAAAACAGTATCTTTAGAGTAATGAAAAGGAGGAAAAATAATGACAACTATCAACTCAGAAGTTATTATCCAGTGAAACTATCTTCTAAAAGTAAGACAAAAGTGCTGGGGATGTAGACTTACTGCGAAACAAGCTTGGAAGACTATTAATAGTGTTAAAAACAAAAACTTCCGAAGTGGAACAAAACAGTCGGACTGAGGAACTTTCTGGATGTCTACCGACAGATAAATGAATACAGACACTGTAGTACTGTACATGTACACAATGGAACGCTCCTCAGAGATGAAACTCAAATAAAGATGTTGTATAAAATAAACCATAATATCCCTGGTTTCTGCCAAGGAAAAACAAAAGCTTAAAACTCCAACAATAATAACTTTCTATATGATACTATTCAACATGGAGAATGCAAACAGCTACAGTGACAGGTAATTTAATACAAAAAAGCAGGTCAGTAGTTGCATGGACATTCAGTGCATGGACATTCAGTGCTAGAGAAGAGCAAAGCAGAGGGAATAAAAACGGACATAACAAAACTTTTATAAGTGATGGACACATTCATTATCCTGATTATTATGGTGGCTCACAAGTACGTACATTGATGTGTATCATAACATATGAAAAAGTACATGTTAAACACACAATTTACTATAATTATACATAAATAGACATAAAAAGACATGAGACAACACTGATTTATAGAATGACACTGTTAGTTACTATGCTTTGATTCCATTGTGGAGTCATTCTTTGTAACAGACATGTTGGATAGACATTATCAGCTTCAAGTTAGAGGTAATTATCTATTAAGGTTCAGAAATTTATCCCAAGTGTCGCAGCTAGAAAATGACAAAATTGGGGTGAGAATCAAGTTGTCTCTGGCTCTACAATTCTGTGATTCAGTAGCTCTCTTTCTTACTTCCCAGACTGTTTTGACTTTACAGAAGACATTACAGAAGAAATGTACTTTGAGGTTATAATTAAATATACATTAAGTATATTAGGCTCTACTGATAACCACGGTTCATATTTATCAATATATTAACTGTATCTCAATTTAAAAATGCAAATCTAGGTTGCGGGAACCCATCTAGTGATCATTTTTACTTTTTACATATCCTACTCATACAATTTTTAATACATCTACTAGATTAATATTCTTAACTGTTTAAACCCAGCATACTATGAATAGTGAGACATTCTGGAGTCTGAAACACTATGTTATTTTAGTAATTTTAGTAAGAAAAACCTCAATAGCAAATGAACTTTCAGTTACTGTATATATGTGAATATTTCTTTGACTCTCAGGTATTAACCAGGTATTTATCTGGCTTAGGCCTACTGCAAGTAACATAATTCTGATATACAACTGCTGGCACATTAATGACATGTGGTCAATCTCAACATCTTCCTCCACAATTCACTTTTATTTATTCATTTAGTCTATTTAGAAATTCCATGAACACTCAACCCTATTAAGTGGAGTTAGATGTCCAATATTTTACTGATGCATTTTTCAACTATAATGTATTTTTAAGATATTTTATGAATATGTCTATAAGAAAATCCTAAACTCACAATTACTTATAAAGAATGAGTATAAAAACATCATTGGATAAAATCCACTTGGTTCAAGTGGGCAGTTTCTTAACAAATTACCTTTAAAACTGCATGGTCTTCAAGGCTTTGCACCATTTTAAGTACAGACTGAGTATAACGGACATTTCTATCAATAACTGTCAAGAGTATTAGATGACTACATTGACAGCCTTTAAGAAACCATCCATTATATCGATGCATGATTTGTTCCAGATATTGCTTACAAAATTCCCTTGCACTCCTGCCTCTCCCCTAACCACAAGCCACTGTGCATGAAGACTTCAGGCAGCACACCAGAGGGGTCTCTGGGGCACGCCTGTGCTGGGCTGACTCACCTGCTCTGCAAGGGTTACCAGGAGAATTATTTTAAAAGAGGCACTTACATGAAGTGTAAGGAACTTAGGGTCCAATTAGTTGAGGGTGTGAAGCAAATGGCTCTTTATGCTGCTTTATGCAGTCTGCTTCTACGTACAATTAAATTTTCGAAAGGAACCGATTACAATGTCATTTCCCTCCCAACTGGCAAGAGTGTTTTAAAGTTTAAATAACACTTGGTAGAAAAATAAAAAGTATAATCCTTTTAAATAGCAAAAACATGGCTACTGCTATCTGGAATTACGATACAATGGAAATTAGTCCTTGCACTGAGGTTTCCGGGACAGTACTGGAAAAATTCAGCATGACAGGCTTGTGGGAAGTGCTTTTATTCACAGTGAGTCCACTTAGCATGGATGTGTATATGTTATACATGTTATATAGATGCATTATGCCTGTAAAGGCCAAACATGCTCCGTAAGACTACCAAGTAAAAAGCCTTGGTTCAGCAAGCCTGTTCTCTGGGGAAAAGTGAGATGGAAACCAGACTATGCCCAGAGAGAACTGACTTTGTGAATGAACCATGCATACTCTCACCAGTGAATTAGTTATGATTATAACAACGCAACTATCACTTCTTCAACAGTGACACTATCAATGTGACTACTAATGTTACTACAATAACTAATGGCTAAAATTTATTCATTAGACCAGAGAGTGTTGAAAAATTTTCACAAATTCAATGAAATTCACATGTTAACTTTGGTATATGAACAACTATTTTCTCTTTTAAAGACAAAGAGACAGCGATTAGAGATATTAGTAACTTGAGCAACACCCTACAGTCAAAGAAAAAGAAAAGCAGAAATCAAACCAGGACTGCTTGAGGAAGTCTTAAAGCATAAAACTAAAGATGCCAAATAATTTGGATGTGTTTCCTGAAAAGCTCCATCTCACAATCCTTCACGAGTGTCTCACAAGGGACCAGAGTTGTGTGGAGAAGGACTTGATGTGATTTTTCTTCAGTTTAGTCCACCGTGTGGCCACCCTGCCCGCCCACTCTCCAATGTCACCAGGAAGCTGACTGCCTGCCCTCTTTGGGTCTCTTGCCTTGTACGTGTTATGAATTACACTGTGATGGCCTAAAGACGATCACACTGTAGATAGGAATGTAAGACATCTGCAATGTGGACACAGCAGTTTGAAAAAGTACTGTCATTCATGACCTCAGGCAGCCTTTAACCCTGTCTAGCATTTCCTACAACTCTGTTTGTTGCTCTATTAAAATTTCAGAATTATCTAAGCTCTTTAAACCATTAAAAATGTTATTTTAATGAAGGGGACTTCCTTTCTCTTCTGGGAAGAAAGGACAAGCGGACTTCTTCGTACAATTCCTGCTAAGCACAATTAACCAACTGGGTGTTTCAGATCACAAACAGAAGGCTGAAAAGTGAAGAGAGAAGACAGATTGTCCCAGAAACACGGAATGCAAGGGCGGATATGGTGTCGAATTCTCTAGGTTCTCTTTTTGCCTCCTTTATCCCAGACTAGGAGCTGAAGGAGAGGGCAACCCCAAAATACCAACATTTTTATTTCCCACTAGAAAAGCCCTATGGAAGCCTATTCTGTAGCCCAAGGACCAGGAAAGAAGGAGGAGAGGAAGACAACAGTTTTAGTAATAACTGCTTGTCTCTAACTAAACAACCAATCCGGCTTCACTGACACACACATCTTCAAAGTGAAGTGCGAGGCTGAACTTCCACTCCCATGAGGCTGTGAGCTCGGTCAGAGGAAGCCTGATGGGGAGCAGGTGCCTTCCCCCTCAGTGGGCAGTGGTGGTGAATACAACGTGGTGAGCCTGGACTGCAGGAACAAAGCACACTTTCCCTTCTCCACTGGGTGGCATCAGAGGAGGCCTGGTGGAGAGTCATTTCTGCTCAACAGTTACTAAGGCCATTCCAGTCAAGGTGTCAGCAGAGACCATGTGCAGGACCAGAGCTCTCCTTCCCGAACAGCATCCCAGCAAGCCCATTTCCCCCACGGGTCAACGGAAGGCCAGGGGACAACCTGGGATTACACCATGATCTGGCCATAATAAGTTGACATCCTCTACTTCCACAGGCAAGTGATATCACATACAGTCAGCTAAGTCAGACAGCTTAAATAAAATATAGAATCTTACAATACAGAAATGTTTAACTTTCAAATGAAAGTCATCCATAACACGGAGAATCAAGATCTCAAATTGAACATGCAAAGACCATCCTCAGATGTTAACAGTAAGCTGAAAGAAGTACTGAAATGATAGGATATATGTTATACAGAAATTAACTTACAGTGGTTTATAGAGTAAATGTTAATTATAAAATTACAATGCTTCAAAGAAAAAATGATGTGGTAATCTTCAGGATACAGGACTGAACCACAAGAGTTCTTAGACTTGATACTAAAAGCATAATCCATAAAGCAAAAAATTTTAATAAACTGAACTTGTGGATGCTTAAGCTGATTGGCTTAAGAGATTAGTAGAGCAGACTTTAAGGGAGTATGTGGGTGGGTCACAGGGTTGTGATCTTGGAATTATACGGGGTTCCTAGTCCATTCTTTAGTTCTCTTTCCCTGTACTCTGCTTTCTGCCACCATGAAGTGAGCAGCTTGGCTCTGCCACATCCTTCTGCTCCGATGTTTCTGCCTTGGAGCCAGCTGATCATGCACAGAAGCCTCTGAAATTGAGAGGCAAATAAACCTCTCCTCTGAAAGCTGTGGGTGTCAGACATTTGGCCCCAGCAGTGGGAAAGCTGACCAATATAACTTCATTGAAATGAAAAAACAAAAACCTTGATTTTGCAAACCCTTTTAAGAGGATAAAAACAAGCTAGAGTGAGAGAAAATATTTGTATGCCACATCATTGAGGAATGAACTACATAAAACCTATAATATATAAAGTACTCTCAAAATTCAACAGTAAAAAAGTAATTTGGTTAGAAAATGGGTAAAAGACACAAAGACATTTTTCAATGAAGAGGATATATAGGTAGATAATTATGTGAAAGATATATAGGATGTCCACTACCATTGGGGAAGGGTAAATTAAAATCATAATAATATATTGCTATATACACCTATCAGAATGCACTTCCCCTAAAATACAATGGCTACACTAATGCTGATGAGGGGTATTGAGAAATTGGAACATTCATACTGCATATATCTTCCATTAGGAAAAAAAGTTTGGCAGTTTCTTAAACAAAAATTAAGACTACCATTTTACCTACTATGTGGGAATTTATAAAACAGAAATGAAGATTTATGTCCCATAAAACCCTACATATAAACATTTCTAATAGTTTTATTAATGATAGCTTACATCTAGAAAGAATCCCACTGGTCTTCATTGGGTGAAGGCTTAACCCACTGTGGTACATCTGTGCCAGTGAGTGATACTTGGCCGTAAAAAAGTACTACGGATCCATACTGCAACCTAGATGGCTCTCCAGAGAATTATTCTAATTTTTAAAAAAGCCAATCACAAAAGGTCATATACTGGATGAACATATATATAAATTCACATTCTTGCTACTTCAAAATTACAGAAGTGGAGAACAGGGTTAGGGTTGGCAGGACTTAAGAAGGAGACAAAGGTAGCAACTGGGTTTGGCAACCAAAGGGCACCATGAAGGACTCTTGGTGTGGTGCAGGCAAAGTCTGCACCTTGACTCTATCAGTGTCAGTGTCCCAGTTGTGATACCATTTTATCTCTAACTCTGCAAGAGATCAGCACTGAAGAAAGGCAGGAGGACATGTTTACCTTATTTCTCCTACTGGAGTAATTCTAAATTTATCACAAAATAAAAAAAATTATAGGTTAAAAAATACTGAAAAGCAAAACAAAACGTTGAAAACAAGAAACTCCAAACCTTTAAACCCACAAACTCCAGGGATACAAGAAACATTGACACTATGTGGGGGCATCTACTGTGGATCAGGTAAGGCACTGAGGACAGGACACAAACTGAGGTGGGCACTGTTTTACAGATGAAATCCTGTCAGACCAACGAGAAGCTGTAATTTACTTTTCTTTAAATGAGGCAGTGCAGCTACTACAGAGGAAGCCTTTCTGTATTGTTTCAAAGAGTTTATTGTTTAATTTTACTTCTCCAAACCAGAGTTCAGTTCTTTTAAGAAAATCTCAGCATTCAAAACAGATGAACTGCATTACCAGGTGGACATCATGGGACAGCCAACCATAGAAGACGGCTGGTAAAACTGATGGTAAAAGGCCAACACTTTTGTAAATACTTCAGCATCTATTGCCATTTTTGAAAATGATACTACTTACTTGAAAGCATATTATTCTTCATAAAGGCATAAAAGTATTTTTGATCAGTTGAAAATGAGTTTTAAAATAAAATACGTGTGTGTGGTAGCCTGTAATGTGTATGTGTAAGCTCAGTAGTAGAAGGCTTTCGTAGTATGCACAAGGTCCTGGGAATGATCGCTAGCACAAAAATAAGTAAATAACATGTATGTGTATACTCATACAGGTGCATATGGAAACCTATCAGTAACATTACTTCTTAACATTTCACATGAGTCACATTACACTGAATTCCTAAGACAGGGAAGCCTGAAGGCCCCTTAGAATCTACTCGCTGAGAACTCATTTCACTTCACAGCTGAGGATACCTAAGTCCGGAAGAGGGAAGCTCCTGACTAGAATGAGAACTCAGGGCCTCTGGCTGCTGTTACTCTATTTCACTCTCCTTGGTTCTTCGGCAAGTAGATATTTGAGCTGACAATGGAAAGCTACCAAGCTGGCTAGAGATATAAAGTCATCCATCAAACTGGGCAAAATAAGAACTGATGTCCAAACTGACTTTCTGAAATTAAAAGCTGCCGTCTTTGAACAAATAGGCTTCCTCTCCTAGTTTTCTTTGAAACTGAAGACAGCCTCACTTATATTTCAAGGGCTCACAGATCACTGTCTCAGGGCCTGGTTACTCAGATTCTCACAGCAGCCCACCCAAAAGCCACTGAAGCTTTCAAAAACACGAAGCCCTGTTCTGGGTATCTCTTACTGTATGATCTTACAGTGACATCCTGGAACTGGAGCCGCAGGGCAGAGCTGGATGGCTGAGGGCGACTGGTGATCTCCAGGATGGTTCTCAGTAGGATGTCCAGCAGGCTGGTCACTATCACATCGATTTCCTCCAACACAGATTTTTCCTTAAGAGAAAAAAAAAATAATGGATGCAAGAAATTCTGGCTTAATTTTCACTTTAATCTCTCTTTAATGGCAAAGTGAAAGTCGATTTCTAAATGCAAAACCAAAGACTCTGAAACACCACACATCACCTAAGTGACTGACTGACCAAGACTGACCACCTTCCGGAGAACAAAGGCTCAGAGAAGTTACCAGCTACCTCAAGACACATCACTCAGCTGTGCTCAGGGCAACAGAGGTACAGATAAAAAACAAACAAACAAACAAGGATGATGCCCTGGAAAGCAGCAAGGCTGACTAATCCAGACTGCCAGCTGTGCCTGGCACAGGGCTTGTGATCTTGGGTTAATCAGTTCACCTCTGAGCCTGACTCCTTCCCGAAGGTTTCTCCTGACTCTGAAAGTCTGAATTTCCTTGATTCCCAATGGTGCTCACATTTCCTTTTCTCAGCACTGCAGTCACACAAGTCATTTTTCAAAACTTGAGTTTACATGCAAAAGACTATGCCTATAAAATGATTCTTTTAGAATTCCTGCATGTAAGGAGCTGGGGATTTAGTTCAGCGGCATAAGCGCCTGCCTTGCAAGTGCATGGTCATGAGTTCGATAAAAAAAAGAATTCCTGCATGTAAACATTAGGAAGCAGCCACCGGTCTACATGACAACCTTAGCTACTGAGCGGTGTTAGGGGCTAGGGCTGCAGCTGCGGCAGCTGCTTTCTTGAAGCATGGTTAATAACATCCACAGCACACACAACGCTGTAAAAAACACTCCCTACAAAGAAGATTGCTCCCTACTGTTAGAAACAGTTCAAAAGAACCTTCTGATTATAATTTTATGATAAACTTTCTTATACTTACAAGAAAACTACAAAGGTTCTCTCGCCAATCAAATGATTTTTGCTCTGAATTCCTAATCTGCTAAATCCAAAATCTGACTACAGCTTCCAAATTCAAACAGACAAGGAGAAATACAAAAAACTCACATCCCTTATTGTTGAGACTTAGTTTTACATAGCTTGCTTTTTCCCCTTAATTTTCTTTTTATTAATACATTTGCAGTATATAATGATTACATTCACCCATGGGAAACTGGTACATGTAATGTAGCACATCTTAGTACTTTTTATTTCTCTTTCCTCTCCCCTCCCTCCAGCTTACTTTTTACCTCCAGCAGTTATAATCTGGAGACACCTGCTAACCAGGCTGGCTTACGTATCTGTTGTTGCCAGGTAGGGAGGGAGTGATGAAATGGAACACACGGCTCCTCCCTGTCAACAGTGCTACACTCAGTTTCAGGTCATCCCAGAGCCTGGTCACGAGGTGGCTCAGGCAGAATCATCCTTTCTAGGGAGGTGCCTCTTCTGACAATTAGGTGTAGAGCTGCTAGCCTTTTTCTCTCAAACGCCAACTCCATTTGCACTCCCCTGGGGTCCCATTCCAGCTCCTCAGAAGCTGGTGAGAATAGGGACAAAAATGGGGAAACAATAGCACAGAAGTGAGAAGCAGAGAAATGGGAATCTCAGCACTCGCAGCCAAACTGCTCCCAATGAGTAGAATGCCTAATGAACAGCCACAGGTGGACAGAAGTGGAACAGGGCATCTTATCTATGTGGGTTTCACACCAGGCCCCTGAGCTAAGAACATGAGTCTGGACCATGAGTGGTCTGGTTTACCACAAGCATATCATTTTCTTACTGTGCACTGGCCCCGCTAACAAAACTGCACTGCGCCAAGAGTCCTGCACATTGGAAGGAATCCCCAAAGCCGTGACAATTCAGACATCACAGATGGGCTGAGTCATGGTTGTTTCCGGGCTGTTCCCTGCTTCTGCAAGCTCCATGGGATGAGGCCCAGGGGACAGGGCTGGGTCTGGGCATCGCTCTGCAGCCCTTCACAGAAAGGACCCAGCACCTTCACTGCATAAGCAGTCATTTATCCCTGCCCCAGAGCCTCCATCATGGCAAGATTAGAGATACGGGAGGCTTGGAGGGGTCTCACTTCCTTGTTTGGTATTCAGTTATTCCCTGAAACACAAGTTTAGGAAACCCCGGTTATCTGGAGTGATAGCAATCCCATGAGGTTAAAAGATTCTTTTCAAGAGAAATCAGAAAGTCTAGCCCCACTGCAAACTAGAGTGAGTCTCAAAGGGTTCCTCTGGAGTGTGGTTTCTCTAAAGATGTTTAAAATTTTATTTGCAGAAGCCATTTGATGAGAACTACATACTGTGACCTGTATTTACTTACTGAGCTATTTTTCTTGATGAGACAAAATACGTTGCTAAGGATACGCGCACACATGATCAAGTCCTTCTGTTCTTGCAAGTGAATGTGGAGGTGATGTAACACGACAGGCAGGAGAATGTATCGGGAATCTGAAAGAGAAGAATCATTAGTGTCACAGCTGTTAGAGTCCCACGCAAACCTCCGGTGAATCCTTATCTACTTTTTAGCTCCGTTTTAATTGTTAAATTGTTAATACATGTAGTTACAAGAGTACCGGCTCTACATGGTTGATAATTAAAAACAGTAGGTCTTTTCCCAAAGACATGATTCCTGCATTCCAGAGGCCTCTGATTTTTAAAAATTGCAGTAGGTTTTGTTGTTATTTTACCTCCAGATTTCTAAATCAAATCTTTCTCTTGCTAATTCCTGATTCACATTAAGGCAGATGATCTGCTAATTTCTTACCAGCAGAGATGAGGATTCAGCTTCTTATCTCCTTCCCTTTTCCCGTCTCTCCAAATAGTTATACCACAATTTCTAGTGAAATGAACTTTGTGGTTTTACTCTCATTCTTACATCTAATTTTCTGTACGTTACTGGATTCTTGCTTAGTTTTTTCTGTGTCTGCTGCTGTTCAAAAATTATCTTTATACATGGGAATTCAACATTCCATACCAAATGCTTTCTGTGCCCTTTCAATCTAAAAACTCAGCATCTTCAATTTGGGAATTTGTCTTGAATTACTGATATTTCCTTCTCTATTTCTTTGGTCCTGTGAGGTGTCAAATATATTTACACTGTAAATCTCTTGAATTACCTTTTGTTTTTCTTTTTATTACCTTTTATTACCCGCCCTTTTGTAGAATTTTCTGCATTTCCTTTACATTCCAACTCTTCTATTCAGTTTTCCTATTTTGTTACTATATATTTCATCTCCAAGAGCTTTCGTACTCTCAGGCAAAGTGCCACGCATGTGCAATCTGTGCAGTGGCACACATCTCTGAAAGGTATCACACTTTGATAAGTGCTCCACTGCCATCTTTAAATTCTCACTAAATTAATCACCATAGGCTTTGCACTTCCATTATGGAGACACTCCTCTTTATTTCTCTGGCTGTTGTCTTTTCACAGCTTCCCATTCTTATTGGATGGGTGCATTATCTTATCTGGGGCTATCAGAGATAATTTGGGGGTCTTTTTCTTTCACCTTATTATTTTCTGTGTCTTCACTTTGGACTCTGCCTTGTCTGTTTCTCTTTACAAGTGAAAACTAAAAGGCTATCCAGAAACACACCCTCAGACTTCTCACATAGAATATAATCTCAAATCCTAAAAACAACAAATTAGCTAGGTTCCTTTTATTTTAGAAGACAAATGAGGCTCAGGTATTAAGTAACCAGAGTGAGGTGATTGCTAATGGTTATTTCACTTGGAATTCAAACTTTTTAGACAGCTTTATACCTATTGAAGAAGGTGAATCTAGTTAACAGTTTTCTTTTGGGGAAAATTCCAAGTGCAGATGGTTTTACTGGTGAATCTTATCAAGCATTTATAGAAGAAAATATCCCAGACAATAGGACAGAAACTACAACTCACTAGCAGGCCAGTATTACAGATGCCAAAATCCACTAAAGACATTGCAAGACAAGAAAGTTAAAGACTGATATTCCTCATGAATGATGTAAAGATTCTTATAAAAGTTTACCAAAATGAATCTAATAAAATATATTCTGGGAATGGAAAATTAGTTTAATATTGGAAAGTCAACCAATCAACGTCAATTTACTGGATATAGAAAAAAATGTGGTAAAAGTCAGTGACCAATCACAACAAAAATTATCAAGGAGATAGGAATACAAGTTTCTTTTTTCCCACTGATAAAAGACTTTAATGAAATGCCTACCTTTAGTCACAAGATTTAAAGACTAAATGACTTTTCCCTAAGATTAAAAATGAGGTAACAACCTCCAAATGTATTATTTTGCTTCAACAATGTATGTAAGATCCTGGTCATTAAAATAAAATTTTTTTAAAAGTAGAAAACACAAGAAAAAAAATGCTTGTAGATAAGAAGGAAGTAATAAAATTGTCTTTATTCAAAGACACGGTTATCAACAAAGAAAATTCTATGGAATCTAAAAAGTTACTAGAACTAGTAAAGTTAATTTAAAAGTGTCTGAAAATACAAGGTCAGAATATAAATATCAATTACATTTCTATATAATGGCAACAATCAAACTAAAATTAAGAGTAAATACTTTACAACAGCATACATGAACTACACAGAAAAAGCCAACAAAACATGTGACACTGTTAATGAATATTTTTTTCCTTAAAGAAATGAAATGATAGGTTTTGGAGCTGGAACAATTGAATATCCATTTTAAAATGATAAACCTCTACCTTTACCTCATACGAATACAAAAATTAACTTGGGCTGGATCATAGACCTAACTGCAAAAGCTAAAAGCATAAAACTCGTACAGGAAAACACAGGAGAAAATCCTAGTGACCCCAAGTTAAATGCAGGTTTCTTACAGAGGTACAAAAAAGTGGAGAATATCAAAAAAGGTAAGTGATAAATTGGAATCCATACAAATATAAAATTAGAATTATAAGACTGACTCTATTCAAGGTCTTTATTTGATGCTTTCTTTCTGTTATGGAACCTAGAATCACAATGCTTAGATTTGGATTCTAGCTGTCTCAAATCCCAGTTCTGTGACAGTGGACAACTCAACTTCTGAGTGCTTCAATTTTGCAATCTGTAAAATGGGGATAACAACGGTATCCCCTAGGACAGTCTGAAACCCTAGGTCTGTCACCTCATGAGTTGACAGTCCTTGGAGAAGAATGATTGCTTAGAAGCTATGATTATTCTTTATTTTTCTAGCTTTTCTCTACATTTGCAATTTTAAAAAATGTGATTCTATACCCTAATAAAAGTCATAAGGAATGCAAAGTATCCACAACTGGGTAACTGTCTTGACCAGCATTTGTATGATTTCTCTAATTTTTTAAAAAATTTTTGAGTTAACATCTAGAGTCTGATGCCTGCCAATGGGCTTCCAATACGAAATCTGGCCTTACCTTTACCTGAAAAACCCAGAGATGTAAGGCAAAGGCGTTTTACCATTTAAGAAAATGAATACTGGTAAAATCCAACCTGTAAAAGAATTCATTGCAGGCCTCCTTTAAACAGCAAGCCTCAAAGGGAAATTTAGCTATTTACAAAGCAATTACTTGACAAAAAGAACCAGGGAAAAGAAACTGAAAGCTGAAGAGCCAGAAATGACTCTGCCTGGTGCTGTTTAATTAGAAACGAAGATAAAGTGTATCTGATATGTTCCTGCAACTAGTAGGATTTGATTTTTAAAAATTCAATTTGCAGGGGCCAGGGATATAGCTCAGTGGCATAAGCACCTGCCTGAAAAGTGCAAGGTCCTGAATTAGATTTCCAGTAAAAAAAATAAATAAATAAATTTACAACCAACTCTTAAGAAAATATGTACTACATAACAGTGTGTGTATGTATATATATATATATATATATATATATTTTTTTTTTTTTTTTTTTTTTTTAAAGAATGAAATAACGTGACTACACTACAGATTTGCTTTTGCTCCATTAGTGTCAGCCAGGGTAAACGACAGAATCAGTGAGTAAATATCAAACAAGCTGACTGGTAGAAATGGTAATATGTACTTTAAAAACAATCTGTGGGGCCACAGATACAGCCCAGTGGCATAGTGCCTGCTTGTTTACTTTGAGGCCTTGAGTTCAATTCCAGATACCAAAATAAAATAAAATATAGCATGTGGATCAACTAAATAGGATCCTCTCAACTAAAAGACAAAACAAAAACAAATTCTCTTACAGATGAACATATACTAACTTTGAGTACTGTTGGGGTTTATTTTTGGTCCTGGAAATCAAACTTAGGATCTTGCGCTTGCCAGGCAGGTGCTATGCTGCTGAGCTGCATCCCCGGCCCAACTCTGGGTACATTTAACAATAGAGCTGTCAGGTAGACGCTGCCCTTGAAAGGGTCACTTCGCCCACACACTGCATCTCAGGTAAAGTGGCTGCACTGCATGTCACCTTGTATAAAGGAGCGATTCCATTTCTTGTTGGCTTTGCCTGTAACACTGAAGTGGATAAAGCCGGCTCCCCATCGTAATTCTTCCTGGGCTGGGGACCAGGAAGGAAGAGGGGAGCTAAGAAATGATGGCGTGCTTCCTCCTTCAGCTTAAGTTTGGGGTGAGTACACCTTCACCGCCTCAGTCTACAAGCTTTAGGCAAGGATCCTTGAGGTCAACATTGTCCCCAGGGGGTGAATTCTCTGAGTCACAAACAACTGCCAGTCACCTGCCACACAGACTGGGCCCCAGGCCTGGCAGCTGTGGCACAGCAGTGTTAGAGAGCTGCGCCAGACGGGAGCAAGCCTGAGACCAGACTGAAGCGCCCAGGCATGGACCGCCAAAGTCATAGCCAGCCACGAAGCCTGTGACTAGGCCTCTCAGACACGGGGCACAGCCAGCACCCTCTTAGTGGAGAGCATGGCGATGAAGACAATGCCCATCCCAAAGGGAAACAGTGCTGGATAAGGATGATCCCTGTGCCAGGCTTACACGTTGCCCCCCTGGTCTGAGTCCCACAGTGGATGCCAAATGGGTGCAGCCCACACTCCCTTCTTTTGTCCGTCATTCCCTCTGCTGGCAGGGGCCTCCTAGCCCGGCTGCTGCTGTTTTCATGCTCAGGCTCAGAACCTGAGCTCAGAACCTCCTTGTCTTTCTTTACAACATGTAATTTCTTTAATAGCTTCTGATGCTACATCCTGATCCTTAACATACAGTATCCATTCAAAATATGTATGAAACCCCCAGTGGGCACCAGGCACTGTCAGGGAAGTGAGATAGACTGGGAGCAGAGGGGATAAAGCACTGACTTGCAGGCTGGGGGATGGAGGACGCTGAACAACTGAGTGCCCAGTTATTTATTTAGTCAAGAGTTGTGTGAGGCGATGCAAGAAACAAGACAAGTCAGGGGCCCTCCTGTAATCGCAGCATTCGGGAGACTGAGGTGGGATGACTGATCCCAGGCCAGCATGGGCCACTTAGCAAGGCCGGCCAGGACCTCGTCACAACA